GAATGAAGAACAGAAAAAAGGGGAGAATTGTTTGATGGAGAAAATAGAGAAAACATAGAATACGTGAAGCAGGTTCAAAGAGATTACCAGGAAACTAAAAATTCTATCGAAAGCTGGCATAACAGCTTGAAAGAAACTAAGGATAGATTATCTGAATTGGAGGGCAGATTTGTAATTTGGGAGCATGAAATGAAAAACTTCTTAAAAATAACAAGAAAACAAACAGCAATAATACACACGTTAGAAGACAATAAGAGGATCTATAACTTAAGAATTAAGAACATAAAAGAAGTAGGGACACAAACAAATGGACTACAAAAGCTATTCACAGAAATAATCCAAAAGAATTTCCCTAATTTAGCAAATGGTAAAGATACTCAGATGTACGAGGCATACAGGACCCCAGCCACCTACAACCCAAACAGAGCTACACCCAGACATATAATAATCAAAATTCCAGAAATCCAATATAAGAACAGAATACTAAAAGCTGTCAGAGACAAGAAACAGATCACTTACAAGGGAACACCCATCAGAATTACAGCAGACTTCTCGGCACAAACCATCAAATCACGAAGAGTGTGGGGGGAAATAATTCAAGCTTTGAAAGATAACAACCTCCAGTCAAGATTGATATATCCTGCACAACTGTCCCTAGAAACTGATGGAAAAACAAGGTGCTTCCAGGATAAAGAGAAACTAGGGGAATTTGCAACCACCAATTCAACTCTACAGAGAATGCTGCAGGATATTCTGAGAAAGGAAAATACCAAGACTTCAGAAACAGTGGCAGAGAGGCCACAATGAATAGAGCAGAAAGCAAAATGAAGAAGACAAACTGACAACAAACAACAGAAAAAGAGCTCAACAGAAATGAGGCACAGAAGACTGGATGGTAGGAAGAGCTATTTTGGAGAAAACAAGACATCATAATAGCTAGTGCTGATTTAGTATCATCTTGCTTTGAAGTTCCATCAAGCTTTTATTCTTCTGTCTCCATCCGTCTTAACAGGTTGTATTTTATTGGATTTTATTAAATGTGATAATATAAGCAAAAACTTAGGAGATTATACAGAAACCATTGTTCATTTTCTGATAGTTGGTTCTAAATACCCTGTAATACTGTCATTCTCTTGAATGGTTTTACATTGTCTTGATATGTTTGGTGCTACAGTATATGAAGTTATACTCAAAGATTTCAAGGAAAGAGACACTATGGTAACTACCTGTATGTCAGGATATCTTGTGGTGAAACACTATTTTGCTTAAATGATTATGCTTTGACCTGCACTGTTTTGTTGTTATGCTCACTTTTATCTAAATCTCCTTTTTAAAAATTACTTACTTTTTATCTTTTTAATTAAGTGAAAAATAAAAAAAAATAGCAGGATACATTATAGTAACCTACTTTGATTTCCTATCAACTTGATTTGAAATCCCGTATAGCCCTCACCACCTTGCTTTGACTGATTTTCCCCTATTCTGCTTTGCTTGACAGTATCAAGTTCGAAAGTATATGCAAAACTGTGAAGATGATAAGATTCATTATGACGCAAATTCCGGTTGACTATTATCTTCTTTTAAAGTCCTGTAATGTCTCCAATGTTCTGGTTTTATTCTTTACTGTTTTGTTCAATTTTATTATAACTGATGACATAGGCAATTCTTTTTAAGATAGCAAGAGGGGGGCTGGGGATTTAGCTCAGCGGCATAAGTGCCTGCCTTGCAAGCAGGCAGTCGTGAGTTCAATCCCTGGTACCGATAAAAACGAAAAAGACAAAAAACAAACAAAAAAAAAGATAGCAAGAGGCAGTATGGTAACCATTGTTGATCACCTAGTATTTTGTTTTTATATTATCTATTATATCCATCCTTTTGATTTGACTGACTCTGTTATGTCACATTTGGTTTTACTCTCTTCAAAAAAAAGTAATAAGAACTGTGGGAGTAATAAAACCCAAAATGTGTAATTGGCATTGTACAAAAGAAAGGAAAAGAAAGTGCTCTAAATAATATAACTGCATATATATTTAAGTGTATAACATAGATAACCATATTACTGAGTTTTGTTGGATCATTGAACAAAACTGTTTCCAGTCTCACTGTTTGAAAGTCTACTTTATGGGGCTGGGGATTTAGCTCAACAGCATAAGCACCTGCCTTGCAAGCAGGCGGTCTTGAGTTCGATCCTCGGTACCGATTTAAAAAAAAAAAAAAAAAAAGAAGGTCCACTTTATATGTTTCAATTTTGTAACTTAAACAACTATTTTTTTTTTTTTGGTCTTTTTCCTTTTTATCAGTACCAGGGATCAAACTCACGACCGCCTGCTTACAAGGCAGGCACTTATGCCGCTGAGCTAAATCTCCAGCCCCGAACAACTATTTCTAAAATAACAATATGTAATCTATTAACTAGTGATTTCCTACTGTTAATTTTTCTGAAATTCTGTATAACTTGTACCCTTTTTCTGTTTTTTTTTTTTTTCTTTTTTTCCTTAAATAAAAAAAAAAATGAGTCAAGCCCTGGGACCCACTTAGGACCCTACTGTCTCTCAGGAGCCAGTCCCAGTCCCCATGCCTTTCCTCCAGTAAATTTTCCTACTCTTCACCTCAAAAAGAAAGCAAAAGACAAGACAAAGACACAAAGGGCTGGGGATGTAGCTCAGCACAAAGGCCCAGGGCTCCATCCCCAGCACCGCAAAATAAAAATAAAGACAGAAGCAAAGCAGCGTCCAGCACCCATCAGAGCCCAGGAAATATTTGGCAGCTGAGCAGGGCGCTAACAACCCACAGCATGTACCTGAGTCACGACTTCCACTTGCCCAGTGAAAACTAGAGGAGAAAGCAAGAGCACTCACAGGACCTCTGCGCACTGGGACCGCACTGCCAGCTGTGGGCAGCAGGTCAGGAGGTCCAGGTGATGACAACCAACAATGCCCACGCGGGCGCACTGCCACATGCTGTAAGCCCAGCACAGAGGGGCTGAGGCAGGAAGGTGACAAGTTTTAGCCCACTCTGGGCAACTGAGCAACAACCCCAGTGAGACTGTCAACAAAGCACAAAACAAAACCCGCCCACCCAAGAGCTCCTGGAGACCCTAGGACTCAATCACCCAGTGCTTGGCCTGGCTGCAGCTGACAGTACAAGGTCGAGGTCCCTACCTGCCACTACTCAACGCAGGCAGCACCTACTCCCCAGGAGCTGCTCCCAGTCCTGGCCATGATCGGGTCCCCACACCTACTCTCGGCCACGGCCCTCTGCCCTGGAGGAGCCACATCGGAGCCTTCCCTCGGCATCTCTCACATAACGTGTTTAGGTCACAACAGCCAGGTTGTGGCCAGCCCTGTGGCCCAGTTGCTTGTCTCCCCAGGTGGACAGGGGCCCTGGCCTGCCCAGGGCAGCACACAAGACGACCTCTGGGAGCCCCGGCAGCCCTGGACTTCCGTGAACACTTCGGTGAATGAGCAGACACCTGCCTGCCGGACTGGATCCCTAACTGGGACTGCCTGGGAAAGCACAGCCTCAGGGAGTCAGAAGCATGGCTCCGTACTCCCCTAAGTCAGGGCCATCACACCCGGCTCAGCACCAGTGTCTAAGGGCCCCACCATTTCTCCCACTGCCTCCAGACAGGCCATGGCTGGGTGGGACAGCCACTGCACACAAGACAGGTTGCCCAGGCCTAACCTGGGAATGATGCCCTCAGCCACCGCGGGGCCACGTCTGCAACCAGCTTCCAGCTCCTCAGGAACTTGCTCAGACCTGGGTTCACCCCCAAATCACCACAAAGCCACCAGGTTACATCAAATTGCAGCTGAGCAGCCAGGAGAGTGGTAAGCCAGGCAGTTGGCGTGAGCCTAAAAAACTCAGCAGGGCCAGGGAACTCTGAGGCAGGGACTGCGCTCACCCCAGGTGCCCACTAGAACAGAGGCCATCCATTCCCGGTCCTAACGCCCCTGGCGACCTGGCTCAGCACTCTGGGGAGCAGGGTGGCTTCCCTGAGCCCTCCACCACACCCTGCCTGTCACCAGGTCACTGGGCTGTAGCCAGCTTGGGTCTCTTTCTGGTCCAGCCTGCTCACCCTCGCTTAACTACTCATCCCCACTAGTCAGTCAGCAACAGGCTCCAGAGGGCCAGGGGTCCAGTGAGGCCCAGGAGCTGCCCCGTGGCCCTCACTGGCCCCAGCCCTCAGGCTCAGACCCAAGGACAGCACTCAGGGGGCTGAGGAGGAAGGGCTGCTGCCTATGGAGGCCAGTCCAGCACTCTGGCAAGCCCATCTCAAAATATACACAAAGTGCTATGATTTCACTCAACATGATGGTGCTATGCACCCCCAGAACCTCTAGGTGTGCAGTGGGCCCAGGGCTGAGCCCAATCCTTGACTGGGCAGGTACTCAGCCAGCTGGTCTGAGTTTTTAGGCTGTACAACAGGAACATAAAAAATGGCAGACCTGACCGCTGACTGCAGCTCCAGTACTAACTGCAGGGCTCAATGCTCCCAATCCTCATCACCAAGTCTCAGTTTACTCCCCTGTGAGGCAGGGACCTCAGCGTGCAGTGAAGGCTCTGCCTGCTCTCAGCTCAGTCAGGTGACCTGCGCAATGAGCTCAGCCCACTGGCCTCTGACCGCACCCCGACCCTGCTCTCCTGTGGAAAAGAATAGAAGCACTCCGAGGAGCCCCAGAAGAGTGCACATCGTGGTTCTGGGCACACAGCAAGGTGCATGAAGTTCTGGACGGTGAAGAGCTGCACAAGCATACAGTGGACCCTGGCCACCAAACGTGACCCACAGCCTTTGTGTGATAAGCACACACCCTACCAGGGAGCCATGCCTGCAGCCCTGATTTTCAGTTTCAAAAAATGTTTTTCTCTACTAGGGATTGAACCCAGGGACTTTGCACTGAGCTGCATCGTCAGCCATATTTTATTTTTTGAGAAGTCAGCTCATCTGGCATCCTCCAGAGTGACTTTTATCTTGCTTTTTTTCTCAGCCCAACCTAGCTCTGCAAAGCCAGTTTCTTCCTCACTTTTACTTTTTAAAATAAACTTTGCAGCTAAGGGAACCAGGTTTGCTAAAGTAATTGTGGTGATAGGACTGTATTAGCCTCAGAAGCTACTGGGGTAGTTCATTCTATCCTCATATAGTAAAAAAATAAAATAAAATAAAATAAAATAAAATAAAATAAACTTTGCTACCTTTAAAAAAAAAAGTTGTTAATTTGCCCAGGCTGAGCTCAAACTTGCAATCCTTGCGCCTCAGCATCACTGGGGGCTGGGCTCACAGGTGTGTGCCATCAAATCCCAGTCAGTCAAAGGCTGGTGAATGCTATGTGAGAAAGTAACTGGTCACCTCCTGAGAACACTACCAACCCAGGGAGCAGGAGTCCCAGGGTGCAAGCCCCTACACTGGTCCAGGGAGCCCCCCGAAGAGCTGCCCTTACTCCCAGGGTGCCCGATGCAAGCAGTGTGCAGCTGCATCAGCCACGGTGAGGGACGAAATTCCAAACACTGATCAAGAGGGCCAGGCTACCTGGAGAAGCCCGTCATGCTCAGGGCTGGGTGTGGCTCAGAGGCTGAGCACCTGCCACTGGCATCCTCAGCCCTGGGTTCGAATCTCAGCACACACAGAAAAGACACCTAAGATTTCTGTGTCCTGCAACCCCACTGTACTCTCCTGGCTTCCCTCCTGCCAGGACGGACCCACAGTCCCCACCACCCCAGAGCCAAAGAGGTTCCCTCCCAAGAAGCTTCGAGCTTACCTCTTCTCTGAGCTGTTCCTTCCTTTAGAAGTCTTTATCTCCACTGCCCACTGGGTATAAGTAGAGACACTTTACAGGGACAGGTTTGAGGAGGGAGCACACTTCCTGAGTGGCAGCATGGGTCACCTGTCCCACTGAGGTCCCCTCTGGCACCATACTTAGTGCCTTCTCCAACCGGGCTCATGGAACGTGTGACTCCTCCGTTCTGGGAAACCCACGCCCATGCCCTCAAAATGGGACAAACTTGCCACGTTGCTCAAGTGACAACACAGAACAGGCCAGGATAGCTGTTCCTGGAGGGGCCCAAGAGGCACTGCAGTTCTAAGGTGGTCTCTAGGAAGGCGTCAGGGAGCACCCCAATGGGACCGGGCTGGGGGTGTTCAAGGGACAGTAGACAGAGGGACTCACAAATATCTCTTGCGAAGGGAAGGGTGTATTCACAAAATCCAAAGATAACTCTCCACCCTGAACTTTAGTTTTCAGTTTGACTTCTTCCCCGCACACTCTTTTTTTTTTTTTTTTTTTAACTTTTTATTGGTACTGGGGATTGAACTCACGACCGACCGCCTGCTTGCAAGGCAGGTGCTTATGCTGCTGAGCTAAATCCCCAGCCCCTAGCACACCCTTTTTTGAGACTTGACAAGTGACACCTTTGGTAAGAAAAGCAAAGATTTCGCTCCCCAAGGTATTACTTCCAGTTGCTTTCTTTAAAAAGTGGGTGAAAAACAGATTTGTAACAATGCTGGTTATACATAAAACTGACCAGCAGAAGGCAAAGTGCTAAGAGCAAGATAACACACAAACCACATAACCTGGAGCAACAGCGACCTGGGCTCAGGAGAAGAGGACAGACGCCTCTCCACACCAGGGGCCAGGCAGCATGGCAGAATCCCAGACTTTCTCAGCTCTTCCAGAAAAGCAAGTCCCCTCAGATTACCCCTGCGCTCCTTGAGGAAAGTTCTGCGCAGACTTCTCATCCTCTAGGAAGCCGAAGGGCACTCGCTGCCTATGGCCCTCCAGGACACACACAGGGTGGCCAGCTCTACTCACAACCTAACATCTCACCCTCGCAGGTGACATCAGCCCAAGCTGCGGTTCTAAACTCCACAGACGTCAAAGACGGCGCATCCTCAACACCATAGCAGCCTTCAGTACTCAACTCAAGCCCTTCCGAATCTGTCCTAAGCCACCACTGAAAGCTATTTAGTATCTCGCCAGATCTTTGGAGGGCCCCCCAGGCCTCCATCACACTCCATCTGTCCAGCTACCAAGGTGCCACCCTGCATTGCTGAGCTGTGGGGAGCACTCATTATCTGCAGGACTTCAGCAGACTCAGGGAAAGGCAGCTGCTACTCAAAGCCAAGACACAACTTACTCATCTACCAAGGAACCTGCCAGCACCAGCCTGTGCAAGCTCTGTGTATGTGACAGCGGACAAAAACAGGCACGGTTCCCTTCTGCGCAGAGAGAACCCACGAGGCAGCTGTCAGACAGGTGAACACACAGTCACCAGACCTAAAGCTACTCGAGGGGTCACTATGGGTTCCATCTGCCCAGGACACACCAATCTATACCTGTTGTCCCAGTTTAAGTAAGAGCACTCCCTTACTCCCCAAAGCAACATAACATGTGCCATCCACGACACAGTCACCTGGCTGTGCAGGACTAGGCAGTCTGAGAGTCCCAGCACGAGTCCCCCTGGCCTGGGTGATGGGAGAAGACTGCTCAAGAAAGAGGTGCGCGTGACTTCCTGCTGAAGGAAGAGCGTGCCAGGCACAGGAGCATAGGCTAGGACAGAGCTTGAGAACTGACTGGGAGCAACCAAGGATAATGCAAGGGTCAGAAAAGAGACTCAGGGGCTGGGGATTTAGCTCAGCAACATAAGCGCCTGCCTTGCAAGCAGGCAGTCAGTCGTGAGTTCGATCCCTGGTACCGATAAAAAAAGAAAAAGACAAAAAAAAAAGAAAAGAGACTCAGAATTCCCAGAGAACAAATGTACCCCACACATCTGCTGCATGAAGAGACTTCAAAACGCAAAGGCAAAACATAAGTCAAAGTCTGAAAAAGTAACTTCTGAAGGTCACCAATGTCCTAACAACTGAGAAACACTGGGGAAGTCACCCCAGGACACTTGCACTGCACACGTGCGTGCCCATAGCCACACACCCTCAGGATGACAGGCCCAACCCTTACCCTGTCACCTCAGGTATCACTGTACACCTCCCTCACACAGCACTACAGCCTGCCTGCACAGCACTGGGGCGTAGGCTCTAGCCTTTCAAGTGCTTGGTAGGCACTCTCCCCATGAGCCAAGCCAAGCCCAGCGCAGCCCAGCCCAGCCCACAACACTCCTGAAAATCTAATAACAAAACCCCAGAAAAAAGAAAAAAATAAATACATTTTTTTTGAAAAAGGTATCAGAACAAGCAACCACAGGTCAAATAAACATAGACAATATACCCACGTCACTCGGCCAATGAGACTCCTCCTTGTCACTGTCCTGGCACCAGCCTGCCCTGGTCCTTACCTTACTAACATTGAGTGAAGCTAGGGGAGGAGGAGTTTCTGTCCGGTCGTTAATTATTTCCACTTCTGACACGTACTGTAGGTTTATGAGCAGGATGTCTGCGTGGTTGGGCTTTCCACTGGATGAGGGACATTCTGGTGAGAGTGAAGTTAAGGAATACAGGCAGAGGACTGGCATGGCTGGTGAGGTGTGAAAGGTCACAGAAGCCCTACCTCTCCCCATCACCTTTCTCCTGCCAAACCCCACACTGGAAGACCCAAAGGCAGTGAGTGGCAAATGCAGTTCCAATGCCTTATATTGCCATCTGTCTAGGATATGGGGTCTCACGAAGAGCCAGCACTTTCTGCCCCCAGTATAACTCTTCTGTATCTGCGCAGAGCCCTGCTCTCATATTCTTTCAGATTTAAGATCTCCCAGATTTGAAAAACTACAGCACAGGAAAGGAAACCCACCCCACACACCCTGCCCAGCGGTCTTCCACCCTTCCATTCATTCTTCCATCACGCACTAAGAGCCTGCCCCACGCCAATGCAAAGCACAGCGAGCCCTCCTTCCAAGAAAGCAAAGATAGCAGTGTAGGTGGGACCTTTTGTTTAAAAAAAAAAGAAAGAAAGAAAGAAAAAAGAAAAAAAGAAATGGAAAAAGTGACTATTCTTGTAATTAAGACCGTTCCTAAACTAGGTATCTACAACTGGTGGTTAAACGAATTAAAATACTTGACACTCAAAGACATCCGTGGTTAAATGAATTAAAATACTTGACACTCAAAAACATCTGTCTCATCAAGAAACTTCCTTTTCAAAAACTCTGTAAAGCTAGGTGTGGCAGTGCACACCTGTCATCCCAGCACTAAGAGGCTAAGGCAAGAGGATGTTACAAGCTGGGGGCTGGCCTGGACTACACTAAGTTCAAGACCAGCCCGAAGTGCACAGTGAGACCCTGTTTCTAGATAAATAAAAAGGGAAAATGCCATGAAGGATTATACTTCTCAAAAGACAATATTTTTTTTATCGGTACCGGGGATCAAACTCATGACTGCCTGCTTGCAAGGCAGGTGCTTATGCTGCTGAGCTAAATCCCCAGCCCCTCAAAAGAAAATTTTTAAAAATTAAAAATTCGAGTAAATCCACCTGTAAATCAAATAAAAGGAGCAGCCACGGGCACATGTATTCCAATCAGGAAGTGTTCCCGAGCTGAGTGAGCTGGAGTAATCAGAAATCATTTCCACCTCAAAGGAGCGAGTCACCTCGTCCATTTAGCTTAGCGCTACTACTCTCAAAAACGGGCAAGCTGTGAAAAGTCTGGGCCCGCGGCGCGGGGCCGGGGCCGCACTGTCACCTGTAACCCACACATCCTCACAGGAGCCCCTAGAAGACGTGGCAAGCCTTCCCCCGAGCCCTGCCCGGCGCCTGGGAAGCCTAAGGCTGGGCATGCACCCCACGCCAGCGGCACCACGCACACATGGGCATCTGTGCAAGTGCTGAGGCCTCGGACCCGACTGTCCTGCAGCTGTCCCCGCTCGGCGGGCCGAGGGCACGGGGTCACCGCGCCGCCACCTCCCGGGGCTGAGCCCCACGGAGACCCGGCTCCCAAGCCGCCCCCCGCAGACCCCAACCCCAAGGCCCCGCAGCCCCCATCCGGAGTCCCTCCAGCTCGCCCGCCCGGCCCTACTGCCGCCGCCTGCTCCCGATCACCGCGTCCCTCAGCAGAGCCACCGCGTGTCACGGCCACCGCCGGCTCCCTGCAGCTGTGGGCGCCGCGCTCCCGCCAGACCCGGGCGATGGGGTCCCCGAGGCGGCTCGCAGCGCCCGGGGGGAGGGGCGCTCCACGCCGCGCGCATGCGCCCAGAGCGCCGCGGGCGCCGGTCGCCCCTAGGCCCGGAGAGGCCCAGCCGCCGCCGTCCCCCGCCCCCCACGCCGCCCCTCCGCGCCGGCCGCCAGCTCTGCACGCCGAAGGATACTTAAAGCCAGCATTTTGGACTGGTAGTCGAAGGCTACCACCTCGCCCTGCAGCCGCTGCTCCTGGCACGTCCGGCACGACACCTGGCTCCCGACGCTGAAGTACTCGCCCGGAGGAGCCGCCATCTTGGGAGAGCAGCCGCGGCCGGCGGCGGCGGCGGCGGCAGCAGCGGGCGAAAGCCGGGCCCCTAGTCAGCGCCGCGGCGCGCCGCAGGCGTGCTGACGTCATACGCTGGGCGTGACTGCGCGATGGGCGGGGCTCGCGCGGCGGGACAGGAGAGAGGAGGGCAAAGGAAAGGGAACCCAACCCGACCCGGAGCTCCTGGACTGGTCAGTGCGGGCCAGGTCCTCTTCGGGGCCGGCCTCAAGGACAAGTGACCCCGAGGTCTGCAGAGGAGAAAAAGGAGGGCTCTGCGTTCGCCACATGTGCACACCTTGCACAGAGTTTGATGAATGAACTCCCCAAAATAACATGTATTACCCCACTTTACCTCCGAGGAACCAGAGGCCCAGAGGACTTAGGGAAGCTCGCTCGCCCATGGCGATCATAACTAATTACAAGGTGGGGGACATGGACTATCAAGTGGAATGAAGCGAAATCCAAGCTGTAGGTCGGCTACTTACCAGAGTTTGGCACCTTGAGCACATAAACTGATCCTGGTTTTTCAACTGGATCTGCGTAATGGCACATTCAGCAACCATTTGACTTAGCAATCATTACCTTAGTTGTTTTTTTTTTTTTTTTTTTTTTGTCTTTTTCTTTTTTATCAGTACCAGGGATCGAACTCACGACTGTCTGCATGCAACATTACCTTAGTTTTACAGATGAAGAAATAAGGCTAGAGAGGCTTGGTGGCCAGTGCCTGTAATCCCAGCAGTCTGGGAGGCCAAGACAGGAGGGTCACAAGTTGGAGCCAACTTAGTGATTTAATGAGACTCTGTTTTTACCTTGGTTTTTTTTTTTTTTTTTTTTTTTTTTTTTTTTTGTCCTTTTTCCTTTTTATCGGTACCAGGGATTGAACTCACGACTGCCTGCTTGCAAGGCAGGCTAAGACACCACTTTTAAAAAGGGCTGGAGATGTATGTAGCTCAGTGCAAAGGCCCAAGGTTCAACCCTCAGTACCTGGCCAAAAAATTTGCCCAGGGTCACACAAATGCCACAGCCACAGTCACATTCTGCTTATTTCCAAGGAAAGTATTGTTTACTATGCCCTGTCCTGGACACCAGCACCTGCCTCTTAAGGTATTCAGCAGTTTCAGTGAGGCATTGTATATATGCACCCAGTAAGACATACTAAGTACCAGTTCCCTCATGAGCCCCCTCATCCTTGGGCCCTAGAACCCTTCTCCATGCCCTTCCCTCTTCTTTTCTCCTGGAAAGTGAGACACCAAGTAGGATCCATGGCAGTGACATCACAGGTCGCTAAGAGGGGGCTGGTCCCCTCAGTTCCATCCCTGTACAGCTGCAGCCTGAGACTAGCCCCACCCCATGTGGCTTTGGCCCACCTTCCCAAAGTGTAGATGGATTGGAGACCCTCACCTTGTGAGGGATGGTGACCTTTCTCTAGTGTGGAGGGAGGCAGGGGGCCACCCTTGGCACTGTGGAATCTGAACATATTTCGAGACTTTTCTGGCTCTGTAGGAGGCAAACACTTTCTGGTGTTGAGTTATGGGCCAATCATTGTGATGAGACTAAGATCCTTCTCCCTCATTCTTGTGTGGTTGTTCTTGTGGGGTCTTTTTGTGTTGTGTATGTTGTTGTTGTTGGTACTGGGAATTAAACTTAGGACCTTGCACGTGCCAGGTAGGTGCTTATGCCACTGAGTTATATCACTGGCCTGTTGTCTTTTTTTTTTTTTTGTCCTTTTCCTCTTTATCGTTCCAGGGATCAAACTCATTACTGCCTGCTTGCAAGGCAGGCGCTTTATGTCGCTGAGCTAAATCCCCAGCCCCTTGTCGTTTTTTTTAAGGCAGGGTCTCATTGAAGTTCAGGCTGGCCTGGAACTGAGGCTCCTGCCTACACCATGCCCAGCTGTACTTGTGTTTTGGTTTTGTTTTGTTTTTGGTACTAGAAATAGCACTCAGGACCTCATACTTGATGGGCAGGCATGTATTTGTGTTCTTTTCTCTTCTCTTTTTTTTTTTTTTTTGGTACAAGGGATCAAACTCACAACCTCACACTTGCCAGGCAGGTGCTGTGCTGCTGAGCTATATCCCCAACCCTGTATTTGTGTTCTTATGGAGAAATATTTTTTCTCTCATCTTTGTCATGTCCCTGTAACAAGTCGCGCATACTTGTAACTCCATCCCACTCTTTATTTATTTTTATTTTTATATTTTTACGTACCAGGGATCGAACTCACGTTGTTGCACTTGCCAGGTAGGCACTGTACCCAGCCCCTGCCTCACTCTTTATCAGGATGCTGAACCCTGGGGAGCACTGATTCCTATAAATGCTGTTTTTCCTGTACCTGTACATACATGCACCCCTGGGATAAAGTTCAGTATGTAAACTGGGTACAGTAAGAGATTAACAAGAGATTAACTACCAATAACAATACGCTGTAGTCAAATGGGTGTGAACTGAATCACTCTCCAAAGATCCCCTTGCACTATCACCTCCATCAAACCTGAAGAAAGCATGTCATGGCGTGTCACTGTCACCAGCATCACTGCTTTTTCACGTCATTCATTCATTATGAAGTGAAATGAGAGCTGTGGCACAGATACCACAGCAGCAGATCTGAACGAAGATTACCCACTGGCAAATGGGGACCCAGTGTGCATAGTTTGGGTGCACAAGACAGAGATGTGATTCACTGCCCAGGATGGTGGCCATGTGAGCTCCCACGATGCCACTACAGTAGGAACTGAGTGTGATTTTACACTCATGACCTAGCTGGGCGTGGTGGCGCACAGTTGTAATCCCCCGCACTCTGGAAGATGAGCCAGGAGGATTAATTACAGCCCAGTCTGGGCAGCTTAATGACATGGACCAGGATTTCTAGGAGGGACACAGTAAAGTAGGACAGAAAGACTATAAACAAGGCCTGAGGCCACAGCTCTGGCTTGGTGCACTTGCCCAATCCGTGGGAGGCCTGAATGCAGTGAGGCAGGATGTGAGGGTACAGTAAGTGCTCAAGGCAGAGAACAGAGCAAAGGCAGAGTTCCAAAGACTCAAGAAATTTGGGTTTTTCCTTTAGGCAACTGAAAAGCATTTGTCAAGGAAGTGAGCTAAGCACTGTACCTGGTTTACGTGTCCCACGCCTTCTCTTCTTGTTTACTTTTTGAGACAGGGTCTGGCTATGTAGCCCAGGCTATGAACTAGAGGTGTTCCTCCTGCCTCAGCCTCCCTACATTCAGGGACTAGGTGTGTACTCCCACACCCATGCCCCACACCTCAACTAGCAACTAATCTCTTTCAAAGAAGAACCCTTATGTACATTCTCATTTTCATCCACTCATCAGAAACTTCAAGATCGAAGTGGCTAAGGCACTTGCCTGTAATCCCAGCATTTGGCTAGCCTGGGTTACTAGCAAGACCCTGTCTCAAAAATACACACAAACAAGTGGCCAGAGCCAGGTGTGGATGCACATCCATAAATCCCAACACTCAGGAGGGTTAGACAGGAGAACTGACTCAAATTGGAGGCCAGCCAAGGGTACACAGTGAGTTCAAAGCCAGCCTGAACTACAGAGTGAGACCCTAAATAGAGAAATAAACAACCTAGCTTGAAGTAGGAAGAAAATGAGGAGTCCTCAGTCTGCCCCCACCTGAGCTCCACCTAGAACTCTGGATATTTTTTGTGTGTCCTTACAAACACTGTCATGCATGTGTGCCCCTTCTTTTCTTCCCATAGAGATGCTGTTCTCTCTTGATTTCTCTGCCCAGCAGAGTTCAGAACAGAAAGGGGTGAGGCAAAGTTAGCCCTGAGACAAAGGTGACTCTGTTAGGTATGAACTTTTATTTATTGGAGTGTGTGATGTTTTGTGTTTTGTTTCGTTGATGTTCTGAGACAAGGTCTCGCTATGTAGTCCAGGCTGGCTTTGTGCTCACTATGCAGCAGGGGCTGGCCTCGAAATTGTAGCCATCCTCGTGCCTCAGCCTAGTGCTAGGATTAGAGGCAGGCACTATTGTCTTCTTTAGGGAAGATCTCTCAAAATCCAGGGCCCTGGGTATCTATGGGATTCATCAGGACGGGATTCTTAAACCAGGGAAATCGGCGACGGATGAGGGGTGCGTTCCGCCTTAGGGTAGGAGGTGTCGCTACCTTATTCTGGGAGAGCTCGGGAGTAGAGCGGCAGACAGCTGTACGAGAGATGGGACCTGGGTCAGTCTCTACGGCGGCAGCGCAAGCATGTACATCCGTCCCTGGATCCGGAACCACAGCCTGGGCCTCAGTGCCCGCTGCACACGTGCCGGCGATGGCCACGTGGGCCGCGAGGAAACGCCTTCACATAAGTTTGTCCGCAACGCCTCTCCGTAGCCGGAAAGACCCGGAAGAGCGCGGGGTGGAGGAAGCCGCCCCGGCTCCGGATGGACGGGCGCGCGCGTGCGCGCGCGAGGGTGGGCAGTGGAGCGTACGCGCGCGGAGGCGGTGTTGCCAGGACCCCGGGCGCGGGCGGGGACGCGAACAGCGGCCGCCATGGAGTCGGCGTTGAGCGCTGGCATCCAGATGGCCGAGGCGCTGCAGACGCGGCTGCCCTGGCTGGAGAGCATGTGGCTCTGGGTCACCTTTCTGGGCGACCCCAAGAGCCTGTTCCTGCTCTACTTCCCCGCGGCCTACTACGCCTCCCGCCGCGTGGGTGTCGCCGTGCTGTGGACCAGTCTCATCACCGAGTGGCTCAACCTCGTCTGCAAGTGGTGAGCCCAGCGGCCCCGGGCCTCTCCCCTCCGGCGTCGCGGGGCCCCGACCCGCTCCCACCCTGCTCCGAGCGGGACTGGCCCCTAAGTCAGTCGCCCCACTGCTAGTGTGCAGACCCTAGCTCGCCTCCATCCCGCTCCATCCCGATCGTCCTCTGGAGGACTCGCCAGGACACTGTATTGTAGCAAGGATCTAGCATCTAAGTGGCAGGAAGTCCTACTTCTCAACTCACTTTTTCATTCATTTTTCCCCTCGCTTGACACTGTTGTTAGGCAAGTGTGCTCACGCCGCTAATCCTAGTCACTCAGGAGGCTGAGGCAGGAGGATCTAAAGACCCAGACCAGCCTAGGCAACTCATAGAGACCCTATCCCAAAATAAAAAATACAAAGGCTTGAGGATGCAGCTCAATGATGAGTGCTTGCCTACGAGTAGGAGGCCCAGGGTTCAACCCTCAGTGCCACACACACACACACACACACACACACACACACACACACACGCATGCCAACTTGCACACGGCACACACGAAGCAGCTGCAGGCTTTGTTCCAGGAGATACACAGGCTGCCTGTGTAGTCTGCTCTGTGGCACAGGACGTACTAGAAAGATTGCTAGAATGCAGAATCTCGGGCCTCGGGCCAGATCCTCTGAATCAGAATTTGCATTTCATCGAGGATCCTGGACTCTCTTCTACCCTTCTTTCACTCACCAAGCCAGAAGCAGGAGTCTGGCTAGGAATCGCGCTTGGGGGCTGGTGGGAGGGGATATGCCCTGCTGCCCAGATCACCACTCCCTGCCTCCCACACTCTCTTCTGAGTGCAGAGGGACCCTCCAGGACTTCTGACGGTTCAACTGGGAACCATGTGCCCTTCCCCTTTTTCCGAGGAGCTGCTCCCTGCCACCGTCAATTCTCTCTGGCCTCCTTGCCCCTGGCTCCTGTGCTGCGCCTCCTGCAGAGCCCCTGAGTCTCCCTCCCATCCTCCCACTACTCTACCAGTGTGAGGCTCCTTCACAGGGAGTCTCCCTCCCAGGCTTCCTGCCTGCCGCTTCTCCCCTGTGCTCTCCAGCTTTCGAAGCCTGGCTTGTGTGGTTCCCAGAGCACAGCCCCCTCCTGGGGGCCAGGGAAGGGTGACTCTCCTGCCATCTTGTTCTCTCTAAGCTCCTCTGCCCATTTCTAGGCAGGAGAAACTGGGCTCAGTAATTCAGGCCTTGAGTGATTCTGCTGGGGTTGGGGACATGGAGAGGGTCTAGCAGGACAGAGAGCCAGGAAGGCCAGGTCTGGGCTCTGGGAGGAAGAAGAGCCGGCCCTACGAGGGAGGGTAAGACTGAGATGTCTGAGTATCTCAGCAGCATGTGTGTACACACGCACGCACGCACGCACACACGCACACACACACTCATGGTTTCTCTCAATTTTTTTTTTTTTATACAGGGTCTCCCTTTCTAATTCAGTCTGGTCTTGAGCTCACTGTGTTCAGGTTGACCTTGAACTTGTAAGAATCCTCCTGCCTCAGCCTCCCAATTGCTGGAATCACAGGTGTGTAGCACCACACCCCGCAGTTTCTTGCCTCTGTATCACTTTTGAAAAATAATATGCTAAGTCAAGGCAGAGAACCACAGTCAGCTAATGGCCAGAAGCAGTCTGTTTCTGACCCCAGGCCTCTGGAGTCCTCCCAGTGCCCTGCTGTGCCTCACCCTCCTGCCAGGAGTCATCTGGCCTCAGTCTCTTCTTTCCTTGTAGGTTTCTCTTTGGAGACCGGCCCTTCTGGTGGGTCCATGAGTCCGGGTACTACAGCCAGGCTCCAGCCCAGGTTCACCAGTTCCCTTCTTCATGTGAAACTGGTCCAGGTGGGCAGTGCAAACCTCTTCTCCCTAGGTGGCCGGGTTCCCATGAACATCCCCACCAGGACCAGCCTCTTGGCTACCAGCCCAGAAAACAAACTCCAGGAATATCAGGTTGGGTGACAGGAGGGCCCCCCTGCTGTGTGCCAGGTGCCTGCCTTGTGCAGAACAGAGCCCAAAAGCCAGGCGTGATGGCACACACCTGCAATCCCAGCACTCTGGGAGGCCAAGAGAGAAGGATCACAAGTTTGAATCTGGTCTGGGCAACTTAGTGAGATTCTACGTCAAAATAAAAATGTAAAAAGACCTGGGACTGGAGATAGAGCTCAGTGGCACAGTACAAAAAAAAAAAAAAAAAAGGTAAAAAGGGATGGGACCATAGCTGGTTCAGTCCTCAGTGTGGCAAAACAAACAGCAAAAGACACCAAAACACAGGGCCAGGTGGAAGCCTATAGGCGATGTCTTCAGGTGGGGTGAGATGGGCTCTGTGGCCGGAGGGAGCAGCTGACCAGTGCCAGTTGGCTTCTCGCAGAGGTGGTGGCACACAGCTGGGATTCCAGCCCTTTGGAAGCTTAGTAGGAGGCTCACATGTTCAAGGGCAGCCTGGGCTGTGTCGAGGCGACACCCTGTCTTAAGCAACCCTGTCAGAGCTCTCTTCTCAGCCAGAGGAGGCAGCCATGTCCACTGTCACCACCCCCTCACCCTAAGTCCCTGGGTCCCCACAGGCAGCCCTTCCGGACACTGCATGATCACAGGGGCAGCACTGTGGCCCGTGATGACAGCGCTGTCTTCCCAGGTGGCCGCCCGGTCACGCAGGTAACCAGTGGGAGAAGGGGCTGGCAGTGCCAAGGGCTGGGGCTCCACAGGGACCCTGCGAGCTGGCATCTGTCTTTGCAGCCGCTGGGTGCGGGCCATGCCTAGCCTGGCCTACTGCACCTTCCTGCTGGCCATCGGGCTGTCGAGGATCTTCCTCCTGGCGCACTTCCCCCACCAGGTGTTGGCTGGGCTGGTGACCGGTGAGCCGTGGGAACAGGGACGGGGTGGCTGGCCCTTCGGGTCTCCATCCTCCCTGCTCTGCAGAGCCCCGGGGTCTCCTGCCAAGCCACAGCGCCGCTTGTCTCAGTTGGGGCTTCACCTCTGTGACACTGCCTCCCCTTACACCCCAGGTGCAGTCCTGGGCTGGTTGATGACCCCCCGAGTCCCCATGGAGCGGGAGCTCAGTTTCTATGGTCTGACTGCACTGGCCCTCATGCTGGGTGCCAGCCTCATCTATTGGACCCTCATTACGCTGGGCCTGGACCTTTCCTGGTGAGTCACACTGGAGCCTGGGTGACCTGGGCTGCCCACCCTCGGGGACCTCCTCCAGCTCTCCTGCCTCAGCCTCCTGAGTGGCTACAGTCAAAAGCTGGTGGGTCTTTGGTTCATTATGGCAGAAAAAGGACCCGTGACCATCCCAATATGGGCTCTCCTAGGTGCAGCAGGATGTGGGCCCCCCCAATGGGCTCCCAGGGTCCACTCTCCCAGAAGGACACTCCTCCCACAGGTCCATCAACCTGGCCTCCAAGTGGTGTGAGCGGCCCGAGTGGGTGCACATCGATAGCCGGCCCTTCGCCTCGCTGAGCCGCGACTCCGGGGCCGCCTTGGGCCTGGGCATCGCTCTGCACTCACCCTGCTATGTACAGGTGCGCCGGGTACGGCTGGCCAGCAGCCAGAAGGTGGCCTGCCTGGCGCTGGCCATGGGGCTGCTGGGTGCCCTGAGCTGGCTGGGCCATCCGCCCCAGGCCAGCCTCTTCTACGTGTTCAACTTCCTCAAGTACACGCTGTGGCCCTGCCTGGTGCTGGCCCTGGTGCCCTGGCTGGTCCACTTGCTCAGTGCCCCGGAGGCCCCGCCCACCCGCTCCTCCTGACTCTGGCCTTGGGCCCCACACTCCCAGGCACAGCTCCAATGCCCAGGCCCTCGCTGAGGTGACCCCCACCTCCCAACACCTGGTCTTTTGCCCCCAGTGGGGTCTCCTGTCTCCCAAGAGGTTGAGCTATCCCTGTCCTCTTCTACTGCCTGAGCAGAGAGAGCAAGACAGGCGTGTTTCTGCAACACAGGATCGGCAGAACTTGAATAAAATCTGGGAAACTTGGGTTCCTTTGTTGTTTTTGCGATGTCTCACTATGCAGTTCTGGCTGCCTTTGAGCTCTCAGAAATCCTCTTGCCTCAGCCTCCTGAGTGCTGAGTTGCAGGTGTGCATCCCCATGCCACCTTCAGAGTCCTTCTGTTTCTCATGCCTGTGCCAATCCTGCTCACCCAGCTCCCACATAGGTGGTCAGGACAGGGCTTGTAGCTGAGGCCATGGGAGCAGTCCCCAAGTGCGAGCCACAGCAGGTGAGCCCTGTCTCCTTCCCACCCCAGCCTCCACTTTCTCAAGCTGACTCTTGTCTGGGCCACAGGGCAGGGTGTTCTGGATGGAACTCTGTACCCCGTTAGGAGCCCAAGAACAGACGCCGACCCCAGAAGACTCCAGGGACAAGGATGGGAGCCAGGGACAACTGGAGATGTGGGCTTATAGAAGTGACAGGCAGAGCCAGGGAACTAGCCACTGCCCTGCGTGGGGGGCCTACATGGCCTGGCCACGGGTGGAAAGAGTGGGCACTGGATGTAAAATGGGGGCGTCTGGCCCTGGAGCCGCTTCCCATCTTTAGTTTCCTGCAGCTGACGGTGCCCAGAGAAGCAGGGCCGGTCCCAATCTCTGATGCTAACTCTGTGAGCTGGTGCCTGGGATCTCAGCCTCTCACCATCCAGGGGCCCCCCTAATCCAGAGCCCTGGGAGAGGTGAGCCCCGCTGGCATCCCAAAGGGCAGGGAGTCGCTGGCACCCCAAGGGCAGAGAGTTGGGCCAGGAACAGCAGGACCCCTGCATGGTGGGGGAGGGGCAGTGCCTGGGACAGCCTGGCCCCAGTAGAGGAGGAGAGGGGCTGTGGAGCCCTGGGGACACACAGGGAAGGAGAGTGGGCCCAGGGTAAAGGCATCTGTCCTAGGGTGCAGCGGAAGCTGAGGCACTGCCCTGCTCCCAGCAGGCTGGCACCCACTGTTCTGCCCCAGCCCCAGGGAGGACAGTGAGGGACGAGACATGGGCACGGTGTGGGGCTGCACAGGGCCCTAGACAAGGCCAAGAGACCCACACAGCACACGCTGCTGAATGTGTGACTTTTTGTTTTTAATAGAAAAAATAAACAAAATCACAATGATGAAGGCCGGGGCTGGGGTCATAGGGCGGGCTCCTGCTCCATGGGCTCCTCCACCGGCCTGCAGGGACACAGGGTTGAGCCCGGGCCTTGAGGGGGCCTGGCCAGGCGTGGGGGGGGGGCAGCCATGCTCACCTGGGGCTGTGCTCCTGGGTCGAGGCCTGGGCCTGCTCGGCACCCACAGATAGCAGCGCCATGGCACTCACAGTCTCTGCCTCCTCTGCCTCACTGGCCTGGGCCTCCCGCAGGGAACGGCCCAGCCCTGCTGCGAACCTCTGCAGGCAGCTCCAGTGTTTGCCTGCCCCCAAGGGTCAGAGGTCAGGAATCAGGGGTCCCTGCCCTAGCACCTCAAGATCTTACCAGGCCAGCCCTGCTCAACGCCACATACCCTGGATCTCGATGACCTTCTCCAGTGTGGCCACTGCATTGATGTTGGGCTTCTGCTGCAGGATGGCCTCGTCCAAGGGCTGCAGCTGGTGGGGAGGAGAGGACAGGGGAGAGGGCTCAGGCCTCCTGCTTCGCCTTGCCAGCCTAAACTGCCCAGCCTGACCCTGTCCGGCCCTCACCTCCACACTGAGCAGGGCAGAGACGCAGGCCTCGGAGGCATCACAGATGGCCGTCAAGTCGTGGCCCCCCTCCAGGGCCAGTACCACTCGGCCCCCTGCCAACGTCATCAGCTGCCTGGTGAGGTGGCCGAAGCCTGGGGTGGGAGGAGGTGGGGGGGGGATAAGTGGGAAATGGTGATACCCAGAGGGAGTGGCTGTGGGGCAGACACTGGAGAACTAGGGCAGACTCAAAGCCACACCAAAGCACAGCCAAGGGCAGGTCTACCGGCTGGGTCAGAAAGGAAAGGACAGCATTGGGGAAACCCACTCTGGGTAATGGCACAAGGGACACCACTGCCAGGCATAGGGGCATGCCTGTCATCCCAGCATTCGGAAAGCTGAGGCAGGAGGATAGCTGAGAGTTCAAAACCAGCCTGAGCTACACAGTTGAGTGTAGCCACTCTGAATTACATAGTGAGCTTCTGTGTCAAAAAGCAAAACAACTAAACTACACAAAACCAACATGTCCTCCTGTATCGCCCAAAATAGGCTCCACTGGAACCTGAGAACCAGCAAGCCCCTCCTGCCCAACTCCTGCAGCCGCAGGACAGATCCCTGCTGTACCCCCAGCCCCGGGGTGGTCCTGCCTGAGCCCTCCCTCCCCACTTCCCTAACGGCTCACATCTGGCGGTGACAGAGTAGCCACCCAGCGGGGACAAGTGTCCTTCCACGGCGTCGAAGCCAGCGGAGACCAGGACCACATCAGGAGCGAACTCGTGGGCGATGGGCATGACCACTGTTCTGCAAGCAGGCCCTGGGCTGGGACCATGCCCTCATGCCCCGCCCACAAGGCCACGCCCCCGCACCCGCTAGGAGTCAAGACCACGCCCTTAGGCCCATACCTCCCACAATTGAGACCACGCCCTCACCCCCCCCCCCAGATCACAACCCGCCCCACGGCCCAACCTGAAGGCGGCCAGGTACTCCACGTCCCCGATGGGAGGGTCCACGCCGCCAGTCCAGGCCACGTTCACATTGTACCCCACGCCGGGGCCCCCACCAACCTGGCGCGGGCCGGAAAGAGGTGAGGGGAGGGGAGCGGGAAGTGAGGACTCCCACCGCTAGTGCTCCTCTGCCTCCCAGAGCCCAGCCCCCGCACCTCCTCCGGAGCCCCGGAGCCCGGGAAGAAGTTGCCGTTGTCATAGCGGTGCAGCGAGATGTAGAGCACGGAAGGGTCAGTGTAGAAGGCCTGCTGCGTGCCGTTACCGTGGTGGATGTCCTGGGGGACAGGGTACATGCCTGACCCACTGCCCTGCACCCGGGCAGCCCCACTGCTCCAGCCTGCACCTTCACCATCTTCTCTACCTCTGCCCTGGAGAAGGAACTCAGGATCCAGTGCCTACCACCAAGGACTCTACCACCGAGCCGAGCTGCACCCCACCCTCTCCTAAGATTTCATGTTTTTTATTGACTTGCTGTTTTGCCAGGGCCTATCTAATCTAGGTTGGCCTTGTCAAACTCATTGTAGCTGCCTCAGCCTCCCCAGCAGCTACAATGACAAGCATGTGCCCTGGCTTTTTAAACTTGCTGAGCCCTGAAGATTTTGAGGTGCTGAGGATTGTTCATGGTGGGTTCCCCAAGCACAGTGAATGGGAACCAGCTGCAGTTTCCCCAGCTCCATGGCCTCAGTGGGAGGCCTGCTGGGGCCTTCACTCACAGAAACCTCTAGTCCCAGCACTTGGGGAGGCCAAGAGGGCTCCTGACATGATGTCAGCCCAGGCTGGAGGGTGGGGGAAGGTGGCTTCTAGCAGGGGTGACAGCAATGTCCCATAGGTTCAGGCTGAAAACCCTTTGGCTTGGGGGCTGCTGGGGAGACCCCTGTGGACAAGGGCAGTGGCACCTTAGGATAACACAGAGAGGGGCCTCTGCAGCCCTCGGACTGGCTGACAACCCAGCAGGATGGAGGAGGGTCACTGCCTCACCCCCTGGCAGCCACACCTACCCAGTCCACAATGAGGACCCTGCCCACACTCAGCTTCTGCTGCAGCAGTTTGGCTGTGATGGCCACTGAGTTGAAAAAGCAGAATCCCCTGTGGGGCAGGGAGAAAGGCAGTCAGCCCTGGACCTGAGGGGATGTTGCTGCTGCCCAGCTATGAGGACAGGGATAGCCACACTTACATGGCAGTGGACTCCTCCGCATGGTGTCCTGGGGGTCGGATGATGGCAAAGCCATTCTGAAAAGGCAGAGGCAGGGGCCAAGGCCAGATGCAGGGCAGCAAGGTGGCCAGGGGTCAGGAGGTGGGCACAAAAGGAACAGAAGCCAAGTGGGAAATGGGATGTGGGTCAGACAGTCGCTTGGAGATCAGGGCACTATTATGGTTCCTGCCCCAGGCCCCCCAGGTGCTTGGCACGGACCCTGTGTCGACAGCCCCTTTTGTCCCTGCACTCTGGCAGTCCAGGGCTGTCCCTACCTTACCCTGGCCCCCAGGGCTGAGGATGCAGAGGACAGACCCCAGGAGGGAAGGCTGAGACTGCTGCATCCCTGCCCCAGGACCCAAGGCCACAGCTGCCCTCACCTTGAGCTCGCCTGAGGCCACCTTGAAGGCCAGCTCCAGCAGGCAGCCCACGGCCATGCGCACAGCGCTCGAGGAGTGCATCTCGTTCCACACAGTGTCGCTGTCCACCTGCACAGAACAGTGGCTCAGTGACAGGAAGGATGGTGCTGGCCCTGTGCCTGCCTGTCAGAGCCTGAAATGGGCAGTATAGGCAACTCACCCCAATGCCCCCGCAAGGCAGCACAGCATACATCTTCTGGCTGATGGGGCCTGTGGGAGAGGACAGAGCTGCCATGTCTCTTGGGCTGTGCAGACCCAGGCCCCGCCCCCAGCCACATCCTCACCAAGCAGCTTCTTGCTGTCTAGCTTCTGCCGGTTGAGTGGGCTGGTCCCGTACAGCAGTGTGTGCAGCTCTGAGTGCACCGTCTGAATCTCGTCCAGGGTGGCCTTGCGGCCCCGGACCCGCTGCGAGCGGCAGGAGAGGCTGCATGGGGCTGTGAACCCATGGCCAGGTCCCTGGCACCACCCTGGACACTGCCCTGCCCCCACCAGGATGGTGGGGCCCTCACCTCACACTTGCCCAGCAGTCCAGTCTCCTGCAGCCTGGACCAGATGCTCTGGATGCGGCCGGCATGCTCGGGGTGGACATGCGTGTTCCCGCACACACACTGGTGCTTTAGCATGAAGGTGTCGTACACCACGCCTGGGCACAGAATCCATTAATGCTGCCACCCTCCACTCCCTGGGCCAGCTCCACCTTGCCTACCCGGCCAGCCTGCCCAATGCGGACTGACCCTGGCCCCACTGGCACACAGTAGGCAGAGGGAGCCAGCTGCAGCACCACCCTGACAGTCATGGGGAGCAGAGGATGTCCAGCAGTGGGTACTCACCAGTGGTAAAGAGAAACTTGGTGGGCAGATCTGGGGGGCTCCTCGTACCACCCGGTGCAGCAGGCGAGGATTGGGTGCGGCCCAGGGCCTGGTGGGGTACAGTGGCCAGGCTGAGGGGCGCCTGATACACACGTAGGGGCGGCAGCTGCGGGGCATCTGTGAAGAGCTGCAGGGAGGGTGAGGGTGAGGCTCCCAGGGACAGGCAATGCCTGTGCAAGGCCCAGGGGAACATGTGAGTCACCCAGCCCCTGAGGAAAGTGGGAGTCGGGGGCGGTGTGAGTCAGGCCGCTGGGCTGCTCCACTATGAATGGAGCGACGTAGCCACAGCGGGCGGTGTATACACACGGCACATGCAGAGACTTGACACACACACAGTGGGACAAGGCACCCCCACCGCGCCCCACTGCAGCACACAAGGACGGGATGGGTTAGGATGGGCACCTTTTTGTAGCCAGTGCTGGGCTCCTCCAGGTCGGGACCCTCCTCGGAGCCACTGTTGCCTGCTGGGTCCTGGACCTGCACATAACAGTCCTCCTCATCCTCCAGATCCTCATCATCCTCCTCCAAGTCTTCCTGGGTGCTCTCACTCTCTGTGGAGCCCTCCCGGGGCATTGTCAGGGCCTCTTCAACCAGCAAAGCCTCCTGCTGCTCCGTAAGCTCCTCCTCGGTCTCCTCAGGGTGTGTGGTGGGCGGCCTGGGCAGCTCCCCGGTCTTAGTGAGGATCTGGGGACATAAGGCAGGGGCACTCTCAGCAGGAGGCCAAAATGGAACTGCCCAAGGTCAAGGCCAGCCTGGAAGATAGTGCGAGGCTTGGCCTCAAACACCAGGAGAAAGCAGGGGTGCGCACCCCACCCCATGTACCTTGCCCAGCTGCAGCTGCTGCTGCTTCTGCTTCTCCAAGAACTGCTGCTGTGTGACAAGCTGCTGCAGTGCCTGTGGACTCTGTGGCAGCGGCGAGGACTGTGTGCGGCTTAGTGGCCGGTGTTGGGGCAGCTTCCCCACTGTCCGCATGCTGGTGGCCATGCGCTCGCCGGTTACCAGGGGGGACTGCCCATGAAGCGGCACTGTGGGGGCAGGGGAGAGTGAGCCCCGCAGCCCACCCCGTGTGAACCCCAATCCACCACATTGCCTTGCCCAGCTCCCTGCCCCACCCACTGTGCCCCTCAGATCCACTGTCCCATCTGCTGGCCAGGGACCCCAGGGCTGCGAGCAACCGACCCTCATGATGACTGTGGTGCACATGGCCCCAGTGCCATAGCCATTAGCTCTGTGTGGCTACACAGCCTGGAAACAGTCTGTCTATACTGGCCCGTGACTGCAGGTACAGTGCGGATAGAGACAAATACCTGACACTGACCATAGCTGGTACACACTGAGATTTTTAGTATTATTTATTTTTTATTTTGGTTTTTTGAGTCAGGGGCTCACTACATAGCCCAGGCTGGCCTTGAATGCACAACAACCCTCCAGCCTCATCCTCCTGAGTACTGGGATGACAGGTGTGCACCACCATGCCCAGCCTGAGCATAATTTATTTTTTTTCCTTTTTTTCATACCAGGGGATCAAACTCACAACCACATGCTTGCAAGGCAGGCACTTATGCCACTGAGCTTAATCCCCGGCCCCTGAAGATAATTTAAACACACGGCATAAAACTAATTTCTTGCCTTTTTTTACCCCTTTCCTCTCCTTTTTTCCTTCCTCCCTGCTTTTCCTGAGGTAGGGTCTCACTAAGTAGCCCAAGACACATCTTGAACTCATCGTGATCCTCTTCCCTCAGCCTCCACATCCAACTTTTTTTTGTCTTTTTCCTTTTTATAGGTACCAGGGACATATCCAACTTTTCTGACCTCTCAGCACAGCTGTCCCCACTAGGCAGGAGCTGGCAGCAGACCCTGCACCCTTACCAGCAATAAGGGTGCTCTGCTGCCGGGCCTGCTCCAGGAGCAGCACATGCTGCAACAGGGACGCATGCCCGTGGGAGCCCGAGTCGCCCTCCAACGCCACACCCAGGAGGCAGCCGGGGATGGAGGAGGTGCTCAGGAACTTGCCGGTCAGCGAGCCACCAGGCTGCAGAGACTGGAGGGCCTGCCTCTCGGCCTCCTGCTGCGTCGTGAGCTTCGCGGAGGCCTGGCAGGGCGAGCAGGACACGGAGAGGGTGAGGGGGAGCCCCGGCTGCCCTCCGTGACCCAGCCCTGGGAGGGCCATGGTCCCAGCACTTACTGTGAGGTGCGAGTTGGTGACGGTCACTGTGGGCTGCAGCCCAAGGGAAATGTTGGGCAGAGAGGGAGATGAGTAGAGGTTGAACTGGTTGGGGGAGCTGTCCAGGGTGGGGGCCCGGTGCTGGGGGAGCATCTGATGAACAAGAGGGAGCGTGAGGGCAGCATAACCCCAATCCCCCACAACTCTCTGGATGGGCAGGGGCCTGGTTAGGCGCCTGGGGCTGCATGTCTCCCTGGGTACCTCTGTGGGGATGTTGGGGACTGAGCCCGTAAAGCCATTCTCAGCGATGGTACTGTGGGAGCTGTTGGGAGAGCTGGGGCCAGAGCCAGGTGCACTGTTACACACGGATGACACTATAGAAGAAGCAGCTGTCACTGGGGCCTGCTCCAGGCCACCCATTCCCAGGCCCTCCAGAACCTGGACCCATGAAGCCCTCACCCCCGTGGCTGGTGCCTGTGATCTCCACGGCTCTCTTCTTAAAGGTGCTGATAACAGTCCCATCCTTGCGGCGCAGCAGGGGGCTGCTTCTCCGCTCAGCTACCTTCTGCTTTAGCCTTGACCTCACTTTCAGGTTGGGTTCTGAGGCTGTGGGACATGGAGGACTCAGCATGGCCATGGCTACGTCCACTGGAACCAGTCCCCCCAGGACTACCCCTCTGCTACCACTTACCTGTCTTGCGCAGGGGGAAATCATCACGGCTGTCGTACGGCCCCAGAAGAGGCAGCTTGTAGGAGGGAGGTGTCCCGGGGGGGCCGCTCTGGGGAGGGGAGCTCTGGTCCAAAGAAGCGTGGTGGGCTCCCCTGGGGGGGCAGACCTGTCACCCCACGCCCAGCCCACCAGCGGGGACAGGCAGGGGCGGCCCCTTGGGCACAGGGACAGGGACTGGTCCTGAGCATCTCCGGGGGATGGGTGAGGCCACCCTGGTAGGACCCTGCCCCTGCCCCCAGCATTACCAGCACTTGGGGTGCTGAGGGAGGGAATGGTTGAGGCCGCCTGGCGTGGGCTCCTTCGACTTGGACAGGAGGAACTCCTGCAGCCGCAGCTTCACCTCGGTGCTGGCAATGGCACCTGCGGGTGGGGCCACTGAGCTGGGTTCGGGGCCAGGTGGGACCCTGCCGCCACCCATGCCCCCGGCCCTTACTCTCTTTGCTCTTCTCCTTATGGCGCAGGACCACCAGCTGCTGCTCCAGCCGCTGCCTCTCCAGCTCCTCCTGCTGCTGCTGTTCCCGCTGCCGCTGCTGCTCCAGGTCTCGCTGCCGCTGGGCTGCCAGTCTCTCCTGCTGCTGCTGCTGCAGGTGGGCAGAGGCAGCGGGAGGCGGCGTGAGCAGGTATGGGCAGCAAGCAGGGCAGGGCAGAACAGGGCCTGGCCACCCCACGCCCACCTGCAGGTGTTTCTGCAGCTGTGCCTCGTGCTGCCGAGTCAGGTGTGCATGCTGCTTCTGGAACTCGGCGAACAGAAGCTGCTTCTGCAGCTGCTGTTGCTGCTTCAGGGCTGCCAGCTCCTGCTGCAGCTGCCGCTCCCGCATCACGGGGTCTGTGGGGTCCACAGGCTCCACAGCCCCGGCCGGCAGCCCCCGCCGCACCCCAGGGCCCATGGTACTGGGCATGGTCCCAGGCAGTGCCGGCTTCACCTCTACTGTGGACACAAGAGGAGACAGCTTGGTAGGTGCTGGGCAGGATGACCCAGACCCAGGGTGCAGCATAGGTGTCAGGACGCTCTCAGGATGCTGTTGTCTACCCGCATGAGGAGATGAGATGGTGCCCTGGATTATGGGAAGGAAGTACGCACAGAGCCAGGTACAGCTGGGAGTAGCGTAGCCTTGGCAAGCACAGGGCTCTGGGTGCCATCCCCCACACTCAAGAGGCTGAGGCAGGAGGATCACAAATTTGAGGCCAGCCTGGGCTACATAGTAAGTTCAAAGCCAGCTTGAGCTACATGGTGAGACCTTGTAACAAAAACCAAAAACCCCCAAAAACGTTGCAGCTTTGCTCACTTTCCTGCGCCTTCTCCTGATCTCTCAACACCATGCCCCCACCAAAGCCTACACCAGAAGAGAAAATGAGGCACAGATCAGCAGCTCCAGAGCTGCTGCGGCCAGCAGCTGGGGTGTCGGGTGAATCCCATCCTGGGGATGCATCCTGCAGGCCCCACCCTCTCCATCTCCATCAGCCTGACAGGGACAGGAGGGGGGATGCAAATAGGGGAAGGGTCACACAGCCCAGCCAGGGGAGGGGCTGGGAGTGGGGTGGCTTCCTCTGCTAGATTATCTCCTTTCAACAGTTTTATTGTAATTACCGTGAACCGAGCTATATATAGAGCCAGCCAAGCAGCAGCTGTGTTGCAGGGAGGGGACAGGAAAAAGAGGGAATGGGACAGGAAGCAGAGCAAGGGGGCCCCATCCCAATGCACAAGGTGTCACAGGTGAGTAGAGGCCCCATCATGGACAGTGGGCTGAGGGTTCCAGGGACATAGGTGGCTCCCACCTAGTGGACGCATGGGGAGGCTGGGCCTCAGCCTGAACACTATCCCCTGGTCACTTGCACAAAAGGCCTTGTGGTTGCTAAGGCTACTGGGCAAACACCACACCAGTAGGGAGCCCCAAGCCCGGCCCAGCAGGAAAGGCAGGCAGGAAGCGGGCCTGGGAGGAGGAAGTTAAGAAGGCAGCATCAGCTTATCTGGTTTCTTTTCTACTCTTCCCTGTAGCCAGGCCCAGGGAGCCCGCAGGGGCATGCACGCTACAGACAGCAAAGGACCCCATCCTAGACAGCTGCAGGGGACAGGCCTCTCCTGCCTGGCAGCCCACAGCAGGCCGGAAAGAGCTGGGGGTGTTGCCAGGCAGGGCAAGGCCACAGGAGGCCAACAGCCCTCGAAGTAGAGTGGCTGGGTGTACAGCAGGCCTGAGAGTTTCCCTTGTACCCCCACCCACTCCTCACTGGCCAGGCACATTCCTCAGTGGTTTCCCATCAGCCTTGCTGACGACTCTGTGGCCACCAGGCCAGAGCCACATCTGCAGGAGTGGCCAGATGTGGCCAGGGGGTGGAGTCGCATGAGCATGCTGGAACACTGCACTCCCCGCCTCCCTGGAAATCCAGCTTCCAGGAAGCAGCCCCGACCAGAGTAAAAGGCAGGTTGCACCCAGCAAGCACCCAAGCAGGCAACAGGGCTCCATCACTAGGCAAAGCTGGCTTGGCCTTGGCACCCCACTTCCTCAGTCAAGTGCGGATGGTGGTACCCTGCTGTTCTGGAGGCAGGAGGCGGATGCCAGCTGCCCACCCGGGAAAGGCAGGGGTCCAAGCTCCTGGTGCCTAGCAGAAGACCTGCACGGGTGGGAAGTGTGGCCAGTAGGCTGGCTTCCCTTGCACATGGCCTCAGACGTTACCGTCCCACAGTGGCCGCTGCCCTGGCTGCCTGGGCCACCCCGCCAACAGCAAGTGGAAGCCCAGGGTGCACAGGATTTAATCTTCAGGAGCTAAAGCACACCATGACTCTGGCAGGCAGCACCTGGCTCTGCTCAGACCACAAGGGTCTATAGCTGTGTCCCCTGACTCAAGAAGGAGGCGGCTAGCCTTGGAGTCCCCACAACATTGCCTGTTGTGCACAAGACCTAGGCCTGGTTTCTGGGCACGCCCTTGCCTGCCTGGCACAAGCACAACAGGGAGCAGCAGCTGCCATCAAACCCTGTACCTGTTGAGGGACAAGGGTGTGGTGACAGGCAGCCTCTCAGCAGGCCAACCAAGCAACCAAGCTGGGGAAGCTGGGGGGCAGCAGAAGGACGCTGCTCCCAAGGGTCGTGCAGGATGCTGTAGAGCAAAATGCCTTCCGGAAGCCTGAGAAGAGGTCCCAAGTGGGGCGAGGCTGCTCCATCCCTCCCTGCCCTGGCTGTGCTCTGACAGTGCCCAGGAGTCCAAAACCCAGAAGCTGTGGAGATTGGGACCTGCCTTTTGCTGGCCTCATGCTGACCGCAGCTGCGGCAGTGGGTGGCCAGGGCTGTGCAGCCTTGTCCTCCAGGATGGCCACAGGCACTGAGCTCAGGCCTTACTCCTTTTCAGAGCCCTGTTAGCCTGGGGACTCTGAGGCAGATTCCTGGGGCAGCATGGCCAGAGGTAAGCAGCTCTACAGCAGGGCCAACAGGGCCCAAGTCCAACTCGGGGCCACTCAGGTGGCCATGCCTGAGTGCCCTGGAAGACCTTGGGGTGGCACTGCAGGCAGACCTGCCTGGCCCTCAGGCTGAGGGAGGAGGGTACAGGGAGGTGAGCGCTGTGGTGCCTTGGCACCTGCACAGGGTACAGCGGGGCTTGGAGCAGCCCTAGCCGGAGTGGCCAGCTCTCACGTGATTTGTGGTCATCTGTTCTGCACTCTGCACACAGCAGCGACCCCAGTGCCTCAGGGAGACTGTGGTGCCCAGCAGCAGCAAAACAGAACCCATGTGCCAACCTGCAGCAGTCCTGGCCCCTCTGAGTGCACAGGCAGACGGGCTGCATGCCACAGCTGACCTCTGGGCCCCCAGAACTCCTGGCCAGGGCAACCGCAGGCAGTACCCTCAGGGCTTTGTTGCTCTGTGCCCATCCGTGAGAAGGAGAAAGGTCCCTATCCTGTCCTGGCCCCGGGGATGCTAGGAAGGAGGTGGACACAGTGGGCTGTGCAGCCTGTGACCCATCCTCACCGTGGTTGGTTCCCAGGATCTATTTCTGGGTTCTTACGTGACCAGGGAGGCTGCCATTGGCCCAACAGGTTCTACCACAATCCAGGCAGCAGAGAGGCAGCAGTGGCAGCATTCCCTGTGTGCAGACTGGTGGTGCTCACCCAGCAATTTGCGCAATGCCCGCAACGCTGTGGGCCGGGGTGCGGGCAGAGCTGCTGCCAGACTGCAGCATGCAGTGCCTAAGCTCTGAGCCTGCACTGGCAAAGCCACCACATAGCAGCTACCTCTCAGGGCCACAGGCCTTCAGGATGTGGCCAGGCACCTGAGCTCCCAGGGCAGTCAGCCTTGTCATGGTCTGGGTCACCTTAGCAACATAGAATGGGGACTATGTCTGCAGACTAGGGTGCAGCTCAAGGTGGGGCATTTGCCTCAGAGGCCCAGTACCATTCCCAGGCACCCAAAAAGCTATTTCCAAAGAGCACAGAATGAGACACTTAAAACACACAAGGCCCACCACACGCTCCAAGCCAGACAGGCCCTGCACTCGCACCTGCAGCTCCCAGCTCCCTTCCTCTCCTGAGACCATGCCAGGACCACGTCCCCCAAAGTTCCTGCGAGGCCCTGCTGGACACCAGCACTGGAGACGCCATTGACAGAGCAGCTCCGTCATTGACAGAGCAGCTCCCTGGACCGTAACCTTTCGGCCTGTTCCCAAGAAACCACCTCGCCACACAGGTGAGGGCTCCTTCACCTGGAGCCCCATGCCCCCTCCTGTAAGCAGAGCCATGTGACACTGGTGCTGTGGGGACACCTAGAGCCACAACTCTGGGGGGGGGGGGAGATACCGCCAGGCCACCTGGGAGGTTACCCTGTCTCTATGCTCCCCAAGCCACATGTGGTGGCCACCTCTAACCCCTGACCTGGGAGCTGAGGCGGGAGGGTCACTGCAAGTTCACACCCAGCCTGGAGTACAGGGGAGACCTTGTCTTAGGAACCGAGCAAAAATAAATGTGATCCCGAAGGCTATTCCTGGATTTCCCTCGAGCTGCAGCAGAAGTCTGGGTGGGGGTCTGGGATCCTAGAATCTGGACAAGCACCAGGCTGCCCCTAGAGCATACGGTACTCAGGGGTCAGATGGAAGGAAGTCTGACTGCGACTGTGAAGGACCTGAACTCCAAGTTGGGCATGGTGGACACCCCTGTAAGCCCAGCACTTGGGAGGCTGAGGCAGGGGAAGCATTTTGAGTTCAAGGCCAGCCTGAGCTATCAAAAAATAAACCAATCAATCCCCAGCAGTGCAGGGCCTGACAGGAGAGCCGTGACACACGGTGGAAACACAGCAAAGAAGGGCTCAGCACCAGTTTGGGACCCCCAGGCCTGCCCCTCTGGAGCTCCTGGGAAACACCTGGGAGCACAGCCACCGGGACCCTAATAGCCACACGGCCCCGGCTGGGCAGCAGGGTAGAACAGTGGCCTCATCACCACGCATAGCCAGTCCCAAGCTTTAGGCCAAGTCCTGCCACTCGCTGTGGCCCGCTGCTGGGGTGGACACCTGCTCTAGGCAGGCATGGCCACACATACCTGTCCCAACAGCTGCACTACTGGGATCAGGTTTGCTACCTCTCTCAGCAAGGGTCGTCCCGCCAGGGCCTACAGGTACTGGATCCCCAGCTTCACAGGGTAGAAGAATGGACCCTTCCTCCCTCCACACAGGGCTTAGCACACACACAAAAGAAAAGCCCGAGCCTGGTGCCCCACGCCGGTCCAGGGGATGCACACCAGTCTGGGACAGACGGGCTCTACGGCTCTGCCACAATGGGCAGCTGTTCCAGTGGTGCCTTCGATCCACAAACCTGATTCCCTGTCCAGCAGCTGGGTTGTAGGGAAGTGACAGCTGGGGCCTCAAGGATAGAGGCCAAGAGGGAGGGTGTGGCACTCGGCTCGGCTCCCTGGGGCCCAAGTCCATCCAGGGAGAGCCGGCACCCACCCAGCATTGTGTGTTCCAGGAAGCAGGGCCGGGACAGCAGAAGCTCCCAGATCACGGTGCTCCCCAGGGACATACAGTGGGGTGCCAAGGTGGCCCCCCATGGAGGTAACACAAGTGGCACACTGAGTGTGGCCATGGACTGAGCCAGGGCAGGCTGAGGCTAAAATCTGACCCACGCTCCCATGGCTAAGCAGTGACGCGGCACAGGGGCACAGGGGCACGTCAGAAAGGCTGAGCCAGAAAGGCTCCCTTTAACATAAGCTACAAGGGAGCATCCACATGGACCAAGGGCCCCACACTGAGGCCTGAGTTCAAACTGCACCTCCTGGTGTGACATCACATTCATAGACCTCTGGTCCTCCTCACTGTGAGATGCATTATTAACATCCTTACAGTGGGCAGAGCTGGGGCACCCCTACGCTTGCCACCTGCCTGGGCTGGCCCTTCCATCTTTCAACCCCAAACCCCTTACACATGTAGCCACATAAGGAGATACCGGGGAAAGCAGGGGCGCATCCATATCCAGAGCCCCTCCCTGCATGGGGACAGAGGTCCTTCAATGCTCTCACCTAGTACTGGGGACCAGACTCAGGGCCCCTGCGCTGAGTGATTTCCCAGTCCTTTCCATTTTTTATGTTTTGAGACACCATCTTGCTAAGTAGCTGTTACCTAGGTTGGACTTTAACTTGTGATCCTCCTGCCTCAGCCTCCCTTCACATGCCTCACACTGCCCAGGCATCAGTCAGACCAAAGTCCACAGAAGGGAGCTCAGAGTCCAGGGTAGGAGGCCGACAACTCCTGGGACATCCACACTGAGTCTCACTTCCAGTAAGACCCTGCCATGGCAGCTAAGGCCCGGGACCTCAGAGGTGGGAACAGCGGCACACCTAGCCCTTTGTGCGACCTGCTGAGGTTCAGGCACCATAAGGCTGGGTGGAGAACAGAGCAGGGAACTAGTCTGGAGTCCAAGCCCCACCCACTGCAGTGTCCATTCATATAGGTGCCAGGCACAGTGCTCAGCAGTGGGCACTGGCAGCCACCAGGACAACCCAAGGCAGGATCCAAGCCTCTTATTCCAGTACTCGGGAGGCTGAGATAAGAGGACTGCCACAAGTTCAAGACCAGCCTGAACCTCATAGCAGGAGCCCATCTCAAATAACAAAAAGCAAAACACAGCGCAGAGCACAAGCTGCCATTCAAACAGCGCCCAAGCTTGCAGCTAGGGATGGCAGGGAGGGCCTGCCTGGAGGACCTGCTCTAACCCTTCGGGCTGGGTTCATCCAACACATGCCACTTGCCACCCAGAAAGTAAAGAGGTGCTGCTGCCAGCCGTGGACTCTGGGAGCCTGCATCCTGCCGGGTCAGAACAGGAGAGAAATACCAGGCTGCTCCCGGCCGCCACAGCCTCGTTTATCTTGGACGCATATTTCTTTAATCCAAAGGTTAACGTGTTTCTATTTGAAACATGTATTTACATTCCAGAGTCCAAAAAAAAACCCCATGGATACAAGACAGCCAAGCCCCAGGCCTATATCTGTCCCCAGCCCGCGTCACAGCGCACCGCAAGCTCGGGGGACATTCCTAACCCTCTCCCGGCAATGCAGAGGTGACTCACACCTCCTGCTCACCAGCAGCCCTGGCCTGCATCTCACTGGGTGGGAGGATAGGACCAGAGGCACACAGAAGCCCAGGGCAGCAGGCCCAAGCAAGGGGACAGGCCCAGCCCGAAGGGACCAGCTGGGATGGTGCTCAGGCCATGTGCTGGGCCAGGGACAGCACATGGTGCATGACGGAAGGAGGGAACTCACACAGCCACTGTTCTAGGGGCCTGGGGTGGCAGCAGGGCTGGAGCTGAAGCTGCAGGCCTGATGAGGGTGGTGAGAAACAGCCTCCTCAGACCCTCTTCGCCCAGAGATGCCTTGGCAGAGACTCCGAGCCAGTACCCCCCAGGGACCCTGCATGCTATCCCTGCCATGTGTCTGGGATTTCCAGAATCTTCCCAGACCTCAGCATCCAGGCTCAGAGCCAAGTCTCAGGGATGCACAGGGACTCAGGCCCCACCTCTCGATTCACAGCCTGGGGCTCTGCACCCACAAGCCCAGTGCCAGGACTTCCCACAGCGCCCACGCCTTGGGTCCCAGCTGACAGGGAGGCTGTGGGGGAGCGTCCAGCAGCCCCTCCCTGTGGGAGCATCCTGCGATGCCGGCCTGGTGGGGCAGCTGTGCCAGAAGGGCCTGGTGCTGCCAACAGGTTCCAGGGACCAGGGAGGAGTGGCTGCTTGGGGGTACACAACCCCCACACCAGGCCAAGGAGGTCCCCTCCATGGAGGCATAGGGCGAGGGACAACAGGGCTGGGCTGACAGCTCTCCACCCTCAGGCTGGTGGTGAATGAGTGACAGGATGCCGAGCCCGACACCCCAGCTACTGGCCCTGCCTGACCCCAATGGCTGCAGTGAACCGCCCCCCATCAGTGCAACAGACCTTCCCCCCAGATACCAGGCCAGAGCAGCTGGGGTAACATGCATGTGGGGAAGGCCACCACGGTCGCTGCGGAGCTATGGCTCCCTGCACCCAAGCCCAGAAGCAGGTGGCCTGGAGACCACAGGTCACTGACCAGGAAGTCCCAGTCCAGCAATGGGGTGGTTCTCCAGGGGGCCATGGGACAGAGGATGCCAGGCAGTGGAAGACAAGGTTCCAGGGAGGGGACCTGCAGGAGCAGGCACGGCCTGACCTCCCCACGGTTGGCGTGATCTCTGAGTGCCATTGGGATGGGCCCCACCTGAGGGGGAAGTGGCTTGGCTGCCAGCACAGGCCGGGACAGGCGGACAGCATGGTGGGTGCTCACCTGCCACAGGGATGCTGTGCAGTGAGGTCCGTGGCAGGATCTCCAGGGATGGCTCCCGGCCAGGCGCGCCATCTGTGGAGAGAGTGGACTCCGTCTCGTAGATGGTCTGTAGCACCTCTAGGAGCCCCTGCGCCTTGGGCACCAGCAGCATGCCCTGGAGCTCCAAGGGCAGCGAGGCTCAGGGACTCCCTGTGGTCACTGCACAGTGGGGAGGTGCCTCATCCGCCTGGGTGCTCGGGGACAGCCTGCGGACAGCTGGCCCAGGGACAGTTGAGTAGCTGAGCCTGGTGGCCTTGAAGCTGGGGATCACCGTCCCGCACCTAGCAGCCGCTGGCTCCAGGGACTGGAGGAGCTCGGTGGGGCGGGTGGCTCCTGGTCCCCTCCCAACCCCACTGACAGCTCAGGGCCGGCTCCCTGCTCACACAGTGAGCCACTGGCAGCTGGCAGGAGACTGAAATAGCAGCTGGGGGAGGGCCCTGGCTATAAATAGGTGGAGCGCTCTAAGCTCAGGCTGCCAGGAGCCCGGCTGGCAAGGCCCTGCGGGGCGGCACTCCACCTAGGAGGGAGCGCCAGCGAGGGGAAGGGACTGGACAGGACAGAACGAGACGTGAAGGGCCGCAGGGCCAAGGCTGTATGGCCGGTGGGTGGAAGCTGGGTGGGCCGGGCCAGCCCTGGGCCACCACTCCCCCCACTCGCCAGGGATGAAAAGGAGGTGCAGGACTGGGCTCAGGATGCCAGCCACCACTTGGCCTAAACTTCCTAGAGCCCTTCCTCTACACAGATCTTCCTCTGCACAAGGCTGGGAGGGAGCAGGGACCACAGCCTGGGCGGGAAGGACAGGGACCCTGGCTTTCCCACAATCCTCTCAGCAGCCCTGGGGCCTTCCCTTCCAGGGAGAGCAGGGCATACACAGCATCTCATTTTCCCTGCGTGATGACCTCAGGAGACAGCTGTAGATGGGGAAACTGAGGTACCGTCACTTGCCCAGGATCACACGACAGGGTCAGGAGACTGACCTAAAGCATGCACCTGAGTTCTAACCACCCTGTCCATGGCCTCCTGTGAGGGGCACAAGGGGCCACCTGGGGCCTCTGTTGAGAGCTACAGGGACCCAGGGCCAACAGAACTGCCCTGGGCATACCCTGCACCACACCTGACCCCTGACCTCCCCGGAGCCTTTTAATAGCTTAATTATTCCTGGTTTACATCCCCCTCCTCCAACGTCACAGTTACTATTTTGAGGCCCCCTCTGGGCTCCTCCTTGCCCCTGACCCCAGGCATGAAGCCAGGGACACCTGTCCTCTCCCTGCACTGGTGACCTCACCCTCCCATCAGAAGCTGGAAGGTGCTGACCAAGTGAGGACATGGTGGCTCTAACTCTCGCCAGCCAGGGCTAGAACTGGGGTTCCTCCTTGAGGGGAGGCCACAGGGACAGATCAAGAGGCAGAGGCAGCTGTCCCCCAGGCTTAGACAGAGGTGACAGCATGGCAGGAACCAGGTGGGGACCAGGAACCAAGCAGGTGCCAACACTCCTCAACCAAGGCAGACTCCATGGAAGAGTGATGGGTCAGGGACTCACAGGCTACCCTGCCCCACCTAGGTCCCTGCCCAGGGTAAGAGGTAGAGACCCAAGGGAGCCCAAAAGGGTGGGGCAGCAGACCCAACCTCCAGGACTCCACTGCCTATGCTAGGCACAACTGGGAGGGCTGGGACAGCTGGCTGGGGCTCCCTGTGAGTTCAGCTCCTGGACAGTAAGTGGGCCCAGAGCTGCAGGCCAGCAGATGGGAAGACAGACAGAAGGTAGGGCACCAGAGGCTGTGGGGCTCCCAGCAGGGGCCACATAGGCAGATCTGCCCATTGCCAGGGCCGACTCCCAGAGTCCTCTGGGCAGGGAGGAGGGAGCCCCCACTGGTACCGACCTACCTGCCCTCCTCAGGTGGCAACTGCCCTCGCAGGGTACCAAGGGCAGGTGGGGCTGGCACAGGGACACCGAGGTACCTGCCCCCCTCCTGTACCTGTGCCCCACTTTCTCCGGGCACCCAGAAAGGAGGGGGTGCTACCTCTCTCAGCGAAAGGGAAGGAGAGAAAGTGGAAGGTAGTAGGTGGTGCTGGGCAGACAGGTGTCATCACGCACACCTCCCGCCCACACCAAGGACAGGAGCCTGGCTATCTCTCGTGGGCATCTGCCACCTCCCAGACTAGCTGGCAGGCCAAGTGTGCATTCTCCTCTGGGCCACAGCCTGGGACAGGCATGACCAAGGTCCACACCCCAGAGCCAGCAAAGAGCTCCCAGGAAACAGGTGGCCCCTGCCGACTTCAGGGTCACATGGGCCCAAGTAAGGTCCACACCATGCACAACTGAGCCTTGCCAGGACCCCGCCAACACTGCTTCCATGTCCCTGCATGCCCTGCATGGGAGGTGAGGGGTCCTGGCAAGGACTCACCAACCAGGAGCTCTATGCTGAGATACCCACTTCCCAGGCCTGCTCTATGGCCTCTGCCCTCTAGTCATGGGGAACCAACCAATCAGTAGCCTGTTAAGAGCCAAGCCAAACAGCAGAAGCCTCCGCGCTCCCAGGGTCCTGTTGCCACATCCTGCCTGAACCTTGCCTGGCTCAGTCAGTGGCCACCAGGCCCTCGCAGGAGTTCAGAGCCCACCACACGAGGGCCTCCATGCTCAAAGCCCCAGCAAATCAGTAAGAAGCAAATGCAATTCCTCTCCCAGCCACCAGCAGCTGGGTTCAGGCTCCCTCCTCACCCTGGCCAAGCTGGGGCCACACCCAGGGGTCAGTCTCAGCCCAGAGGTGTGGCTGGTGCAACCACCAGGCAGCCTGACCACAAGGGCAGAGCCAGCAGAGACGGGCAGGCCTGAGAGACACCCCAGCAACCCTGTCCCCTGTCAAGCCCATTAAGAGGACACAGCAGTTAGGGCCTGGGAGCCCACTGGCAGCCCCCGGGGCATAGGGAGCAGGGAAGGGGGGACATGGCAATGGGCTTCCCTCCCCAGCCCCAGCTTCCTATCTCCAAAAGAAACCACTGCACACCCCAGAGAGGGTGTGGGGGTCATGCAGGGCTAAAGCTGGGCAAGGTGACGTCCAGCTGTCCACACTGCACAGGACACAGCCAGGGCAGTGACCATCCCTTCACACTGATCCATGGCCCTCCTGGTACCCCAAGGGTCCGGCTTGGTCACCCAGCCACTACCACATACAGCACTCCCATCCCCCAGCGAGTCCTGCAACAGCACTGGGCCGAGTCCTGAGGTCTGGAGAACAGGAAACATCAAGACCCCAAGGAGGACTCTGCCATGTCCATAGTCCAAGGGGAAGGGGCGAGGCTACCTGGGCAGGGCAGTACAGACAGCCAAGACCCCTGCAAACTCAGCGCCCCAACTGGGCTCATGCCACACACCCAAGTGTAGGCACTCATCCCTGACAGGCAACAAGCACTTGAGGATGCAGACCCCATGCTGAAAATGCTGGCTCCCCAGTCGACCTTGGCCGGCCTCTGTCTGTCCTTACAGCGCTGCTCCTCCCCTCCTGGCCCCTCAGCCTGGGGGTATGGCCAACAAGCCAACAAGAAGCCACGCTGCCCAACCCTCTGGCACTGCCCTTACCAGACTTGGCGGGAGAGTTCATGCCGGCTCTGGGCCCACAGGAAGCCAAGGGAGCACCGGGCCGGGCCGGGAGCAGGTGGAGCTGTGGTGATGGCAAGAGAGACAGACGACAATAGACAGACTGATGGGACAGGAGCCCGGGGCCACCGCGCCTCTACTGCCCATCCAAGGCCATCCTCCGGCTGAGGCGATCAGGCGCTCAAGGCAGCATCCCTGGGGAGAGGCAGAGTTAGAGTGGGATGTGGACATGGGACACCCAGGTAGGAGACATCTACAGGACGCTGGGGGCTCGCCAAGCAGGCCAAACCCTGCTCTTCTCTCCTCCTAGCTGGCAAGACCCTAGGTGCTCAACAGAAGGAACAGCCAAGACTTCAGTCAATGTCTGTGGCTGGTACTTCTGCCAGTCCTGGAGTCATCTTCCTCCCATGCACCTGGGCCCACCTGACCTGGAAGGACAGACTCACTTCTGTCCCTTTCCATTCCGTATGGGCAGGGCCTGAGCTTCTGTCCTCAGTCCAGGGGTCACAGACTGTCCCAGAGCCAGCACCCAGCCTAGGGGTCCAGCCCCAACCCAGGGCCTCCTCGTGTTGTGTTGCAGAGGAATGAAATCCCCCCTGCCCAGCCTCGGCTTGACTCCAGAACAAGGGCCACCTTTTCCCTTTTCCTGTGTGTACTGAGCCACCTAAAGGTCCCGAAGGCCCAGAGGACTCTGGGCTCAGCAACCTGCCCCCACCCTGCTGCAAGTCAACCTCAGACACTGGGCCGCAACCACCTGGGCCACCCAGACGTGATCTCAGCCTGGCCTTTACCTGAGGTCAGCCCCCATCCCCAGGAACAGAGGGGGGGGGGATCCAGGAGGTTGCAACTCACCCCCCACATACACCCCAACTCCCAGCCTGATGGGTCGTTAGCACCAGCACATTCAGGAATGGGGTCTGTGTGGAGCCCTGAAGTCAGGCTATCTGCCACAGAAGACCTGGGGTCTCTGTTCCTGTCCCCTGCAACCCACAAACCTGGACCTTGGTCTGCAGAGGCAGAGCACCTGGGGTCAGGGCCAGGTAAAGGTTAAAGACACAGGAGACTGCCAGGACTGGAGCCACACTCAGGAATGCTGCAGGTGGGGGCCAGGAACCTGGGCAGTGCCAGCCCGCGTGGGCAGGAGTTCAGCCCAGGCCCACAGAGACCTGGCGCCAGGTCCACTCACACCCCTCCCCATGGGCCAGGGAGCACAGGTTTGGAGATTCCCACAGCTGGCTAGGCAAAGGGGCCACCCACCTCCAAAGAGCCAGAAACTGAGGGCAGCCCTGTACCCACCATCCTCAGTCACTGAGGACCCAGATCTGTTTCTCTGTCCCTACTGCTGGGTGTCCACTGCACTTGGCTACCAACCAGGGCTCCCCAGGCACAAAGCCAAGAATAGCCTGTCCCAACAAGGAACGGTCAGATAGGGAGCAGTCTCCTGTCTGGGTTGGAGCAGCAGGGGACAGAGGGTGTGCTGGCTTTGAGACCAGAGCAGCTGGCACCTACCTCTGCAGATGGCTTGCTATTGTGACTAGGTCTTGGGACAGTGGGGACAGCATATGTGGCACTGAAAAGCCACTACAGTCCCCTAAGCAATAGTGCCCAAGGTCTGATAGGGGCTACCTCCCCTCACTAGTGGCCAGCCCTTTCTCACCCCTCTGGGATCCAGACCCACCTTCCTCTCCCACTGAGACATCCCGTGGGAACCTAGCCACATAACCTGTGGTTCAAGCCTGCTGGGCTGTCAAGCCTAGGGCTGGGCTAGGGAGACGCCCCCACCCCATTCATGAGCAGAGAAACTCGAAGACTTGGGAGGAGCCAGGCAGCACCCAAAGGCCGGCATTCACCAGGTGCTACTGGATCCTGGTCCCTCAAACAGCTCCCTCACGACTCCCAAGTGTCCCTCGATGTCACCCCAGGGCCTGGGCAACACACACCTCCCAGTATCCCAGCTCTACCCTAAAAGCCACCATCATGGGGTGCCTAGGCCAACTCTGTGGCCACAGAAGCTGGATCAGGAACATGGAGCCTAGACAGCCACCGAGGTCCCGAGGGCTTCTTCCGAAACCCCGCCTGACTCAGGGCCACAGCAGACTGCTCCCCCAGCATACAGCCCCTCAGCGCCACATAAGAATCCCCCAGGCTCAGAGCCTGGCAGGCCCCAGCAAGAAAAGGGGGGCACAGACAAGGAAGCGAGGCACCAGGCTGACAAATTCATTCCTGAGATCAGCCCATTTCTGTTTGTCTGCTCACACGCAGCTCCAGGCATCTGCACCAGCCAGATGGAGGAGGCTGCTATTTCGAGAAAAGTGGGGGAGGGGACCGGAGGACAGGAGGAGGAGGAGGGGGAGGCGGAGGAGGCAGAGGGCAGGGCAGGGAAGGGGGTCCGGATGCTCTGAAACCTCACGCGGCCAGAGCCCCCTCCCCGCACCACTAGACAGGCTTCCCTTCCCACACAGCCGGGCCGGCAGCGAGGTGGAAACAAGGAGAAAGGCAGAGAAAGTTTCATCAGCTGGAGTCGGCTCATAGGCCCCTCGCGGGCTGCAGCAGGTTTTCATTCATAAGCAAGCCCGGCGCTGCGATGCCAGGACCCGCCCCCCCTCCTCTCCCTCCTCCCTTTGGGTGCTGCCTGGCTGGCGGGTGCGCGTCCCAGACAGCCCTCCTCCCGGGATGCGAGTAGAAAGAATTAATCATTAAACAGCAGCTGGTACTGAGCACTACCCTAGCGCCGGTGCTGGCCCTCTGCGCCCCGCACAAACACAAACGACCCCGGCCCAGCCCTGGCCCTGCCAGGATACCGCCCGGACAGCTACGCAGAGCGGTATCCCTGCAGCTCCTTGGGGTGGGTGCGGCATGTGACACCTATCCTCTCCAGATTCTAGGATTCAGCCAAAGTAGGGATGCAGGGGCAGGGGGTGAGGCGATACTGCCCGCGGAGGACGCCTCTCCTTCCTTGCTTCTCCGTGCGCCTTCCTTGCGCCTGACATCGGCCCTGTCCGTGTGCGGACTCTGCGACTGGGGAGCCTGGGGCCCCTCCGGCCTAAGACGGGCTAGGCCAAGGGCAAGAGAGCAACGGGGCCAGGAGAGGGCAGGGAGCAGACGGGAGCGGGAGGAAAGGGGGACGGAGCCAAGGCGCCCACCAGCAGCAGCCTGCATGCCTGATATCCTGCGCCTGGGACAGGGAAACTCGGGGTCCTGCTGCCTACACCCCAGGCCCCACGCGACTGCCCGGGGCAAGGCCGAGCCCCGGGACCCATCTTGCAGACAGCGGGACGGGAGCGCCTGGGGACGGGACTTCAGCTCGCCATCGACCTCCTTTTGTTCCCGTGACCTGCACCTCCCGCCCTCCTAGGGACCCGCAGCAGCTACCACGGCCCCCACGCCCGGAGCTGAGCGCAGGCCCGCACGCGGGCGCCGCCGCAGCGGGGTCCCTCATACCCCCCCCCCCCGTCACTGCGGTTCGGGCGGAGCAAGAGGAGAGGGGAGAGGAGACGAGAGGAGAGGAGGGGAGGGGAGGCGGGCGGGGCTCGGGAGGTCACTCCACCCGTAGCACCGCGCCCCCAGGCCGAGACCGTGCCCAGCGGCAGACCCAGGCCCGGCGGGGTGGGACCGCAGACCCCCAGCGAGTGGCGGGCCGCACGGACGGGGGCGCAGACCCGCCGGAGCCGGGCTCCACCCAGACCCGGCCTGCTCGGGAGAGGCCGGGGCTCGGCTCGGCTCGGCTCGGCTCCGCTCGGCACGGCTCGGCTCGGCTCAGACGGGACCTCGCGGGGAGGGGGGCGGGGAGCGCGGGGGGAGGGGCCTGCGCGCGGCTGGAGTCGGGGTCGGCGCTGGAGTCAGGGGTCGTGGGTCGGGGTCGGGCCGCTCACCCCCGGTGGCTCACGCTCCGGGCCCGCGGGCGACCGCGGCAGCAGTGGCGGCGACAACGGCGACAGCGTCCCCTCGACGGCTCCTCCATCTTCGCGGCGCTGGGCTGCGCTCGCCGCCGCCACCAACAACAACATTCAGCTACGTCACTGCGTCACGTGACCCCGCCGGGCTAAAAATAGTGCGCCCCGCCCCGCCCTTGTCTTAAAGGGACCGCGCGGCCACGCTGGACGGGGACCCCGCGGGCCTGGACGTCCCAGGGATGACACAAGCGCATTCCTAGGAGACAAACGGCACTGTGCTCCTTAGTTATAAAGGTGCTTGCAGGTAGTGTCCCCAAATGTTGGCGACAGCCCACCTCCGTATGGGGTAATTTACAGAGATGGGGTCCCTGCCCCAACAGCCGTGAACCCTGAAATTACAGTGTGCATCACAGTGTGCGGCTGCAGAGCAGTTTAGTGAAACCAGGCCAGGGGCTCAACGCCCTAGGGGGTGGTAATTGTGTTGATTGACCTGGAAGGTGCTCAGGAGCTGTCATATATCACAGTCAAAAGTAGCCATATCCCAGCACAGTGATACTGGGGAAATCTCACCATGGGAAACTAAGGCAAGACCATCTCGAGTCTGAAGCCAGCCAGGACTGCAAAGCAAAATGCTATCTCAAAAAACAAAAAGAAGGGATTGGGGATTTAGCTCAGCGGCATAATCGCCTGCCTTGCAAGCAGGCAGTCGTGAGTTTGATCCCCGGTACCGATAAAAAGTTAAAAAAAAAAAAAAAAAAAAAGCAGCTGAGCCAAGGCTAGGCATATAGCTCAGCAGCACAGCACCTGCCTGGCAAGTGCAAGCTCCTAAATTCAATTCCTTGTAAATTAAAAAAAAAAAAAAAAAAAAAAAAGCCAGGCCTGTTGGTGCATACCCCAGGATTCTGGGAGGCTGAGGCAGGACAGTGCCAAGTTAGAACCCAGCCTATGCAACCTCAGGACTTAGCAACACAGACCACTTCTTGGAAAAGGACTGGCCACGTGGCTCAGTGTGAAGGTCCTGGGTTCAGTCCCCAGCACTGAAAAGAAAGAGAAGGGAAAAGAAATCCAAGTCAGATATGGTAAACAACTCGGAAGATTCATGTCCTGGGTCTGTATACAAGTGCATGTAAAAATCCCAGAAAAATAAATCCCAATGTGCTTATCTTTATTTTGCAAGCTTCTTGTAGATCTAAAATCTTTCTTCTTTGTTTGGGTTTTTTGGTTTTTTGAGACTGGGTTGCTGTGTAGTCCAGGCTGGCCTCCAGCTTGCAGTGATCCTCCTGCCTCAGCCTCTGAAATCCTGGGATCACAGGCAAGCACCACCACATCTGGCTGAGGTGGAGGGGCTTTTGTTTTTTCTATTTTGTTTTGTTTTACAATGGGGAGCTCCTGCTATGCAGCCTAGGCTGCCTTGGAACTTTCAGCAATTCTCCTGCCTCAGCCTCCTATGTGCCTGCATAAAAATCTTGATTTCTGGGCCCTGGCACAGGTTTTGTTTTTGTGTTTTGGTGGGGTAGGGCCCAGAAGTCCCAGTCTCTTGTTTGAGCCTCGGACCTTGCTGCAGCTGGCCCTCTCCTGGAACATGGAAAAAACTGGCCAAGGATTTCTCCCTTCCCTGCCCAGCCTGGGACCTCCCCACGGGGACTCTGCCTGGGGCTGTCTGGTCCTGGAGCAATGCACAGCCTGCTCTGCAGGGCCTTTGCAAAGGTTGGGGTTTGCTTTGTGTTTCTCCCTCCTTCTCTGCCTGCTCAGCATCTGGAGGCCCACTTTTTTTTTTAAATCGGTACTGGGGATCGAACTCACGACCGCCTGCTTGCAAGGCAGGTGCTTATGCTGCTGAGCTAAATCCCCAGCCCTCAACCCCACTTTTTGCAAGAGGCCTGACTCTGTGCTGTCACTGAGACCCCCTTCTCAGCCCTTGTCACCCAGGCCCGAGGTAACCCTGGGAACAGTCAGATTCTGTTTCCAGCACCTCCTTGCTCCCACCAAACAGGCTGGGCCCCTAAGCTACATCTTCAGCCACTCTGAGCTGCTTTTTTCATCTTTTTTGGGTGGACAGATACTAGGGACTGAACCTAGCACCTTCACATTGAGCTGTAATCCCACCCAGTGTCTATTTTGAAACAATTTGCTAGGTGACCTAGGTTCAAATTTGAGATCTTCCTGTCTCAGTTTCCAGGAGAGTCAGGATTGCAGAAGGCCTAGCAGGGTGCCTGGAGGAGAGACACAGGCTGAGGGAGGTGGTATGCTGAGGGCTCTGGGTAAGGCTGTGCTCTGGTTTACACGCTGGGTCAACTTGAGCAGTCTCGAGGCTCAACTAAGGGATTCAGCAGCTCTAGGTAAGGGTTCTAGGATGTTCATTGTGTCAATTTGAGAAGGGCATAAGTTTAACCAAGTGATTCAGCTCCGGGACCAAGGTCCCTAGTTTGTGACATCCTCAGCCTGTGCAAGAGGGCACTGATAGTGCTCCCCAGGGGAGCAGCCTGCATGCAGTAAAAGGCAAATGCAGAGGGACTGATGGCTGCTTCTTCGAGGAGCTCTGGCCTTCACCTTCAGCGTGGACTTGGTCTCCTGGCTCCTGGCACAGACTGTTCAGCTACTGCCTGGGACTCCTCTGCCTTCCTCCTAGATTACTCAGTGTCTAGTGACCCCTCAGGCTCCTGATACGGACTTGCACGGGACACTGCAGTGAGCTCCAGCCCTTGGGCTGGACCTCTCAGCCTCCAGCATGCAGACGCCCTCTGCACACTCCCGCACCCAATTCCGGTGCTGACCACTGTAAGCGGATCGTGTGATTTCTTACACAGTAGCACATCTTTCATTATAGCTGTTTCTCTAGTAAACCCTGACTTACAGATTTGGTACCTGCAAGCAGTCACTCTAAGAGAAACAGACTTATAATGACAGCATTCTTCAGTAGCTTCTGGGGTTCATAGAGTTGGAGCTGTAATGTGATGAGCCCCAAAGACACCACAGCCTCCCCTGCTTCTGGAATACACTGAGAGTCCTTGGCATGAGCTGTCTAACCTCATGCGCCATGTAGTTCCATCTTCTTATCCCAATTCAGTGAGCCACTCAATGAGACCAGTCTCAGATGAAAACAAAAAGGGGAAGGCAGGTCTCCACAGGCATTGGGTGATGGAGGTGTCTGGTATGAGGGACACTGCCCTTCTAGGAGTTCCCTAACACTGTCACCGGGTGGCTCACCGAGAAGAGAGGTTGTAAGCTCTATCCTGGCTACTGCCTCAGTTTCCCTGTGGTCAGGGTGCACCTGGCATCAGCCCATGCCTGGCAGGGGGCACCACAGCCCCTCTGCTCAGCGAGCCCACACTGCCACCCCAGATTTCTTGGATGTAATCTTCCAGTCAGGGCCAGTGGCCTTGTCTCCAAAATAGCTGAGGTGGGCAGAGGTAACCCAGGAGGATGTGGCACTGGAAGCTGATGTGTCCCAGAGGGCCACCGCTGAGACCACATGGGAGACACATGCCCTGAGGTTTGGCCCATCCATCCCACAGGGTCATTGCCCAAAGGCATCGCCTTCCATTCCACAGAGTCCATTGAACCAGTGGACAGGAAGTCACCAGTGGACAGGAAGTCACCAGTGGGTGGCACTGCTTCAGGACCTGTGGGGATGGAGAGAGGTGGAGGTGGCAGGGAGGACACCTGGTCCTGGGCACTGCCCACCCTGCCTGTGTGGGCTGCGTCTCTCCTTGATCGCCATATCTGGGGAGGGTCTGTGGACCTCTGCACCCTGAGTCCTCAGTGCTGACGCTGTGGGTAGCAGGGCGCAAGCTGGCCCTTCCACCTTCCCCAGACGCATGCGTCTACTCACCTCCAATTGGAACCCAAGAGATGCGGCTCCCACAGGGCCCCACACCCCACGAGTCAGGTCCCCTGGGCTCTTCTGTCTTTGCTCTTCTTTCTTTTCTGCGGGACACATGGGGGCCGTGCTTCTTTATCCATGAGAGGGAGGCCTGGGCGGAACATGTTTCTGGGAGTCTACAGGAGATGTGCAGAAGGGGGCAAGGCGTCCTCCTCCTGTCCCTCTCCTGCCACCTGCAGCCAGGCCTCCTGCCTCAGTGTCCTCATCTGTAGAAAAGCAGAGTGGATGATTATGTCAAAGGTCTTACCCAGCTCTGTCCCCCGAATGCAGTCCAGAAAAGCAAACACAACAAACCAGCAGCATGCCTGGTAGACCTGCAGGCAGGTGGGGCAGGGGTGGCCTGGCCAAGATGCCCGAGTCCCTCCCTGGGCCCCTTGCACCATCTCTGTGCAGCATGGGCGTCTAAGACAAGCTGTGACTTTGTTTAAAAATGAAGGTTATTCCCAGCACTTGGGAGGCTGAGGCAGGAGGATCATTTCGAGTTTGAGACCAGCCTAGGCTTCAAAGTGAGCTCAAGGCCAACCTGAACTGCACAGCGAGACCCTATCTCAAAAAGACCAAAAAAAAAAAAAAAAAGAAGGTTATTCCTAGCTGGGCACCCTGGCACACACCTGTGAGCCCAGCACCTCAAGAGGATGAGACAGGGGGGTCATTAGGCATTTGAGACCAGCCTGTGTCAAAAATAAATAAAATTATCCATGGCACAGCTGCCAGTTTGTCTTGGAACCTAATAAGTGCATTAAAGACTTAAGATGGGTGTGGAGTACACTGACCAAGAGAGCCCCCTGCAGCTGCCTCTTACCTGCTGAAGCCCAGCAGTGACCAGAAGGCCTATGACAGAGCTGGCCATGAGTGACATGGCTGGAGTGCCCCAGGAGGAGCTGCCCTCTAGGGTCTGGTGTGGGGGGACACTGTCACACCCCACCCTTTCTGGACCTGGCATGGGTCCCAGGGGGCCACCTGCCCACTTAGAGGCCAAGGCCACACTCACAGCCAACCCCAGCCGAGCCCCCACCTGTGCAGGTCTTTTCAGAGCTGCATCTGCCCTTGGGAGGCAGCAGAGCCCAGGGGACATGCAGGAACAAGGCCCCGGCTGGCTGAGCTGCATGGAGATGCACTGCTCTAGCCTGGTACGGTCCCAGGAGGCAGTGCTTGGCGACCCCACGGTTGGTTTGCAAGTTGCAGGCATCACCTGGGAAACTGCCTTGAAAGGTGTCCTCCTCAGGCATGATGGTGCACGCCTGTCATCTCAGCACACAGGAGGCTGATGCAGGAGGGTCGCCATGAGTTTGAAGTCAGCCTGGGGCTACAGAGGAGCTCAAGACCAGCCTGGATGACACAACAAGACCCTGCCTCAAAAACAAAAAGTCATCATTAAAGCAACTTGACTACGTCAAGATCATGTGGGTCACCTCCTGCATAAGGAGCAGGGCTTGGAGGGGCAAACCTTTTGGTAGGTGGCTGTGCCATCTGGGGGTCTCATAGGCCTAGACTCCTGGGCACTTGATGAGGTGCCCTAGACTCGCTATGTCCAGCAATGTCCCTGGAAGTGCCTTTTCACTTCTGCCCCCTGTCTTCTGGGGCGGCCCTAATGATTTGGGGGTGATGCCAGGGTAGAGGAGGGCCTTGTGCATGCTTAGGAAGGGCTCCACCTCCCGTGGGCAGCCTCCTCTCACTGATCTCCTTAGGGCAGAGGTATGGTGGGCATGCCCCCAGAGGTACAGCCTGGCCTGGCCCTGCGGCCACAGCCTTGGAGTCCCCTCCTCTGGGCTCTGGAGAGGGGCAGGCCAGGCCAGGGAAGCCTGCTCCTCTGCCTCCTCCTCCTCTCCGCCTCAGAAGTCCCCCACTGGCTGTACCTTCACCTGGGTCCAGCTGCCACCCAGCTTTGTGGAATCGCTGGAGTGGGTCCACCCCAACTTGTGTGCTGCTCCCAGCCATACCTAGACCTGGGCCTGACCCATACCCCAGCCTGGGACCCCCGGATTGAGCAACCCCGGTGGGTTCAGGCCAGTCCACATCTTTTCAAAGCTCTCCAAACAACTGTATTGAAGTGTAATTCACAGAGTGTAAAATGTACCCATTCTGAGTGCACAGCTCAGACATTTTCAGTGAGGTTGCCAAGTCCCCTGCACAGTCCACTTTCAGAACATTTTCATCAGCACAATCAAATATCCACTTACTGTCAAATCCGTCACCATCTCACAACAGCTTCTTAAAACACTTACTAGGTTCATCATTTTTTCTCAGTAAAAAGCATGACCTTTGTTTTCTTTAATTTCAGGACAGGGTTTTGCTATATAAATGAGTCTGGCCTTGAACTCACTATGTAGCCTAGACTGGGCTTCAACTTGTGGCAATATTCCTATCTCAGCCTCCCAAGTGCTGGGGTGACAGGTGTGTGCCACCATCTCAGGGTAAAGTCATAAACCTTTTTTTTTTTTTTTTGGCATGAACTCTTATTATAGAAAATTTGGTGAGGAAGGACCAGGCATGGAGGCACACACCTATCATCCCAGCGCTCTGGAGGCTGAAGCAGGAGAACTGAAAATTCAAGGCCGGCCTGGGCTGCATGGTGAGATCCTGTCTCAAAATAAGAAAAGCATTTGGGGAGGGGGCAGCGACTAGGAATGCTGCTTTTATAAAAAGAGGCAAAGAGGGGCTGGGGATTTAGCTCAGCGGCATAAGCGCCTGCCTTGCAAGCGCACCGTTGTGAGTTCAATCCCTAGTACCGATTTAAAAAAATTAAAATAAAAATAAAATAAAATAAAATAAAGAGGCAAAGAGTGTGAAAGAGGAAGGGGGAGGGGGCAGGAAACTACAATGAGGAAAATAAAATGTCTCTAAATCCGTAAGCCCACGACAGTGCTGCTAACACTAGGGTGAGTAACTTCCAAATATGAGGTGCTAGGAATCACCCACAGGGGCGCCACCACCACTCCCACTTTTCCACGAACCTGGGGCCCTTGCACGAGCTCCATGCCCAGCCTTTTTAATTTTGTCTTTTGTTTCAAGTGGATCTCTCTAGGTTGTGAGGCTGGGCTCCAGGGACCCTCCTGCCTCTGACAGGCCGTGCCCCCAGGCCAGGCTCACCACCGTTTCTTTGTTCTGTGATGGCACTAGGGGTCCAGCCTCTGTCTGCTTCTTGGTGCTGGATGGAGCCCAGGTGTTGAACCCAGTGCTACCTCGAACTCCACCACAGGTTCCTGCCTGGCTTCGGTCCTCCTGGCCACACACTGTTGGGAAGGCTGCACCCCAGCTCTGTGGGCTTCTGCTGCAGGGGGTACCCAGCCGGCTGACACAGGGACAGGCAGAGCAGCAGGCCGGGTCCTGAAGCCTCAGGGCTAGGAAGGCACGGGAGGTCACCCTGTCACCCCCAGCCCCACCTCACCATGGTCAGCAACTGTCCTCTGTTGTCTCTGAAACTGGAGCCACTGCCTGCACCCCACAGCCCCTTGCTTGACCCCCACCCCTGGGGGTGGATTGTGGTCCTGTGTCCCTGGAGCCCGGAGCTCTGAAATGACTCAGCCACCACGCCACCAGGGGAGGGGACCTGGCCAGGCAGGAGGCACTGAGCCAGACTCAGCCTGATCACGTCAGCAGCTCCCCAACATCTGCGGTGAGTGGGGCCCACATCCTTGTCCCGGGGGGGTTGGTGACACGATTCCTGCCTGCTGTGGAGCCTCATGAATGATTCACCTTGTCATCATCACCATAGGGCTGATTCAGGGCTCGGGGGATGGAGAAGGGGGGCAGCCACGTGTGCCACCTACACACAGCACCCTGCACACTCATGCACACTCACACACGGGCACAGAGCAGCAGCCAGACGCGCACCCAGGATGCGCGGGAACTGAGCACAGGCAGTCTTGGCTCCTCCTCACCAGCTGTGAGAGGCTGGGCCATCAGAGACTGGCAAGACCAGGAACGTGTCTGTCACCTGGGAAACCCACACAACACAGGACATCCCTGCCCACGTGCCCGGCTGCCTGCCCCTGCTGCAGTCTTAGCACATGCACACACACCGCCGATCACATGACCAGGAGCCACACGAGGAAGGTGAAACGCATGAGCCACTCTGTGGCACAGTGGCAGCCTGAGCCAAGTGTGTGCACACCTGGCTGGCAGGGAGGGAACCCATTCAGGCTGGTACAGTCAATTCAGTCATTCTGTGTGTTCATCAATCAACTCTCAGGACAGCCCTGAGAGGATGTTCTGGGGTTCTGTTCCTACAGGAAGCAATTCTGGTCTGTGCTTCTGCTCCTGTGTCCCTGAGGGTAGGCCCCTCTCTAACAAGTTCAGGTGTTTAGGGCCTGAGCCCAGGTCGTCCAGATTCACTGTACCCTGCCCAGAGGAGACATTAAGTCATTCAACGAACATTAGCTCAGCATCTTCAACAAGCCGGTGCTGGATCCCAAAGGCAAGAAGGCACCATCTTGCTGGCAGGAGTGTGACATCCCCAGGGAGGTGTGGGGACCTGGTAAGCCCAGGCCACGGAGACCCAAGCTGCAGGGAGGTATAGTTAAGGTATAGTTAAGCAATAGTTAAGAGTGGAGGAGGGAGACAGGTCTGGGAGCCAGTCAGGGAAGGCTTCCTGGAGGAAGGGACCAGGGACTTAGGGAAGAGGTAGATGGAGAGGCAGGGGTCTGGATGAAGGTGATGGGAGATAAGGCACTGCAGGGAGCTGTCTGCCTGCACATGGGGAGGCAGTGTGGCCCTTGCACATGCTGAGAAGAGCTTTGAAAGAGGCCACACAAATGGGGCTGCAGTAATTAACCTAGGAGGCCGTGAGGTCTTAATATGGGTGTGAGGCACCTGGAGGGGGAGTGGAGAGAGGCTTCTCAAAGTGTGCGTGTGTACAGCTGCTGCAAACACTTGCAGGGGCCTTGTGTCCTCTGTGCCTCAAGTCTGGAACACAGCTCCTTGGAATTCTGAGACGTGACACTGCGGCCTGGAACCAGGCTTGCTGACACTGAGACTGCACCGCCCGGTATCGCCCAGCCCAGCATCAACTTGCTGCAGGGGTGTGGGTGGCAGCAGGTGAGTGAGATCCGCCCTTCGGAGCCCGCTCTGGGTTGGGGCTGGGGTCTGGAGGGGTCTGCCAGAACCTGCTTGATGAAGGTGCAGGAAGATGAAGACGGTCCCCTTCAGGCTCCTGGGGAACCTCTCTGTGGGGACCCCAGAGCTCCGCCCAGTGGGGAGCCGAGCCCGGTGTGCACAAGCCCTGGGTTGCCACACCAGCACCGCAGAAGAAAAAAAAAAATCTAACTGCATACGTTTAGTGCACTCGGGAGGCTGAGGCAGGAGGATCACAACGAGAGTTGGAGGCCAGCCTGGACCGGGCGCTGCGGGGTGCTGGGGTGCTAGGGTGCGGCGGCCGGGCAGGATGGGCTTCCCAGTCGCCAAGAGAACTCGCCTGCGGGACGAGTGAGAGCCGCAGGATCTGTGAGCCGGGTGGGGACTGCGACAGCCGCCCACTCCGGGCCCAGCGCAACGGCCCAGCACCTGGAGGGCTACTGGGGTTTGCCGGGTAGCACCGGCCCGATCGCTGGAGGGCGGCCGAGAGCGCACGCGCCTCCCCTTTAAGCCGGGCCGGAAGTCGGAAGGCGAGAAATCCGCCTGATCCTTAAAGGGGGCGGAGCCTCGGCCGGCGGCGGCGACTTCGAACCGACTGGGCGAGCTGGGTGGACCGTGCCCCGCGTCTCCATGGTAACGCGCCCCCCTTGGAAGGGTGGAGGCGGGCGGGACCGAGACTTTTGAGCGCCCACCTTGTCCTTCGGCCTTAGTTTCCTCGCTGGCCTAGACATGGTCCCGGAACGGCGGCGGGCGGCCCGGGCGGGGCGGTGTCTCCGGGTTTGGGGTTGGGCTTGAAGTGCAGGATGGCCGCCCGCGGGAGGCCGAGGCGGGAGGGTCGCTGCGCGGTCCAGACCTCCTAGGCACGGTAGCCACGCTTTGTCTCAGAACACCGAAACAGAAGAGGAGGTGTGTTCACCTTAAAGATGAAGCGTGCCAGAAGAGAAAAACGTTAGTGACAGTAGCAAAACCAGAAGAGAGCCCCACAGAGCCCCAAATCGAGTGGTTGCGGCAACGTAAAGATTGTGTGTGTGTAGAAGGCTTCATACCTGAAAGGCCAAATTTTGTAATAAAAACAAGGTCTCACTATGTAGACCAGGCCAGTCTTGAACTCACCATGTACCCCAGGCTATGCATGGGTGTTCCTCCTGCCTCAGCCTCCCAAACGCTGGGATCACAGGTGGTCTGGCACCAGGCCTGGCTGTTTTTTCTTTTTAAAAACATTTTCTTTTCGGGGGGGGCGGATTCTCTTGTTACCTTGAAAGTGGTTAAATTAAAAATCTGGATTCAAATTTAAAAGACAAGTCACTTGGTCTTTAATCCCACACATCTCCTCCCCTCCCCTCTCTAGCACCAGCACTACCCAGAATCTGCCCATGCCCACCCCAGGCTGGAGGGCTGGTCTGGCTCCTTCTGCAGCCATGACTCCCCAGCCTCCACCGATGTTCCCCCTATTCGCTCTAAGGCGTGCGGCCCATGGACCCTGTTCTCCCTGGATGAGGAGTTGGAGGATGAGGTGAGGAGACGCTGGGGGTGGCAGGGCTGACTGAGGTCTAAGGGCAGACGGGGGCCAGCACTGGGGGCCACCGCCCGGCCTCTGCTGTTTGGCATGGGTCCTTCCCGTCCCTGGAGCAGCTGAGGAGAGCACTGCATGTTAGAGTAAGCCTCATCTAGAGCAGTGCACAACCTGCCCCACCTCACCAGACACAGCACCAGCCCTGAGCATTGAGGCACCCGTCCTGGGGCAAGGTTCCCTGTGCTGGGGCAGGGCCAGCAGGCTATCACACTTGCTGTCCTTAGAGACAAGGACAGCAGAGCACAACATGTTCTGGGTGGCCTGTGGCCTGGCGTCACAGCCCCTGACCCAGCCGTCTGATGTCTCTTCCGAGAGAGAAGGAATGTTCCCTGGCACCCGCCCAAGTAATGAAAATTTTTGACCCCGAGTGTGGTGATGCACACCACAGCACTCCCAGCATCTGGGAGGCTGAGGCAGGAGGATCCCAATGAGATCAAGGCCAGCCTGAACCACACAGTGAGACTCAGAAAACAAACAAATCAGAATCTCTGGGCTGGCAAGGGCTAGGGACAGAGCGCCTGTCCAGATGGTCTGACTGTGTCCATGCTGTGGGGAGGTGACCGCCTCCCCTCTGTGGGGCTCAGCATCACCTTTCCTGAATCCCCAGAGAGCTGGGACTCAAGGGAATGGGTCACTGGGATCATTCAGTGCTTGACCTGGCTCGGCCCCCTGAGGTCACCACGTGTACCCACCGCTCGGGGGACAAGCAGGACAGGATGGGCAGCTCCGCAGGTGGCGCCCACATCCTGTGCGTCCATATTGAGGAGCCGAGTCACTCTGGTTGGCCCCGCTAGGTGGCTAGGCCTAAGGAGTGGGCGTGGAGGGGGCAGGAAGGACCCTTTTTTTTGAGGGGTTTTTCGACACAGGATCTGGCTGCGTAGCCCATCCTGAACTCAAACTCACAGTGATCATCCTGCCTTAGCCTGCTGAGTGCTATGATGACAGGGCACCCCCTATGCCCAGCTTGATCTTTTAAGGTTCTACCCTATGACAGTGGCTGACCAGCCCTGCCTCTCCCGAGACTGGGACACATGTCCTCCAAGGGCTCTCGAGAGGTGGGCTCTGACCTCATCACAGGGTTTGCTGCATCTGCAGCCCGGCTCCTTGAGAGTACTGAGTCCCAGGCAGGCTGCCCCCTACCCTGCCCCCCGCCACAGGGCACAGCCAGGGGCCAGTTGCTGCAGGGCCTGGGTCACCTTACTCACCTGAGCAGCACCAAGGGCTTTGGGGATGCTGTGGGTCCGATGAGAGCAGGGCAGTGGTAGGTGCTGGACCCTAGTACCCAGGATGGGGCATGACCTTGATAACCCCATGGACCCCTCAGAATCCCGGGACATTTGCTTTTCTAGCTGTTCCTCCCACTAAAGAGGGAAGACCTGCTGGTGCCTTAGTCTTAGGGTGTTTCTGATAGAGCCTGCTTGGTGGCACACACCTATGATCCCAGCACTCAGGAGGCTGAGGCGGGAGGATCGCTGCAAGTTCAAGGCCAGGCTGGGCTATGTAGTGAGACCCTGTCCCAAACAAACCAATGAAAACCTTGAAAAGGGCTTTTCTGCTGAAACCTGGTGGAGATTCAGGTTCAGAGGTGGTGAGGCGGGTCTGACTGCAGGGCCACGCTCCTGGGGGGCGGGGGGTGAGGTTGGGTTTTCGTGTCAGTTTCCAGGTATGGGACCCTTCTCTGTCTCTCTCAGGATTTCCTGTCAGCCGTGGAGGATGCTGAGAACCAGCTTGCTGGGGTCCTGCCTGGGCCAGTAGGGTGCCTGTCACCTACGTCCTCCTGTCCACAGGCAGCTGTGCAGATACCGTACCCCAGACCCCCAGCCCTGCGTCCCTCAGCGGCTTTGGCAGCAAGGCGCCAATCTGCCCCAGAACTGTGCCGCACTGACCATAGTACACCCAGTGCTGCTGGGGACGCCCTGAGGCCGTGCCTGACGTCTTGCAGCTGGAGTGACGGCCAGGGACCAGACTGGCCAGGGGGAGCCTGGGAGGGACCAGCACAGGATGAGCTGGACCAGGTCCTGGCTGGCCTGGAGCTGGACCTGGGGGCTAGTGCCGGGGACCCACCGCCAGCTAAAAGGGCCCGGGTCTCAGACTTGAGCGGCCTCACCTCGCACCCTGAGGCGGCCTCACCCCTCCAGGAGCCCCGAGAGACCGCTGGGCCCCATAGGACTCCACAGCTGCTCCTGAGACCTGGTGCCACCTGGGCAGCTGCCAACCCACCAGGGCACATTCCTCAGCCATGTGGCACCTCGGTACCCCCTGACCACTGCAACCCACAGAGCCCTGGACCCTGGCAGCCCTATCTTCCTCCCCAAACCTGGGCAGGCAACAAACCTGGCCCTCCTGGACCCCAAGCTCCTGGCACCCATAGCTGTGCTGTCTCTCTTGGGACATCGCCTGCAGTCTCATCCATCAGCACCCCAAGAGGGCCCCGGACCTCGCTGCAGACACCTGTTGTCACCAACCACCTGGTGCAGCTGGTTACTGCCACCACCCGGACCCCAGCCCGTGCCCAAACCCGCCGCTTCCCTGGCCCTGCCGGGCTCCTGCCGCAGCAGGTAAGAGACAGCTCAGGGCCAAGGACCAAGGACGCAGGTTCCAGGGCCCTGGGGTCCTCCGAGAAGTGGCTGGACCCTAGCACTAGAAGAGAAAGAGGGTGGGGCTGGAGCAGGGTAGGAGACAGAAGGCACTGTGGGAGCATTGCTGGCCTGGGCTATTGTTCCTGGGGCTCTGGCAGGTGAGTAGGAGCAATTCAGGTTTGCTGAGGGAGGGGCTGCCCCTAGGGGGCAGGGTGGGGACAAAGAGGATGGGGAGGTCAGGACTTGGCAGAGGGGATGTGGCCATGGCCAGATAGGGGGCCTTCATTTTGGCTTTTCTTTATTTTTGGCAGTACTGGGCATGGAATCTAGGGCCCTCTCGCTGGGCTAAGTCCCCCGCCTTGTCCATATTTTTTATTTTGGGAATGGCTTAGTTCCCCTGATGTAACTTGAACTTGTGACCCTCCTGCCTCAGCCTGCCAGGTGCTGGCATGACAGGTGTGAACCATCTTGCCCAGCCCCTTCTGCTGGCCCCTGGGTGCTGCCTGCCCCTTCCCAGCCAGTCTCCACAGGGGCTGTACCGAGGAGCAAAGAAGTGCTCCATGAAGCCTCCTTGGGGCCCTGCTCTGTGCCTGGTTGCTTCACGTCCCCACCAGGTCTCCTGAGTACCCTCTTCCCATCTCAGCCACTGTGGAGCTGTGGGGCGCCCTGGTCCCTGAGTCTCCTGAGCACCCCCTCCCCCACAGCATGACCAGAAGGACCTGGAGGAGATTATGGTTTCTACGCCGCAGACCCCAGCCCACGGTGCAGTAGCCAAGCCCCGCACAGAGGTGACTCAACATCCTGGGAAGCCCCAACCTTGCCGGAGCTAGGGCAAGCGTGACACTGCCAGGCCTGTGCCACCAGATACCCAGCTGAGCAGCGGTGGGGAAGGGGACAGTGTTGTTGAGGCCAGCAGAGCAGGAACTGGGTGCAGGTTTGGCTGCTCCCCAGAGGAGAGCAGTGTACACTAAGAGGCTGTCAGGCTTGATCCCAGCACTCAGGAGGCTGAGGCAAGAGGATCACTGCGAGCTTGAGGCCAGGCTGGACTGCATAGTGAGACGCTGCCTCATACACAAATGACATGAGCCAGGACCCTTTCTCTTGGGTTCTTGGGTGGCAGGTGGGAGCCTGCCCCTTCCCTGGTCTCAGTGGGTCCCTTGTTGGCCCTTCATTCCCATTTCTCTTCCCTCCCATTTCTCTTCCCTCCCACATCCTCCTGTCAATTTCTGATCCGACCCAGTTCAGATAGGCGCAAAGTTGAGGGAGAAGGCCAGAGGCCCATTGATGAGACTCAGAGGACACAGTCGTCCAACGGGTGGAGGACAGTGGGTTTGAGCCCCACAGGGAGCAGGGGCTCTGTTGCCACAGGGCCACCTGGTGTCCCCTAGGCTGAGGCCACAGGAACAGAGTGTGGCCACTGCACCATCCCTCTCCACTGGCCGGGCTTGGGCACAGCCAGTCACGCCGTCCTTTCTGCTCTGGGCCAGGCCGTCGTCACCAGCACACAGACGCCCGTGGAGGAGGACTTCGGTCGCGGGCCCTGGCTGGCCATGAAGGCGGCCCTGGGCCTGGACGATGGCGACCCCACCTGCTTCCTGCGCACCTGCAGTGTGGCCGTGGTGCTGCAAAAAGTGAGGTCCCTAGTGCGGGCCGTACCCCTCATGGAGTCCTTGCTCCAGGCCCACAGTGACCACAGTGTCCCTGGTGTCCCCGCAGGCGGCCCTGAGGCAGCTCCCTGGGAACAAGGTGCCGGCCATGGCCGTGATGGTCCAGTCCCTGATGCGCAGCAGTGTGGACGCCAGTGTGGTGCTGAGAGACCCCACGGGTGAGGCCTCCACAGGCGGGGACCCAGGGATGCGCAGCAGCTCCCCTGGCCAGGGCTGATGGCCACCAATGTCACAGGGGCAATGCAGGGGACCGTGCACCGGGCGCTGCTGGAGGCGCGGGGGGGCGAGCTGAAGCCGGGTGCCGTGCTGCTGCTGCGGCAGGTAGTGTCCCCCTCCCCTCTCCCCGGTTTCCCGGCAGGCCCTGGGGGCCAAGCAGGACGCTTAGGTGGCCCTGCCACATGCTGTCCGTCCCCCACCTACAGGTTGGGGTGTTCTCTCCATCCCTCCGGAGCCACTACCTCAATGTAACGCCCAGCAACCTGGTCCACATTTACAGCCCGGATTCGGGAGACAGGGACCCGCTCAGAGCACCACAGCCCATCCCCAAGGTGAGGGGCCAGGCAGGGCGAGAATTGCCAGGGCCTCTGGGGACAGCCCAGGCCCTGAAAGCCACCCGAGGCAGGAACATGGGTGAGGTGGCAGAGGAGGGCCTGGCCCTTGGGAGGGGGGACGTCACACACTTCCAGGGTCCACCTGGCCTGAGGCTCCACTATGACCTGGACTGGGCCTTGTCCCCTTCTCCCACTGTGTCCTCTGCCCAGGTGGTGGGAGGGCAACATGAGGACAGCGCTGCCCACACCACGTGTCCTCACGAGCACTGGGTCCAGCAGTGGTCTTTGCTGTAACTCTTGCTTTCTTTCCCTCTCTCTCTCTCCATTCCCCTCCCCCTCCCATCCCCCTCCCTATCCCCTCCTCCTCGCCATCCCCCTCTCCCTCCCTCTCGGGGAGAGGCTGGCACTGGGGCTGAGCCCAGAGCTCCCACACTGAGCTGCATCCCCAGCCCTTGTTATTCTCTTTCATTCTGGGACAGGGTCTGGCTGAGTCACGTGGGTGTCTAGGATGGATTCAGATTTGGGACCCTCCTGTCTCAGCCCCCCACACTGCTAGGATTATAAGCTTGGGCTGCCATATTGACCTCTGCTTTGTGCTTTGTGATAAGTCTCAGTTTCCCTGGCTGGCCAAAATTTTGGAGCCTCCTGCTCAGATTTCTGAGTAGCTGGGATTACAGGCATGTACCTCCCACCTAGCTTTACCTTTAAATTTCTAATCCCCCGGACTCACTAAAATAAACTGAAAGGACCTCAGCATCTTCCATCCCTTGGCCATCAGTCCCTGCTCCCTGCTGGCTTTTGTCCCCTGCCCACTTCAAGGCTGGTTTGGGTTCTACTGCCTACCCCAGCCCTGTGCTCCCGAGTGGTCCTGGAGACCCTGGGATAGCTGCTGCCCAGGCCAAGGCGCTCCCAGGGGATGAACGTGGGCCTGACCTAGCTTGGCCGTCCCCTTGCATGCCCTGTTCCGCCTGGTAACCAGTCCTTTGTCCCCAGGGCCCAGGAAGTCCCCAGGGAAGACACCAGCTGCACGTGGCCACGCAGTCCAGGGCAGGCCTGGGGTCCCTGGGACCCCCCGAGGAGGAAGCTCCGGAGTCTGGTGAGGACCCAGCAGGGACCCTGTCCTGCTAGCTGCTGTCTCCTTTGTGTGCCACCCATGCCACACAGTCTGAGTCCTTATCTCCTCCTGATGCTGAGACTGCTCCAGCCATGTCCCAGCCTTCACGCTGTAGTGTGAGGTAGATCTCACTGAGTCATCCAGACTGGGCTCAATTTCGAGCTCCTCCTGCCTCAGCCTCCTGAGTACTGGGACAACAGGCAAGCACCCCCCACAGCCTTGCCCCAGACTGAGTCTTCTTCCTGGCGCTGCTACTTGACCTGGAGCTCAGCCCAGCAGACTCCAGGCTCTCTGATCGACCGAGGAAGGGGGCTCTGTGGGGAGGGGGACTGTGGTCTCGGGTGGAGCCCGGGCACACACACCTTGCATGAGGGGTCTGAGCTCCTTTGCACACCATTCTCAGGGACCAAGGCCTATCTGAAGCTGCACACTTTGCCCAGGCTGGCCTCTGTGAGGTCAGCCCTGCCACTCCTTGGTCTCCAGCTATTGGTGACCATCCTGCTTCAGCCTCCCAGCTTCTGTGCTGTTGTTGACAGTGGGATCCCTTTTGGGGCTCTGCTGTTCCCGCCACCAGCTGATCCTGATACATTTGATGGCTTCCAGGTCTCTCCAGGGACCCTGCCCCGCTCCAGGCACTTCGGCTCTGGATGGAGGACAAGGAGGTCCCCTTGCTCCCGGGAAGGATGGGGGCGGGCATGGCCCCCAACCGTCAGCCTGGGCACAGCAGTCAGGCAGCATAGCCTGTGTGTGCCACCGGGTGCTACAGTGCTGTCCCCTCCCTGCACCCCACAGATGACCTGGATGGACTCCTGAATGAGCTGCCCGAGCATTTCTTCAGTGGCAGCAGCAGCCTGGGCCACCCCGAGGCAGGGCCAACGTGAGCAGCAGCCCCTGCCCCAGCCCCTGGAGGCAGTGACAGCAGCCGAGTTCATCCTGGGACGCTGACCCCAAGCCATCTCCTCAGACTCCACACTGCAGGCCTTGGCTTCTGGAGCACTGGAGGCCCCGCCTGGCCTGGCCCTGCCCACTGTTGCCTGCCCACGACATCTCCCTCCTTGGGGAAACCAGGGGTGTGGGCCTGTGTCCTTATCCCGTGTTGGCCCCACAGCCATGGGGACCCACACCCGGCATCCAGTCCTGAAATAAAGCTGTAGCCACTCTGGTGTCCTGGCCGGGCACAACTGGGCATGCCATGCAGCATGCTGTCCCTGTCACTTGCTTTTGAGGGTTTTAGGGGCAGAATTGCAGTGAGAATGACATGGGGCCTGGTACTGCTCAGCCCACTTGCATCCCAGGCCTGGGCAGCTGCAGGACACTCATCACTGTGTGCCACCCTGCCATGGACCAAACATTCACCTTGGGCTGAACGACATGACCTTCATGTCCTCTCAGCAGAGTGGGACCTGCCTGGTGAGGCTCAGGAGGAGGCAGAGGCAGGACAGTCTCCGGGCCCAGTCTCTGTCCTACACTCTATGGGTTCTGTGTGGGGCTTACTCTCCCCCTCCACCTCAGGTCCCTTTGCTCACAAGGGTTGGCATGGATCAGGTGTTCCTGTTCAGTCTCAGGCTAGGACCCAGGTTCCTTCACTGTCTCTCAGGAGGCGCTGGGCACCAGACTTTCGGTGTTCAGTGGTCAGCCTCACCTGCCCCCTGCACCTGGCAGGCAGAGACTGTCAGCACTACCTGGGCTGGCTGGCAGCTTCCCTGTCTCATCCTCCCCACAGCTGCTGAGGGGCCAACTCGGTCTCCCCTCCCTGCAGACACTGACCCTGCAGACACTGATCCCTGCAGACAGCTGCGCTGTAGTTGCCCTGCAGGCCCTGGCTGGGTCCCTGCCACCTGTCGTCCCTGCAGACTGGTGTGAGGACTGGGTTGGCAGATGAGTGTTTGCCTGGCAGGGTCAGAGGGGGTGGTGACAGGGCAGGGACCCTGGGCTGCTGAGCGACATCTGTCCTCAGCAGCTGACCTCTGAGGCAGACTCGGGGGTGGGCACAGCAGTAATCCCAAGTCCTGGGGGCTGTGGCCAGGCAGGAGGCCACTGACCATGGCTACAGCTGTGCCAGGCAGCGCAGAACTGGTTCCTGTGTGGCAGGTGTGGGGTCAGGGCCCTGAGGACAGTGGCAATGGCCTCATCAGCCTGAAGGTCTTGGCCTGTGGGACCCTGGGCCCTGGCCACACCCACGCCACCTGCCCTGCCATGTGTACCATGCCAGGTTGCGGCTCCTCAATGTGGGCAGTCGTGACTATCAGCTCGGCGTCCTTCTCCCCACCTTCCCTATGCCACACAGAGGTCACCAGGCCAGATCCGCTCACCCAGCAGCAGGGCCTATTTATAGCCTCAGCTGCCCCCTTCTTCCAGGCGGGCACAGTGGCTTGGAGGGTGGTGGGCGGCGGGTGGTGCCGTGCCATGGCCAGGCACAATTTCCTCTTTACTGCCTCGGCCCTGCGCGGCATCCGTCTGCAGCGTGAGTGGCTGGAGTGGGAGGACTGGCGGCAGGCAGTGGCCCGGCGGCGCTGCCGCAGCCACAAGAACCCTGCCAAGGCCTGTGCCCGGCTCCTGGGGCCCCGCCACCGCTGCCGTGACCCCACAGTGCACAGTGCCCTGTTCGATGGAGACCTGCAGCGCGTGCAGGCACTGTTCCAGGACGAGGAGGCCGCCAATGGGATCATGGCGACCGTGAGCAACCAGCTGGCCTGGTCGGCGGAGCAGGGTAGGGGTGGACCCTCCCTGCAGCGCTGGGGCGACCTGGGGCCGCGCCCACACAGCTGCATATGCTGCCCCCAGCCACCTAGCCCACCGAGGTGTGTTCTTAATAGCAGCCTGGATGAATCCACGCCTCCCAGCCCAGGGCTGTAACACTGAGTCGCGTCCCCAGTGCCCCGTTTGGGGGTCTCTCTAAGCTGCCCAAGCTGGCCTGGAAATTTTGATCCTCTTGCTTCGGCCTCCCGAGTAGCTGAGATTACCAGTCTGTGTCACCAGGCCAGGAAAAGTAATTCCCCGCCTCTTCACCAGCGGCTGGGACTGCAGCTGGGCCTTCTGCTGAACTGCATCCCAGCTGTTTTTTTTAGTTTTTAGTTTGAAAGAGGGTCTCACCAGGTTGCTAAATTATCCAGCCCGGGCTCAAATTTGTGATCCTCCTGTCTCAGCCTTCCAGGGTCTGGGATTCCAGAAGAATGTCCCCACACCCGCCTGAATTTCATATATATACATGAGAAATTTTATAAATTTTATTTGTAGTTGACAATTATGTATAATAAGTAAACTATGTAGTAACCGTTATTTTGTAACTTATTTTGGTATGGATAGATACAAATGTTTTGTTTTGTTTTGTTTTGTTTTTTGAGACAGAGTCTCCCTATGTAGTTTAGCTACTTTTGAACTCACTATGTAGCTTAGCCTGGCTTTGAACTCATAGCAATCCTTCTGCCTCAGCTTTGAAGTGCTGGGACTACAGATCTTACTGAGTGTTTTAAGTTGGTGTGCAGAATCTGCCATGCACACACGCACCAAGACCGCTACAGACAGCCCAACACATAGACAGGGTCTTGCTCTTAGCCCAAGCTGGCCTTGCCTCAAGGCTCTCCCCCAACATCAGCCTCCCAGCACCAAGATCACAGGTGTGTGCCACCACACCCAGTGTAAACTCCTTTTATAAAGCATATTTTAGGGCTAGGGATTTAGCTTGGCGGTCCAAGCACTTGCTTGGTAAGCTCGAGGTCTTGAGTTCAATCCCCAGTATCAAAAAAAAAAAAAAAAAGAATATTTTACACTTTTATAACACATACATGTCTGCATAGGTACACACATCACACATATATACATGTACATACATATATCATATATACACATAGCATACAGGCACATGTACACCCATGTGGATGTGGGCGCACATACTATAATACCTGCATGCCACACATGTTCATGCATCACATGCACATCACACATGCATATACCACATGCATACACACGTGCAATCACATCACACACACATGTACCTGCATATATCTCATACATGTATCACATAACACACACTGCATACCCACATGTATGTCATACACACGTGACCCGTTATATGTGTGAACATATACATACACACGTGTGCATACATGAGCAGTAGTTCCAACTCTCCTCCATCCAGACCTTGAGGGTGCCCCTGCCCCTGCTCAGGCTGGCACAAGTCTGCCTGGCCAGCTATCCAGGCCCAGGCCCCCATCATCTGCCAGCTGTAGAAGGCTCCCAGCCACCACCACAGCCCTCACACTGTGCCCTCACTGCCTCCCCCAGGGTTCTGGGTGCTAACTCCCAAAACCAAGCAGACGGTGCCCCTTGCCATCGCAGTGGCCAGAGGCTACACGGACTGCGCCCCCCACCTGATCCTGTAGGGTGCTGAGCTGGATGCCCGGGTAGGAGGCCAGGCCGCCCTGCATGAGGCCTGTGCCCACTGCCAGTCCCACTGTGTGTGGCTGTTGCTGGCCTTTGGCGCCACAGCCAATGTGCTGTCAGAGGAGGGTGCAGCACCCCTGCACCTCTGCACCACCCCTGAATCCCTAGAGTAGGTGCCAGCAGTGGGGCTTGAACAGGCCTGTGTGTGTGTGTATGCATGTTTGCATGCACATGTTCCTGTGTGTGCATGCATGTATACACATCTGTGTGCCTTGCATGTGTATGCATGCCCATGTGCCTCTATTCCTGTGTGCCATGTATATGTTCCTGAGTGTCCCCATGCACGCATGTTCCTCTGTGTGTGTGTGTGTGTGTGTGTGTGTGTGTGTGTGTCCCCAGCTCGCTCAGCTGGAAGGGAGTGCTTGTCTTTTAGAGGCGATGCTGAGGCTTCTGTGGCCCTGGCTTGGGTGTCTTCATGGTTGTCTGCTATTGCCAGACTGGTCCTCTTAATGGTCACTCTGTAATCCAATTTATGAGAAGAAAGCAGTTTTGCAGAAGCCTGGGGTGGCCGACTCAGCGGTCTGGGCAGAGCATCTTCAGGACACATTTGGGGACAGACTCTCTGCTGTCACTACCGTACCTGCAGCTGCCTATGCCAGCCTTTGAATTATGAGTCGTTGCTGACTTGGCTTCCTTGTTACGGACATGAAGGCTGCGCCAGGGCCCTGGTGACCTGCTGAGGGGCTGGGCTGGTGTTGCTATCCTGGGAGCCAGAGAGGGGCACGTGCTCTGTGATGCTAGGGGATCCCTAAATGTTGGCTTCACCCCAAAGACTATGGCTTGCTGCAGAGAAGTGGCCATCAAATCTGGGGCCAGGAAGTAAACATCAGAAACTTTAAAAAAATTTTTGTTTAAAGAGAAAAAAAGCAAAACAGGAAAAAGGTTACTAATAATACAGAATTTCAAAAAAAAAAAAACCAGTAAGAATTCACCAGTTGATAAAGTACATAGTGTCACTTTAGAAATAGTTGTTCAAGGCTGATCCGATGGCAGTGGGTTATCAGAACTTATTAACATTAGTGTCACTAAAGTTGGTATACCACCCCCCCACTGCTAAATTTGACTGGCTTAAAAAAAAATAGTTGTTCAAGTTACAAAATTAAAGCATACAAAGTGGACATTCAAACAGTGAGACTGCAAACAGTTCTGCTCAGTGATCCAACAAAACTTAGTAATATGGTTATCAATCCTACACACATATACATGCAGTTATGTCCTTTAGAGCACTTTCTTTTCCTCTTTTTTACAATAGCAATTACACATTTTAGGTTTTATTACTCCAACATTTCTTATTACTTTTTACACTAGAGACACAATGTGATATTTATTTCACTTATCAGAAACTTTTTAAAAGAACTTTTAACTTATGGATTGTGTTTTGTTTTTATGGAGCAAAGCCTTGCCCCACAGCCCATGCTGGCCTGGAATTCAGCCTTCCGAGTGCTTGGATCGTGGGCCTGCGCCTCTGTGTCCCACTTTATTCCTGGGCCTGAATTCCTGTGTGTCATCATGCGCATACGCATGGCTTCCAAAATCAGGCGGTGTAGAAACGCTCCACCATCGACACGCAACCCAGGCCAAGCCCCTGGGTCACTGCACAGTGCATGGTGGACTCCAGTGCTGCCCCTGGCTGCAGCTAGTGCTGTGTTCTGCGCTGCGATGCCTGGAGCAGTGGCTCATGCCTGTAATCTCAGCATTGGGGAGGCTGAGGCAGGAGGATCACTTCAAGTTCAAGGCCAGCTTGGACTACAAAGTGAGCTCAAGGCCAATCTGACCTGCTTAGCGAGACCCTGTCTCAAAAAAAAAAAAAAAAAAAAAAAAAAAAATCCACCTTGGAAACTGCCATGGCCTGCAGTGGGGCGTGACGTGACCACGAGCGTGACAGGCGGCCTCTGTCTCCAGGTGTGCCAAGCTGCTGCTGGATGCGGGCGCCACCGTGAACCTGGCGGCAGGAGATGAGGCGACGCCGCTGCACGTGGCAGCGGCATGCGGTTTGGAGGCACATGTGGCGCTATACTTGGCACGGGGCGTGTCCGTGGAGCTGCGCACCGGCTGCGGGGAGACGGCGCTGAATGTAGCATGCGTGGGTGCTGAGCCTGGGGCGGCGGGGCTGCACGAGGCCGCCGCCCGCCGGCTGCTGATGGCTGGGCCAGACCCACGCGTGGCAGGGCGCAAGCGCCACTTGCCTGCTGCACCACGCATGCGCACACGGCCACAGCCGCCTGACAGAGCTCCTGCTGCGCCACGGGGCACGCACCTGGGATCCCAATGCTGCGGGTCTCACACCCCTGGATTGTAGCTGCAGGCCGCCAGTGATGCCGCGGAGCCCAAGGAGCTGCTGGCTGCGCTGCTGGACTACGGGGCAGAGCCTGTGCACCCTGAGATGTGGATGGCGAAGGGGACGAGGATTGGAATAGGGACTGGGGTGGGGGTGGGGTTGAGATGCAGGACAGCGCCCAAAAGAAACACCAAATAGGTTGGAGCACGCTGGAGGTTAAACTGAGGCACAGGGAATGACACCAGCGAGGGTTGGGGGTCTGGGTAAGCGAAGCCCTTGGGCTCCAGGCCAGCAGTCTGAGACCCTCTTTGATCCCTAGATGCTGAAACACTGTGCCAACCTCCCCCGGGCCCTGGAAGTCCTTCTGAACGCCTACCCCTGTGTACCGAGCTGTGACGCCTGGGTTCAGGCTCCCGGAGGTGTGGCAGGAGCGTCTGCCTGGGTGGAGGAGGAAGGATGGGCTCAGGGCCCAGGGAGGAGGAGTGGCGCTGGGAGGTAACTGCCACCCAGCAGCCCAGATGACCTCTGACTCTGGTATGGCACTAGCGCCTCTGGGCAGCACTGACACCAAGGCGGCTGAGACCCTGCCCTGTGGTGCAGGCCCCCCTTTGGCCACTAGGACATTGGGCTTTGAATCTGTGTCTTCACAGCTGTGGTTACTGGGGACCGTACAGCCTGACCTCGCCTCCCTCCTTCCTGCTCAGGAGCACCAAGCCTTCTACAGCTCAGCCCTGCACATGGTGAACCAGCCATGTAGGCTGCAGCACCTGGCCAGCCTGGCCGTCTGCACACGGCTTGGAGACCATTGCCATGAGGCCACCGCCCTGCTCCCACTACCCCCGGTGCTCTGGGACTACCTGCTGCTGAGCGTGGAGGGCCACATTGAGTGACCCTGCGACTCTGACCGCTCTCCACCCCATCCTGGCCGCCTGAGATGGTGCCCTGCATCAACCATCTCCCCTCCACCCACACACTTGCCCCACCTCTGAAACCCTGTCCATCAGACTGCTCCACCAACAGCCACTTCCATCTGTACCAAAATCTAATCTGACCCCAAGGGCTTGGGATGCAGCTTGGAGCCTGAGTCCTTGCCTGGCTGCACATGGCCTTGGGTTCCATCCTCAGTGCCACAGAAACAAAGCAAATAGAAAGCTTAAGACATCAGAACCTGTGGTTGCTGCTCGGCCGCTGTCCCTGCCTCCTGGCCCCTGTCCTCTCTTCCCTCGCTTGGTGCTGACCTGCGCACTCTGTGTTGTGTGTTTGCTCTCCACTCCCTGCTTGGTTCCCAGAGTGCCATCTGCATCTGCATCTGTACAGAGCCTTCACTGTGACTGCAGTTACCTCACAGCCACCTCGACCTCCATGGAGGACTGATTTCCACGCCGGCAGTGCAGCCGCCATACCAGGCCCGGGACACATGTGCTGAGTGGAGTCCTCAAGTGGCCTCTGAGGCCATTCAGGTGTACCAGGAGCCAGCTCTCATCTCTCACTTCTTCTGGTTCCAGAGTCAGAAACGCCCTGAGGGCTGGGGATAAGCGCCTGCCTGGTGAGCCCAAGGTCCTGAGTCTAATGCCCAGGATCAAAACAAAACAAAAAATACCTTGCGTGTTGGTGTGGTGGTGCACACCTGCGATCTCAGCTCTGGAGAAGGGAAAGTGGGGAGATTTCTGCAAGTCTGAAGCCAATTTGGCTGTGTAGCAACACTCTGTCTTAAAAAAATAAAAATGTATAAAAGGGTGCCTTGATTTACACTTAGGAGGAAATTTTGCAGGCAAGCTGGTTTTTTATGAACTGTTATGGCTAGATATAGGTGTCCTCCCAAAAACTTCAAGGAGTCACATGTGGGACTTTTCAAGGTGGCTGGATCTAGGACATGTGATACTTGGATTTATTCCTGGTTTCCCTACCCTGGGTGTGAATGCTGCCCAATAGGATATAAGGGACAGAAGTGGTCACTGCTTATAGCTTGTCACTTGCTGCTTATCACCTTCTGCCTGCCTGCCATGATGCCCTGCCTTGGAGCCAGCCGATTATGGACTGGAGCCTTTACAAAATGTGAGCCAAATAAACCTTTTAATGTTGGGTGTCAGATACTTTGTCTTGGTCATGAGAAAAATAAGACAGAATTTGGGGTGAGGGATATTGCTCAGTGGTACAGTGCCAGCCTGTCAAGCACAAGGCCATGAGTTTATTCCTGGTACTGAAAATAAATAAATACCTCCCAAAATCAAACTAAAAAACAGAATTTGGTACCAGGACTGGGGTCATTACTGTGACTGTACCTGGCCGTGTGATTCAGGACCTTTTGGAAATGGCTTGTGGGAAGAGTCTGGGAAGGTTTGGAGATGCCAGCTAAAGAACAAGCCCTGGAATGCCTTACCCTATACTTACTGGAAGATTCTGGTCAGAGCTCAGAAAACCAGGATGCAGATAAAAGTACTGCTGGTAAAGACCAGGCTAAGGAAGTTCCTGCTGGGAAAAAAAAGGACTGCATTGGTTGTTGGACTCCAGATGATGTGTGTTATGCTCTGGCAGAAATATTTTCTGCATTTTGCTCGTGTGCAGATACTTTGCCTGGGACTGATATTAGGGGCATTGAATAATTAATCTAGCAGAAGAAATTTCAAGACAGTCTAATGTTGTGGTGGGGGCTTTTGGTCAGATTTATGTTGAGAATCAAGAGCAAAGAGCCCAGCAGAATGATTTAAAAGGTTGTGAGTTTGGCCAGAAAGGAGGCTTCACTGAAATTGCAGACTGCAAAGATGGAGCCGAGGAAAACTTGGCTGCTGAGAAGAGGACGACAGAAAAGATGGCCTGAGGACATCCTGAGAACCAAGAGGACTCCAGACTTTGCAGATCAGAGTTGCAAGGGTAAAAGAGCGCTGAGAGCCCCATGTTCCAGAATGGCAGTAACCTAGAGAATTTGCTCCTTGGGATGGGGTGCAGGGTGCTTAGTGATCCAGGCACTTGACCCCTACAGTCAATAGAGAAGGAAGCATAGCTACTCCTTACTCCTCTTCCAGCTGGTAGTAGCCTCTGGCATCATCTACGTGGTGCTGGTTTTAGGCCTATGCAGAATGCAGGACCTATGAGGTCAGGAAGGCTCCCACTCAGATTTCAGGAGGCCTGGGAGGCCAGGCTGTGTGCCCCTGAAAGCACAGTGTGTGAAACTGTGACGGTGAAGCCGAAGGTGCACCCCAGAAGTACGGAGGAAAGCTGCAAGGAGGGAGCAGACTGGACCCAAGATAGAAGCCATGGGAGCTACAGCTATTGGCAGTGCCATAGAGATGGAGCCACCCAAACCCTCCAACTTCACAACTTGGCATAGATTGTCCCAGATGCTGCACAGGGAACTCCGGGACTTACTGCTGGATTTCGGTCCCATTCCTTTCCATCCCCTTTTCTGAGATGGAAATGTCTGTCTTGTGCCATTGGATGTTGGGAGTGTTTAACTTTCATTTGTACAGAGGCTCACAGTTAAGAGTCTGCCTTAGATCTCAGAGGAGACTTTGGACGTGGCTTTTCAGCAATGCTAAAGCTGTTAACAACTCTGGCAACTCCTGGAGATGGAATAAATGCCTTCTGCATAAAGGATGTGTGTGAGTCTTTGGGAGGCAGGGCAGAATGTTATGGCTGTGCCTGTAAGTCCCCCCAAAGCCTCATGTGATCATGGGTGGGGCCTTTCTGAGGTTGTTGGATCTAGGGTGTATGATGCTGGGATCCATTTGTGGTGTGATGCTAGGGTTGAGGGTGATCCACCTTGGGTGTAAGTGCTACCTCCTTTAGGGTGGGTAGGCTGGATAGGATACAAGGGACAGGAAGAAGGCTGGTGTTGCTTGTGGCTTGGTTCTTTGGTGCATCACTGCTTTGCTGCCTTCTGCCCACCATGAGCTGTTTCTCCTCTGCAATGCCCCTCTGCCACACCACCCTGCCTGCAGCCAGCTGACTGTGCATTGAAGCCTCTACAAACTGTGACCTAAATAAATCTTCCCTTCTTTAACTTTGGGTGTTGGATGTTTTGTCTCAGCGGCAAGAAAAGGTAACTAAAACCTGAACACAAATAAATGGTGTTTCCCTGGAATGCAAGAGGCCATCACAAGGTCACCTGTGGCTGCGTGTCACTTTGTTCCTGTCCCACCTGTGCCCACTGTGGCTCCCAGTGTCACTGTTTCTGGTGCCCTGGAGAGGCCACACCCCACAGGATGGTGGAGGCCCAGGGGCTCAGTAGCCCTCTTTCCTGTGCTTCCCCTAAAGGCCCTGGGCCGATCACCAGTGGGAGCCATACAGAGGTGGTGGCAGCCACACAGGTGGCGGCAGCCTGTAAGGCCTTCAGCTCCCTAGAAACCCCCTTGCATTGGGTAAAATGACCTTTGATCTGATAAACAGAGCCACAGCCCCTCCATTCTGGATGAAAAATTTGTTTTAATTTCAGTTTAGGGTTTTTTGTTTATTTGTTTGTGAGACAGGGTCTCACTAGGCAGTTCAGCCTGGCCTTGATCTCAATTTTATAGTGCAGGCTGGCTTTGAACTTGCAGTGACCCTTCTGCCTCAGCCCTGAGTGCTTGGATGACAGGTGTGCAACCGCATGCTTGGCTTTGTTTTTATTTGGCAGAGCAGACAGGCTTTTGAAAAGAGGAATGCACCCTCAGCGGGGAAGATGCTGAGCTGTCCCCCAGCCACAGCAGACCCCCTCAACCACCCAGCATTTCCTTTTCTTTTCCAAATACAAGATATCTATTTTAAAAAGATAAAAAGCATCTTGGTGCACACCTATCATCCCAGTTACCCAGGAGGCTGAGGAAGGAGGACTGCAACTTTGAGCCAGCCTGGGCAACTCAGTGAATACAGCTGGCAGTGGAGTGTAAGCCCAAGATGCAGAAGGGATATGTCACATCCTTGGGGTAGGGTAATAAAGTCCGGTGGATTCTGTGATAGGCAAAGAACTTTCTTCCAATAAGAAGCACAAAACATTAACATAGCAAGGGACTTAAAAAGTCTCCATTTGGCGTTGTTTTGTTTTTTATTTTGGTACTAGGGATCGAACTCATGATCTTGCGTTTGCCAGGCAGGTGCTAATGCCACTGAGTTAAATCCCTGGACCTTGTCTTGTTTCTTTTTTTTATTTTTTATTTTTTTTTTTTTTTTTATTTTTTTTTTACCTGAGTTTACTAAATGTATTTTTTTTTTTATTTTTTTTTTTATTTTTTTTAATTTTTTTTTTTTTACCCTTGTCTTGTTTCTTATAGGCTCGATTGGAACTTACTATGTAGCCTAGAATTGCAGTGACACTCCTGCCTCAGCCTCCCAAGTGCTGGAATCACAGGCATGTGCAACCACACCCAGCTCCCAGTGTCAGTGAAGGCCAGAATACTGGAAAATTGCTTTGCAACTGGCAGTTGTGGCTTCCTGGATGTGGGTAGGTGCACAACCACTGTGAGTCACCACCTTGTTTACTTTTCACTTGTTTTTGAGACAAAATATGATGCCCAAAATGAAGGAAAGAAAAGTTTATTTAGCTCACAGTGTGTAGAGGTTTTAGCCCCTAATCTGCTGGCTCCAAGGCAGGAAGACAGACAACAGTTCATGGTGGTGGAAGACAGCAAAAGCAACAAGAGCAGAAGGGGAGGAGTGTGAAGAGAAGACTTTTGTCCCTTACATTTTATGTAGGCCACACCCACTGGGTTGTAGGGCCCATACCTGTAATCTCAGCACTGGACCATGAATCATGTTCAAGAGTTTTACCTATCCTATCTTTCAGTAGATTTAATATTTCTGGTTTAATATTAAGATCTTTAATCCATTCTAATTTTAGCTTAGTACTTGGTGACAGTCACAAACTTTAGAAGCCCACCTCCATAAAAAAAAAAAAAGAAGCCCACCTCCATGACTGCATGAGGCTTTGGGGGAATGTTCAGACTCAAACTGTAACACCACTGTGACCCAGGGCCTGGCAGCACCCCCTCAGCAGTGTGGGGCGCTGGGCCAGAAAACACAAATTAAAAGTCCAGCTGGGAATGGCAGGCATGCCTTCCAGCACTCTAGGAGGCTGGAAGAGCAGGATAAATTGGAAACCAAAGAGGGTGTGGTGGTACACACTTGTAATCCCAGCATTTAAGAGGCTGAGGCAGAAGGTTCACAATGTTTTATTTTGTTTTTGGCATCAGAAATCAAACCCAGAGCCTTGTACCTGCCAGCTATGCTGCTGAGCTATATCCCCAGCCCATCACCTCAGCTTTGCTGTCAGCCTGGGTTACATAGTGAATTCAAGGTCAGACTGAACTGCATAGTGAGACTCTGTCTCAAAAAAAAAAAAAAAAAAAAAAAAAAAGACCAGCTTGGGCAACTTGGTGACACAGTAAGACTCTGTCTCAAAAACATTTTTAAAAAGGCCTATATACAGGCTCTGGATTCAATCCCCAGCACTACCAATGAAGTGGAACAAAACAAAACATTGAGAATTTTTCAGGGCTGGGGATATAGCTCAGCAGCATAGTGCTTGCTGTTAAGTGTGAAGTGGTGAGTTTGATCTCCAGCACATAAAAAAAAAAAAAAAAAATCAGTCCTGGTACCAAAAAAAAAAAAAAAAAAAAAAAGATTTTATCAAGTCTGTAATCTTTGCACTGAGAAGGCTGAGGCAGAATTTCTGTGAGTTCAATGCCAGCCTGTACTACACAGTGAGATCCTATTTCAAAAACTAAAACAAGGACCAAAGGTTTAGTTTAGGGGCAGAATCACCTGCCTGACAAGTGTAAGGTCATGAATTCAATCCCAGATACAAAAAAAATACAAATCTTATCAGCCAGGAGTGGTGCTACACACCTGTAATCCCAGCACTGGGAGGCTGACCGGAGATGATCTAGGAATTCAAAGCCTGACTTACATGTTGAGACTGTCTCAGAAAATCAAGAACAGGGGCCTGGGGATTTGGCTGTAGTAGAATGCTTGCCTGCCTGGTAAACTGGAAGCCTTGGGTTTGGTCCCAAGGACCAAAACTTCAGTTTTAGCACCAAAAACTGAAAAAAAAAAAAAAAAAAAAAAAAAGTCCACAAGAAAATCAAGAACAAAGCACAACAAAAGATCTTATTGCCTATTTGGCAACTTTTTTCTTAAGACCGGTCAGTGTTGGGCTGGGGATTTAGTGCAGTGGTATAAACACCTACTTGGCAAGTGCAAGGTCATGAGTTCAATCCCTGGTACAAAAAAAAAAAAAAGACTGATCAGTGTAGTACCTGGGGACAGAGAAACGAGCTGCAGAGGGGCTCCTAGCCACGGAAGGGCCTGTGTCCTGGGTACTGCCTGCACCTGGGGGACAAGAAAGCCTGAGAAAAGGTGACCAGCATAGGCGGGGTCGGGGAGAGCCTTCGGACACTATCACTGAGACAGAGCATGCTGGGACATAGCCTTCGGGGTGCCCTGTGCTCACAGCGCCCTATGGGGTGCTGAGCTGCTGTGGAGGCCTCTGGGAATCCCGGGGTGGGCAGGCAGGCACGACACCCAGCGCCTCACAGAGACGACCACAGCCACATACTAGCTGGGCTCCCGCAAAAGTTTCTAAACTTTCTTTTCAAAAAGAAGGGGTAAAGGTCCGAAAGGGAGCTTACAAAGTGGTCAATGAAACGTGAAAAACTGCAGACTCAGCAACCTCGCAGACGCCCTGCACCCATCGGGCAAAGGGGGTCATTTCCCGGGAGTGGCCTTTGTGCTGTGGATTCAGGTAGCGCTGGGGGCGGCACCCGGCCTGGAAGGGCTCAGAGTGGCACCTGCCCTCCATAGTGAAATCCACAGCGAAGGACCATAAACATCACACCAAATGCTGAAGTAACCAAGGAGTTAAGAGCCATGAAATACTGTGTACATTTTAGTTATATTAGCGGTAATTGAGACAGGGTCTTGCTATGCAGTTGAGGTTGGTGCTGGACTCCTGGCAAGCCTGCCTCTTTGGCCTGTCCAATGCTAGGATTGCAGGTGTGTGCCTGCTATTATTGTGTATTTTTTTCTTTGAGGCATGGTCATACTGTGTAGCCCAGACTACCCTCGAACTCATAGAGATCCTCGTTCAACCTCCTGAGCGGTAGGTTGACAGGCGTGCACCACCATGTCTGGCTGTTACTATACTTAAAAGGGACCGGGGCGTGATGGCGCACGCCTGTCATCGTAGCACCCGGGAGACTGAGGCAGGCGGATCACCGTGAGTTTGAGGCCAGCCTGAACTACACCATGAGACCCTTCTCAAACCAGAAAAAATAAATTTTTTTTCCTGTTTCATTTCCTTCTTTCTTGCGCTCCAAGGCCGCTTCGGATCTGTGTCTTAAGCCACCCGATGCCACAGCTTTCTCACGGTCTTCTCCTAAGTCCACCCACCCAGCCCCAGAGTTAACAGGTTGGTCAAAAGCCCGGGAAGGAGCCAGGCTTCTCGCTCTGTGGAGGCAAACCGGGCGCTAGGTAACGCCCCTCCGCGTCCCCTTCCGGCCCCGCCTCCTACCCATGGACGCCCTAAGACCCCGCCCACCACGCGTGGTCCTGGTCCCATAGGACTGAGATCCCGCCAACAATGACTCCGCCCATTTCTGCCCTCGGAAACCTGTCCCTTTTATTTAAGGCTTCATTTACGTCAGCGCGCCTTACGTAACTCTACGTCATCCATGAAAGGCGCCGAGGCAGGACTTCCTGTTATTGCCTGTAACAGTTTCCGGGAGAAGGGGGAAGAACCCGGACCTTGGACAGATTCGGAGACTGTCAGCCCTTTCTTCGGCCCCTCTAAGAAAGGCGAGACCAGGGACCGCCCCGGGGGATCCCTGCGTTTTCAGGTGAGGACTGTTTTTTCGTCTAGCTACAGCACCCGGTCCAGCTCCCTGTCCTCCCCGTCCCGCCCCGCCCCGCCCCTCGCCCACTCTCCCCACCCGGCGGCAGAGGGCCACCGGCCCAGCCGGTATCCCGCTGTCGGGGTCCGGACCCAGCCGCTCCTGGGTGGCAGGCAGCGCCTGGGTGGGCGGTCGGGGTCGTCCTGGCAGGGGAAGGCAGAGGCGGCCCCTTGCGGATGTGGGTCCTGTGAGGGGTCCCCTTCGAAGCTCGCCTGGCCAGTCCCTTTTCTTTCCGGGGATCGCGGTCAGTGACAGCCTTCTCCCTGTTGGGCTTAGTCCTGAGAGTGACGCAAAATCGCAGCCGTTTGTGTGCTCAGCGATTGCACTATACCAGGCACTGTGCTAGTTATTCTGCTTTGATGATTTTACGTCATCTGCAGAGCAGCCTTACTGGGTAGGTGCTGTTTTTAACCCAGTGGGTTAAGGAGAACGCTGAGGCTGTGAGAAAGTTGTCCAGGCTAGGACCAGGGAAACCGGGACTATAACTAGATGTTTCTGAGTCCAGGACCCACCTGTTAAGTAACGTTATGGAAATTATTCCGGTGTTATGTCCATAAATATTGTTTGAGCGACTGTTGTGGCGTTTACAGAAACCCCTGCGAGCCGTATTTAGTGGAGAGCCATAGGTGCATGCACCTAATGAGGTGGGATGGGTGCTGAAGAGGAGTGTGACAACGATACCCCCCCCCCAGGTGGGTTTGCCTGGGCACCGTTGTGAATTTAGCCCCTGTGAAGGGAGAGGGCGCCCTTGCCTGGCTGAGAAGCTGCAGGGACTGAGCTTGAGGAGGAAACTCGTGAGGCTGTTGAGTTGCTTCATCCGGGCAGTGGTTTCTGCAGTTATGAAGCCAGTGGTAACTAGGAGCAGGTGGTGTTTCTGGTGTGGCTTGCTCAACGGTTTTGAGGTGGCAGATTTGTCTCCTGCTGCCTCTTCAGCCTAGTCCTCTGTGATGATTGGACTTGGCCAAGAGGCCTGTGTCCTGTGGCTCACAATGTCAGGGAATGGGTTTTTGACCCCAGCTGAAGAGGGGCTCATAAGAGACACCTGTCAGGGCAGGCAGGACTCTTCCTCCAGAGGAACTCCAGTCACATATTCCAGGCTTCTCCATCTCTGAAGCCACCTTGGAGGGGGCTCAACAGGTAGAAATGGTGGAGAAATCAGGGGTCAGACAAGCGTTTTTCTCATCAACCAAGAAGGCAGCAAGCATAAACTGTGGTGGGTGCAGCTTCCCCAATGCCCTGCACTTTCCATGGGGCGTCAATTTAGGAGATCTGCCCCCACTCCCTGCAGGCCGCTGAACCTCATTTTCTTTCAGAGCTGGCTCAGTTTGAACTTAAACTTGGAAGCTTGCTGCAGGTCCTCAGACTGTGCTGATGCTGTCCCCTTTGTTTCTGCAGCAAGAACCCAGGCAGCAGCCAGGCCATGAAGCTCTCTGGGGTCACCCTCATTGAGGGTGTGGGTAACGAGGTGATGGTGCTGGCAGGTGTGGTACTGCTGGTTCTAGCCCTGGTCCTAGCTTGGCTCTCTACATACGTAGCAGACAGCAATAGCAGTCAACTCCTGGGAACTATTGTTTCAGCAAGCAACACCTCCATCCTTCACCTGGGCCATGTAGACCAGCTGGTGGCTGGTCCAGGGGTCCCCGACCCCCCTGAGCTGCCCGATCCATTAGAGGACAGTGAGGAGAAGGCTGAAGAGGCTTGTACAGGTGAGGGCGATGCAGCTGGGGAGCTGGGCACTGGGGCAAGTGTGGAGCCCAGCCTGGAGCAGCTCCTGGACATCCGGGGCCTGCCCAGGCGGCGGCCAGCTGCAGACAGTGGTGGTCCAGAAGCCCTGCCATGCTCTGAGCAGAGCACTTGCCTGCCTCCCGGCGCTGGCCTCATCAACCTGAGGCTCAAATTCCTCAATGACACCGAGGAGCTGGCTGTGGTCAAGCTGGAGGACACTGTGGGCACTCTGAAGAGGTGAGGGGCCCCCAGCCTGGCTGCTGGAGGAAGCTGTTGTGCCTGAGGGGAGGAGGGGGGTGGGCCCCTCCCGCTTCCTTTCTGATGCTGAACTGCTGGCTGCAGCCAGGGCCTCTGCACTGAGCTACATACCAAGCTCTTTTTGATACAGGGCGTTGCTAAATTGTCGAGACTGGGTTCAAGCTGGGGATCATCTGCCCAAGCTGCTGGGGCTACAGGTGCACGCTGATGTCTGCTCTCCTCTTCCACCCACAGCAAGTGCTTCCCTGGACAGGAAGGCCAGACAAAGCTCATCTACAAGGGCCGCCTGCTGCAGGACCCAGCAAGTACACTTCGTTCCCTGGATATCACCGACAACTGTGTGATCCACTGCCACTGCCTGCCCCCTGGGGCTGCGGCCCCGGACCCCTCTGCCCCGCTGGCCACCTCCACTACAGAGCCGCCCAGCCTGGGCCTTGGTGTGGGCAGCCTCATGGTGCCTGTGTTTGTGGTGCTCCTGGGTGTGGTCTGGTACTTCCGGATCAACTACCGCCAGTTCTTCACAGCCCCAGCAACGGTCTCCCTAGTGGGCGTCACAGTCTTCTTCAGCTTCCTGGTCTTTGGGATGTACTCGAGATAGAACCTGGAGAGTTGAAGGGCACGGGCTTCCTCTGCTGCTGCTTCCCTTTCCCAGCCAAAGCTGGGCCCAGGCCTGGGGGGGCAGTCAGCCCATGGTATTCTGGCAGGACCATATCTGGCTTGTGGAAAGCTTGCAGTCTTCTGCCCCTGACACCTCTGTAGGGCACTGGCATGGGTCCCAAGATTGGCATGGCACAGGTAGGGAGAGACTGCTTACCCCTGCAGCACCTGGTCACCTCAGTCGGCTCTTTGGGTATGGGGCCCACTTCCACAGAGCACTTTGCTGGCCTCATCTTAATAGTGCTTTATGGGCCTCTGCCAGGCCACAGCTACTGCGCCCCTAGGCTCAGAGCTGCCGGTGACCACTAGGCTCCAAGGAAGGCTCCAGAGGGGTCCCAACAGACCACATGAAGGCCCTGGATAAAGGCTCTGTGTCTGCAACTGAATAAAGGTACTCTATGGCCACCGTGGCTTCTGTAACATCCAGAACAAGCGCTGCCTGCCCCAGCTCCATGGTGATGAGGGTGGGGAGGCCAGGCTACCAACGGGAGATGCAGTTTATTTACACCAGCAGCCATGGGCAGAGGGTACACAGCGTTTACAAAGTTAGCTACCTGTACAGGATGGATTATATATGCAAAAATAAAAATCTCAAGACCACAGGACAGTGTGAGCCCCCCTCCCCTAATAACCCCAGCATGCGGTGATGCCAGGCGGGTGGCCCTGGGCATGCAGGGGGGGGGTGCAATGCATGAAAGGAAAGCCACCAGCCATGAGACTAACACACACCCCACACTCAGACACAGGGCAGAACATGGGGCAAGTGCCCTGGCCAGGCAGGGGGCCAGGGCCCAGCCTGCTGAGGGTCCTCTGAGCAGAGGCAGGGGTCTGCTCCCACCTCCCACCCACCCACATAGGCTCAGAGCCAGCTGGCAAGGATCCATTCTCGCACTGCCCCCACCACCTTCCTGAGGGAGGCTGGGGGCATCAGGCGGGAGCAGTGGCCTTCTACCCCTCATCTCCAGCCCACTCCCAACTGGGCAGCTTTGGAGGGAGGAAGCCGTGAGGGAAAGAAGAGAGGTGCCCAGGGTTTATTCTAACTCCTGCCAAAACGGGTTTGGCTTTTTAAAAAATAATCACAATGCTTGGGTTAAAAACCAACTTGCAACCAGGCATCTGCCACAATCAGAAGCACCCCAGGAGGACACTGGGGTTCCAGACAGGGTCCTGCAGCCCTGTTCTGTTGTTCCCGCAACCCTCTAGGGTCCCTAACCCAAATCAGTCCACAAAGTCCTGGGTACTGGCTACTCAAACGTGGGACACATCAGCAAGTGCTGGGTACAGGTGTCCCCTGGCCCGGTATGCGGGGCCCATGCGGGCTGTACATCTCCCTGGATGTAGACCAGGCTGGTGACATGCTGGCACGCCATCCCACAGGGCTGACATCACCCTTCCCCTCCGCTGAGGTCCAGAGCACAGAGCCACCTTCTTCCCACCTACTCCTAGCATGGGGAGAGGCACAAGGGAAGGACTTTCCTTGGAGCCCCAAACCACAAGTACAGAATAAATAACTTAAAAGCGGCGCAGGAGGGAACAGGGCAGCCTGGAGGTGGGAACAGAGCAGGATGAGGCTGGTGAAGGGGAAGGTGGCAAGCAGCACTTGGGGCGGGGCTGCCCCAGGACAGGGGCAGGGCACGCGTGGGAACACGGCCACCCCAGGAGAGCGAGGCTGCGCCCCTTCCTGGGACAGGGAATGAGGTAAGAAAACATTTCAAATAAAGCAGCACCGTTCCCTCACCGTGGGCCCCTCCTGCTGCCCAGGACCTGGTCTGCCCACCCTCCGGGGAGGGAGGGTGGTGGAGTGGAGTTTTGGCCAGCCCCACCCTCCCCTTTCTGCTCCTTGAAGCTTCGAGGCTGTGGCCCTTTCCTGGCACCCAAGATGAGGACAGCTCCGCCTGCCCAGAAACCATGGGGATGGAGGGGTGCCTGGGGCACTGGAGGTGGTGCAGTCCTGGGTGCCACCTAGCAGCCAGCCCACTGGTACCCACTGGCTGGGCATCACCGGGAATCATGGGCTTGCTACCTGCGGCCCTTGGGCAGCTCAGACCCCTTTACAATGCCTGGGGCCTGCCGGGGTGAAGTCCAGTTCCTGCACAGGGCGGGCAGTGTGCGGGGCAGTGCCAGGCCAGGCCCCAGGCCCAGCTGGACATCCAGTAACTCACAGAATAAATAGGAAAACTGCCTCCCACTGAACTGTGTCCAGGCAAAGTGAACATGTCCAGGTCTGAGGCCTGCACGCTGAGGCCGTGCCACCACAGAGGACCCAGTGCCCCCCAGGGGCGCACACATGGCCCCACCCACCTGTCCCAGGCTTGCATGCCTGAGCCCTAGCAGCGTCTGTGTGCCCAGCCCTGCGGCCAGTGGATTCAGGCAGGCTCTACTCAGCCAAAGGTGGCCCCTGCGCTGTCAGTTGATGTCATCGTAGATGCTGGGTGTCGGAGGCGCTGGTGGCTTGGGCCTCTTCTTCTTGCCGGTGGCAAGGCTGGATGTGGCCCCTGCCAGCCCCAGGTGTGGCTTCTTCTTCTTGGCTTTCCGGGACTCGGAGCTGCTGCTGCCTGCAGGGAGCCAGGCTGTCAGCACGCTGCAGGGGGTGGGTGGGGGTGGGGTCTGGCAGCCCTGAGCCCTACATACCTAGGCCCCAGCCCTGGTTATCACTGGTCTTGGAAGAGCCTGAGTCTGAGGGTGAGAGGTCGGAGGAGCCATCCCACTGCAGCCGGCTGAGCAGGGCCTGACTGTCGGCCATGTCGAAGCTGTCGGTGTCCAGCGCACTGTCCACCTCTGGGAGGACACTGTGCAAGGTGGGGAGGGTGGGCTCAGGCTCAGCCACTGCCGCCCCCATGCCCACCTGCCCACCCAGACCAGCGGGTCACTCACGCCGAGGGCCCGAGAAAGTAAATCCGCACAGTCCGCCTCTGCTCGTCTGTGTGCTGGGGACAGCGCAGGGACCTGGTGGGGACAGCAGGCTCAGCCTTGACACAGCCAGGAGCCCCCTGCCTCGCACCCCTGGTGGCACTCACCTCGTGCACATCTTCTTGGTGTGTTCTGAAATCACGCCACATTGCTGTAGGAGGGACAGAAGCTGAGGTGGCTGCGGAGGGGGGGGTGGGGGGTGGGGACAGACAAAGACCCAGCCCAGGCCCTGGGGCACCCTCTGCACCCCTGCCCGGCCCTCACTGTGGTGAGAAGGCTCCGCAGCTCCTCCGGCCCCAGTGTCTCGTAACTGATCCCGGTGGAGTTGCTGTACTGTGGGAACCAGAGGGTTGGTCAGGGCCTCCAAATCCCCGTCCTAGGAGACCCTGACTCCACCTCCCTGAACCCCAGCTATTCCATGGGGGCCCTGACAAGCAGCATGGGCAGCCCCTGCTTACCTTGAAAGGATCCGAATTGCTAAGCTCCCCTGAAGAAGAAAAAAGAAGGGGAAGGGTGTTTGATGCAGAGGAACAGACAGAGAACCCTGAAAATAACCAGAAAGGAAGTGGGGGTGACAGAAGGCTCACAGGTCCTCCCCTCCCTCCCTACTAACACCCCCCCCCCCCGCCTGCAGCTCCCAGTGGGTCCCTGAGGCACCACAGTTGCTCCAGCTCCACTCACCATTTTTGTGTTTTAAAGACTTGGATCTTCGTGGGGAATTGGGGTTCTGGAATGGGAGATACCATAGCTTTGGGGAAAGGGCAACGATAAGGGGAAGCCAAGACCCAGGAAAGAAAACATGTTTGACAAAAGAATATCCTCGATCGCTTTGCAACCTCCCAGCTAGAGGCCTGGCAGCCCACACACCCTCCCCACACTCCCAAGGCCTCAGACACCCGCACCCCAATGCCTCAAACTTGAGTCAAGACACCCGAGGATGCCCTGCCCCACGGGAGGATACTGTCCTCTGCCCACATTCCCTGTGCCCCAGCTCTCACCTTGTCTGATTTCCTCTTCTTAGCTGTTGGAGACAGAAGAACGGAGAGCACGGTTACTTTCTCCCTGGTGTTTTGGGAGTACTGGAGTGAACTCTAGGACCTTGACACATGGTATGCCGGTTCCCTACTGCCAAGCTACCCTCTAAGTAGCCCAAGGTGGGGCTACTTAATCCCACACTCCAGCTAAAACCATCTAAATCTAAGTGAGAAGCAAAGCAACCCTCTCTCTACATCCTTCATGACAATTGCTTTTTCTTTTTTTTTTGCACTACTAGATTTGCACTCAGGGCCTTCACACAGACCTATACAATGCCAGCCCCACGTCAGGGTCTCACTAAATTCTGCAGGCTGGGCACAAACTCCTGCCTCTGCCTCCCAGAGTGCTGAAGCTATACCATGTACCACCATGCCTGGCTCCTCTCCCTTGCCCCAGGTACCCCGCAGTCCCCAGGCCAACACCTTTCTTCTCCGAGCCGTAGGACCAGTCATTGTCATTGATGTCGTCGTTGTCCTCCTGGTCGCTCTCCGACTTATTCATGTTGTTGCTGTTGGCGATCCTGCAAGGGGGGGGACACCTTGGCGTTAGGCTGGCACCACTCTCCACAGGGAGGAGGACATGCAGGGCACAGCACACCCTGTGCCCCACGAGTGCCCCCGGTCAGGCGTGGGTGAGGGTCGCTGCCCTCACCGGCGGTTGGCAATGCGGCTGCTGTTGCGCCCCATGCCCAGGCACTTCTCCAGGTGTGGTGCGAAGCGGGACGCGGCAATGCTACGGCTGCAGTTGGGGCAGACGCACTCCTTGCTCTTCCACTGGTTGAAAACCTGTCCAAAGATGTCCAACCCGGGCTGGTCCACGATCTCTGGGGACAGCAGAGCGCGCGACGATCAGGGTGGGTGGGCAGGGACTGTATCCTCAAAGCCCTGCCTTGGGCTTCAGGGGTTCAGGTACTGGAAGAAGTCCCCAGACACTCTACCGGAGCTCACCAAAATCCTTCATGCTGTCTGGGTCTGTGTCGTCCAGGAAAAAGTAGCCACACTTGACGGCCCGGTGCACCTCGAAGCAGAACCCCAAACACGAATCTTCGACCAGGTCTGCATAAATCTCCTGAGCAATGGCCTGGGCCAAGGAGAGAGCCCATCAGCATGGTTGCCCCGGGTGGGTGGCAACTTAGTGGTTGGCTCTGGTATGTCCCCCATCCTGACCCAGCTTGCAGCGTGCACGAAGACACCAGCAGAGCTGGAGGCACATATGGGGACCCTCACCTCTAGTTTGTTGTTATCCAGGCCAGACAAAGACATTTCCTCCATTTTCATTTGTAAACTCTTGTGGAGACGGCACTCTGACTGCTCATAGCACAGCGGGCGGCAACTCGGCTGCAGGATGGGGGTGCACAGGTGAGGCCAGGGCAGTGTGGAGCCTAATGCCTCTCCTTCCACCGGCTCGGCCCTAACAGCCCTGGACCAGGCCCCCCAGCCTGCATGGTTCTTGGCTGGAGACCTGGTGTGGCTTCATCCTTGCCCAGTAGAGCAGGGCTCCACAGCCAAACAGTCCACCACAGGCAGCAGCTCACCCAGTCCCCAAACTCAAACCCCTGATACCCATGGTGCAATGCAGCAGGGTAGAAGGAACTCCAGGCCTCAGAGTGAACCCACAGGGTGTGGCGGAGCCCCATGGGATCGCCGGACAGTCCTGGCCTCCAAGGTCCTGCCAGTCATCGCTTCCGGCACCCAGGTGTCCACTTAGGGGGTGCCCTTATCAGAAATGAGGACTCCACGAGACCCCACCACCCTTGACTCACTGTCCTCCGCGAAAGGCTCCTGCCTCTCCACATGTAGAACGGAAGAGGGCACAAGAGACCGAAGTCGCAGGGACATGGAGGCACACGGCAGGGGTGCGCATGGGGCGCACACAAGGAGGGGGCCCTGCCTACCTGCGGCCGCCGGGACACCCATCCCGCCCCAGTGGCCCAGCCCGGAAGTCCATCCGAGCGCCCCGAAGTGCGGGCCCCCCCGCTCGAGACCACAGCTCTGGGTCCCTCCGGCGGGCGGCGGGCCGGGCCGGGGCGCCGGTCAGGGTCCGGCCGGCCGTCACATCGCCGGGACGCGGAGCCCCCAGACCGGCCGGCCCCGCCATTGTCCCAAACAAAGGCCCGCGCCCCTCCCGGCCTGCCGCGCCCCACCCGCCCAAGGGGACCGGCCGCAGCGCGGGGTACCGGCCCGGCGCCGGCAGTCCCGCGCCGGCCAGGCCAGGGGAGGGGGCGCCACGCGGGGAGGGGGCCCAGCCCCGCCCCCGCCCCGCCCCCCGCAGGCCCCTCCCCCGTACTCACCCCGCCCGGGGCGCCAAGCCGGGGCCCGGCGGCCTCTCAGGGCCGCGTCCTCCGGCGGCGGCGGCGGCGGCGACTGCTCCGGAGCCCCATGTCCTCGCTGCGCGCGCCGCTGCCCGGGGCCGGGGCCGGGGCCGGGCGCCCCCGCCTCGCCGCCTCACCGGGCGGCCATGGCCCCTTCCCCTCCCGCTGCGTCCCGTCGCCGCCTCCTCCGCGCCTCCGCGCCGCCGCGCCCCGCCCGCGCGCAGCCCCGCGCAGTCCGTGCGCCCCTCCCCCCGCCGCGCGCCAGCCCGCCTCTCCCGGAGCGCGCGCGCGGGCCGCGGCCGGGATGGAGGGATGCGGCGGGCGGACGCGCGCCCCCGGGCCTGCCTGCGCGCGGGCGCGGGGCCAGGCGCGGGTGCGCGCCTGGCTCTCCCCCTTCCGCCTCCCGCCCCTCCGCGACACCCCGCCCTCTCCCGCCCTTCCTCTTCCTCCTTTCGCTTTTGCGCGCCCCGCGGCCGCCCGCGCCTGCGAGAAGCGCCCGCGCGCGTGCCTCTGCCCCGGGCCCGCGGCTCGACAGCATTGGCTTCGGGGGGCGGGGACCGGCGGGGGGCGGGGCGCCACGCCGCCGTCCAAAGTACCGGCGCGCGGGCTGGGGAGGAAAGGGGCGGGGCCTCACGAAACGCTTGGCCAATCGCCCTGCCGCTCCTACCCACTGGCCCAATGGCGTGTCGGTGGGCGGGGCAGCGTTCAAGGTGAGCTGCGCGGTGCGCCGGGGGCGGGGCCGTCGCGCCATCGCGGCCGGCTTGAGGGTGTGGCCTCGGTGGCGTCGAAAGCGGGCGCCGGCGGCTGCGGCTTCAAGCGCCTTCCGGCCCGTACCGCCCCTCCCCCGGCGTGCTGCCCCTGTCGCGCCCGCTGCTGGCTGCCCACTACCCGCTGTGAGAGTCCGGGGCGGCGCTGTGCTCTCGGCCCTGCCCGCCGCCCCTTCCTGTCCCTCAGAATCGCGTCCCCGACCCCGACCCCACCTGCCTGCCCTTCCTGCTTCCGGGCCCACGCCGGCCGCACCTCCGGAGCCGCTCCCTCTGCCGCCTTCGTAGCACGTGCGCGCTCTGGTCCCTGCCGGGGAGAGGCCCTCTCGGCCGATTGCGCCCAAACGGCAACCCTTTGGTCTCTGAGATCTAGTTGGCGCTTAGTCTCCCGCACACATTGGTGGAGGCAGTTTTCTTAAGTAGTTAAAAGCGTGAGAGCGGGGCGTGGTGGCACACGCCTGTAATCCCAGCAGGCTGAGGCAGAAAGATGGCTGTGAGTTTGAGGCCAGTTTGGATTATGTTACAAGACCCTATTCAAGAAAAGACAACTCAAGGGACAGATTTAAATCTAACTCCGAAAGCCAGGCGTGGTGGCACATGCCTATAATCCTAGCATTTGGGAGGCCGAGGCAGGAGGATCACTGCAAATTTGAGACCAGCTTGGGCTACAAAGTGAGTTAAAGGCAAGCTTGAACCCATAGCAAGACCCTGTCTAACCTAGGGGACTTGGCAATTAAACTACTTATTCCTTAATTTTCTCTGTTGTCAGTGGGCATATTGACAGTTACAGGTTTGGTGTGGTGGTTCACACCTGTAATCCTGGCACTGGGGAGGCTGAGGCAGGATGATTGCCATGAGTTCAAGGCCAGCCTGGGCTACAATAGTGATCCCTGTCTTAAAGAAAAAAAAAAAAAAAAAAAAAAAAAAACCAAACCAAGCCAGAAACACGTTTACTCTGAACGTGCTCCAGGGGCTGGTTTTCAAGGATGAGCAGCCATACTTCCTCTAAGAGCCCAGCAGGAGGACCCACAGGAAGACGGGGGATAATGTGATTAAAAGCAAGACAGGCTGGTGTGGTGGTTCACAGCAGTCCTCTCAGCACCAGTTCCCAGAGGCTGAGCCGAGGTTGGGGGCAATTTAGTGACTTTGTAAAAAAGGGTTGGCGCTGGACCTTGTGCAATCCCTAGGACTACAAAAAAGAGATGCTGGGGCTGGGGATTTAGCTCAGCGGCATAAATGCCTGCCTTGCAAGCAGACAGTCGTGAGTTCGATCCCTGGTACCGGTAAAAACGAAAAAGACAAAAAAAAAAAAAAAAAAAAAAAGAGATGCTGGTAGGTATCAGAGACAGATGGGAAGTGCAGGAGGGGGTGACATCCTCTGAAAAGCTGAGCAGTTGCTGGGGTCTGAGGGCCTAGGCCCAGCAATAGTCACTGGTCTAGGCTCCACTCAGTAAGTTTTGTTATTGGTTGAGCAGTAGAAGGTGAACGAGATGGAGTCTCAGCAAACACAGTTCCCGCTCATATGGTCTTGGGGTTCAGATCTGAAATGTCCCCCAACTGTCGTGTTTGGGACAAGGTCAAACTTCCTCGATGGATTGGCCATGAGCCTGGAACTCGAAGGTATCACTGGGAGGCACTGCAGCTTAGTTGGAGGGTCTAGGCCTGGGGCTGTGACCTGGGCATGGATCTGGACACTCCCCCCTTCTCTCTGGCTCTTGAGCCCTTTGCTTCCTGGCTACCAGGAGGTGAGCGACTTCCTTCTGTCACACCCTTCCGCCATGACCTTCCTGCCTTGCCTCAGAGTCTGCCAACTGTGGACTGAAATCTCTACATCAATCCGTCCTCAATAACTGCTTCTTGAAGTTATTTAGGTCATATGTGTGGTCACCGGGGCAGGAAGCTGGCAAACACAGAGGGTGAGGCTGGATACAAGAAGGTGACCTGTCCAGTGGGGGGCAGTGTGGTGGCCTGGAGTGGCTGCTGGGGCAGAAGCAGCTGGAGCATGGAGGCTCACTATGGCCTCTTCTCTCCTGCTTCCTTTCAGGTATTCTCCCAGCAGTGCTCCCCATATGCAATGTGCCCATTGCACCCCACCGAGGGATAAAGGGCCAGGGGATTCAGTAAGTGCCCACAACATGACACCCAGGAAGGCTGAATCCTCTTTTCAGCCCCTCAGGAGGTTGTCTTCACCCCAGCATCTTTCCAGTGGCCTGGACCCTGGGGTGGCCACTGCTCTCTGGTATGTGGCAGTTTCTGTGGTCACTACAATTAACAGATGTTAGGGACCAAGCTAGTGCTGGTGCAGGGCAAGGCCCTGGGGTCACAACAACAAGCAAGAGAGATATGTATCTGGTCTTTGTGGTGACAACAGCCTAGCAAAGGCTGGTGTAAAGGAGATGGCATCTGGCCTGCGGAGAAATTGATGTCTGGGAAACTTTGGTTGGGAAGTGACTTTCTGTGTGTGTGTGTGTGTGTGTGTGTGTGTTTATGCAGTTCAGGCTGCCCTTGAGCTCACTTTGTAATCCAGGCTGGTCTCGAACTCGCAAGAATCCTCCCACCTCAGCCTCCTGAGTGCTGGGATTACAGGTGTGAGCCACCACGCCCGGCTAATGGGAAGTGACTTTCTAAGCAGAACCCTGTGCTGAGGATTTGAACCAAGAAGCTTCTGTGCAGAGATGGTGCATGTGGGTCCAGAGGTAGCTTAGGTCTGGGTCACAAAATGCTGGCATGGCTGGACTTGGGCAGAAGGCTGAGGCAGCCCTGAGTCAGAGCCTCACTTTGTGAGCCACAAGCAGGTGAAGCATTTTCTTGAGAGATACAGAATGGCTAAGCAAAGCCACAGGGAATAAGGAGGAATGGTCTAGGAGGCCCTGGGCTCCGGGCTGAAAGTGGGCAAAGGCCCTGTGGGGCAGGAACCTTGTGATTAGGGAAGGGAGGTAACAACAGACAGGGAGGCAGGATCCAGGCCTTATGAGGCCTAGGAAACTCACAGGCTCTTTCAAGTAAGAAGTAATCAGCTTTTTTTGTTTGTTTCTTGTGGGGTTTCAAACTGGTTTGAAACTGCTGGGCTCAAGCAATGGATCACTCTGCCTCAGCCTCCTGAGTAGCTAGGCCTGCAGGTGCCTGCCATGTGTACGTTCAGATGTGTTTTTAAGATTTCATGGTGGGGGGCTGGGGACTTAGCTCAGCGACATAAGCGCCTGCCTTGCAAGCAGGCAGTCATGGGTTTGACCCCTGGTACCGATAAAAAGGAAAAAGACAAAAAAACAAAAACAAAAGATTTCATGGTGGGCATAGTGGCGAGCACTTGTCACTAGCACTGGGGAGGCCGGAGCAGGAAGATCACCATGAGTTCAGGGTCAGGCTGAGTATAGTGAGATTGGTCCCAAGAAATTAAAAAAGAAAGAAAAGAAAGGGCCTCGGAGCATTGTGGGGGGCTGACTTTGGCAAGGGACGGGCAGAGCATGAGGGTGGCTTCAGGTCTTGACCAGCCTGGGAATGGCAGCTGTGGGGAGGGCTGGCTGGTTTTGGGGGAGGCCAAGAGTGTGATGGGCAGGAGGTGAAGACTTACACATGCAGGCAAGAAAAGACACAAGTGGAAGCTGACCCCTGGTGCTAGGCTGGAACCTCAGGGCTGGCAGAGCCCAGGTTGCCCAGGTGGTACCCCTGAGGGCAACACTGCCCAAGGCCCACATGCTCTGGGAACAGCACAGTCTGGGGCTGCTGCCTATTCCTATGACAGCACCATATGCCCAGGCTGCTTTAAACTCAGTGGGTGATCCTCCTGCCTCAGCCTCTGGATGCTGGGATTATAGGCGTCTGCTATACCTGTTCTATTTTTAAAATTTCTTTGGCCCACAGGTCTGTTTCTGGAGGCTGGCAAGGTGAAGGGTACAGGCAGACCTGGGTGCACCCCCTGGGCCAGGGAGGAAATTGCTGAGCACATCCATTCCCTCAGGCCCACTCACTGCTGCTGTGCTAACCCATTGCTCCTAATCCCAGCGCTAACCCCTGGTTCCACTGGTCTAGTGCTGTTCCTGTGGCAGTAACATTTCCACACAGGCTCTGGAAAGACAGTCACACTATCACATGTGGTCTCCATGAACACCTTCTGGAGTAGTTGCATGGGCTGACAAACGGAGGATGAAGGAGTTGAGTGGCCCACACCTATAATCCCAACACTGAAGGAGGCTGAGGCAGGATTACTACAAGGCCAGCCAGGACTACATAGTGAGACCCTGTCTTAAAACAGGAGGCTGGAGATGTAGTTCAATGCAGAGCACTCTCCATCAAAAGGGGCAGTAGCAGCTGACACCTACAAGGGCAGACCCTACGGCAGAGACAGTGTCCCTGGGGTGTGCTGATGGCCAATTTGTTGACTACCCAGGACAGGGATGTGATGGTAGACTTGACCAGGAATGTTGGGAGGCTTTGCATCAAGGCCCTCTGGACAGAGCCAGATTTCAACTCCGCTGCTCTGGGAGCTCAGCAGAGACCACACGGGGACAGTCAGGGTCAGGCTGCTGGTGTCCTCCCCTGCAGCAGGTCTGTGCAGCCCAGGCATGAGCACATGCTGTCCCGTGAGCCAGGTAGTATGGGGCTCTACACAGCCTAGGCCAGTCCCAGTGGTAGGCCCCCACTCCCCCACAGGAGCTTTGTGCCCAGGTGAACCCTGGAGGCCATGGCCGTGTGCCACGCCTAGGCCTTTTGAGACAAGGTCTCTCCAAGTTGCCCAAGCTGGCCTTCAACTTTTGATTCTCCTGCCTCAGCCTCCTCTCAGTGCACACCACCACACCCAGCATGGGTCTTTCTGTGTCAAACCTGTCCATCAGCCTTGCCACACACTTCCTTCAGCTATTGACCAGACCACAATCAAATCTTTTTCACTTTATTGTACAAAAGGGGAAAACAAAACATCCACAGTCGGCCATCAGCTTAGGTAGACAACAGGCCACTCCCTCCCATCTCCCAAAGTACAAATTCAAGGTGGCTATCGTTGAAACCTACAAAACACGCCTTAATTATTAGAAAAAAGGGGGGCAGGGGGATGGAGGGCCCTCCCACCCCAGCCAGACCGACCCAGTGCCAAAATGCACTCAGCACGACCTCTTAAAGCACCAATCCCTGTCCCCGTGGCCCTGCCTGCACTGTAAGAATTTCTGTTTTTAAAACAGGAAAAAAAAAAAAATCCTGTTGAAAGCTGCTTGAAGTGGAGCTGTGTTCCAGCACAGCATAACAGTGCCGGCACTCAAACACAGGGCAGACACCTTGTAGGGATCCTGGGGAACAGAACTGTAAACCCTGTGCCCAATATTAGGGCCTGGAGTGGAAGGGAGCAGGCCTGGGGTCCTGTCCTGGCCCCTACCCAGCACCAGGGCCTGGGGCCCACTGCCCTGCCTCCCTGCCGGATCCCTCCCTATCCTGGGCTTCCTTCTATTCAGAAGAGGGTGCTGGGAAAGCAAAGCCCCCCTTCAATAGAGGGCAGGTGTGATTGAAAAGAAAAATCCAGGGAGGCTGTGGCTTGCCTTAGGAAGAGCTGAAGACTCTGGGTACCAAGAGTGTGGCATAGTCAAGCCAGGGTTTGGGGCCAGCTGCAGGTGGCCCCTGCTGTGGGGCTGGGGTAGAAAAGGGGACAGACCTGAGAAATTAAAGGAATTGGCTGGCCAGAGGACACAGGCCAGGCAGGAGGGACACGTGCAACCTCTTGACAGAACATCCTGCAGCCCCACTGGCCCCTCAAGGTGTGGGGAGCTGCTCCCAGGGTCATTCCACACTGGCCTGTCCCACCTTGCTGTGAGCTGGCAGGGGCCTGCAGATGCTGGCTGACGAATGGGACCCTGGTGGAAGAAACTGGCTACAGGACGCACTTCAGTGGCCTTGGAGGCCATGACCAGCAGAAGAGGGCCTAGGAAGGGCAGCTGTAGCCAGTTGGTCCCCCAGGCCCATGTCCCAACTATCCCCAACCTTCTTCCTGCTCACAGCATTGCGGGGCTCCAGGACTGAACTGAGCATGCGCGGCCACAGGCACACCCACGCTATGTACAGAACACACGCACACACGCACTCTCCCACACACACACAGGACCATTTAAAAAAAGTCCCCTGCTACCCCTAACCCTCCCTCTCCCAGAAATGACAACAGAGACGGCAGCCGGGATCGGTAGGAAACGTCTCGTTGACAGCTCAGCGCTTAAAAAAAAAAAATATATACACATATATAAAAAATGCTTCTGCCCCACCCCGGGTGGCACCCCCTCCCGCAGGGGAAGGGCAGGGCAGGGGCAGCTGCAGTACGCGACGCCCACCTCCCCTGCTCCCCAACTCCAGTTCCAGCGTGTGGACAGCAGCCCCTTGAGAAGGCTCACCGCCTCCAGGGGGGGCCGCAGGTGCCGAGGCTCCAATCCCAGGACCCTAGCCCACCCAGTCCATTGTCCAGGTCCAAGCTGCAAGTGCAGAGCAGGTGGTAGCTGTGTCCCGTGCAGGCTCAGACTGATGGTGGCTGTCCCTTGGGACCTGGGCCATAGCTCCAGGGCTGCAGTCCTGGCCTGGGCCCCTCCAGCCCCCCTACCCCCACTATATTTTGTTTAAAAAAGAAAAAGAAAGAAAGAAAGTGGGGGAGGCCAGGAGCTGGGGGACCGGACACAGGTGAGACAAAGGTGGTCAGCTGGGGGCGTGGGCTCGAAGGCCACCCAGGCCAGCCCTCAGTTGGAGTCCGAGTCCGAGGAGTCCCCCGAGGATGAGGAGCTCGAGCTGCTGCCCTCAGACTCGTTGTCCTCGTCCTCGTCGTCATCCTCATCATCGTCTTCGTCGTCATCGTCCTCCTCATTCTGGGGACAGAGGACACATGGTCACCAGGTGCCTTCCTGGGAGCACCTGCCCTGCTGCACCCTGCCCACCTACCTCATCCCCATCCTCGCTCTCGTCCTCACTGCTGGACTCTGAGGAGTCCCCACCATCTTCGGAGGAGTCCCCGTTCTCATCATCCTCCTCTTCCTCCTCTTCCTCCTCCTCATCTTCATCCTCTTCATCGTCTTCCTCAGACTCCTGGAAGGGGTGGAGTTGGATCACCCATTGCTCAGGCACAGGGGCCCAGGCACACCCCCATGGGCTGAGGGGGCTCCTTACCGACTTGGACTGCAGGGCAGTCCGGCTAGACTTAGGGTTTGGGCCCCTAAGCTTGGTCATGCTCTTGCGCTTCTGTGGGGGGAACAAGGGGGCACTAGTGAGTCCAGGCCAAGTCCTGCCATGCCCACCCACCAAACTCCACTTACATTGGAGATATATTCCTTGTACGCCGCCCGGTCCTGGGGAGACAGGCTCTGCAGAGACAGAAGAGGTAGGCTGAGACACGCCTGATGCATCACAACCCATCGTCCAGCTCCTGTCCCCTCTACTCTGGGTGTTTGCAGAATCCTCTTTGAAGTCACCCTGACAAGGACTGCTGCTCCACCTTCGGGGAGCCTGTGCCCAGGGTGAGGAAACTCGGCAACCGACACCGTGGATCCCAGTGAACCCCAGATCTGGAGATAAGCTGCACTCTCTCCCTGAACCTTTGGCCCACTTACCTGGGAGTCAGGGAACACGGATGAAGCCCCCCTCTTCACAGGCCTGACTGTTCACTCTAAGCCCAGAGAGGACACCTGGAGCTTAGGACACACCACATTGCAACTTGGGTTTCTCTGCTTACTGCGCTTTTGCTTTTTCATCTTTGTTTCTTCTCCCAAGTACCCAAGACCTTGCTAAACCACCAAGGTGCCCAAACTGAGCTTGCACTTTTGCGCCTCTTGCCTTGGCTGGCCACAGTGTTGGGACAACAGGCCCTCCCGAACCTGAGCCAGACCTCCCCATCTTGGCTGTACTCCCTACAGGGTGCTACACCCCCAGCTGGATTCCCCCCAGCCCTGCCCCACACTCACCTTAACCCACAGGTCCAGGTGCACTTTGTACTGCTTCTGCTGCTCCTCCGCCAGCTTCTTGTAGTGCTCCTTCTGGCTCTGTGAGATGCGCTGCCAGCGGCTGCCAATCTCCACCATGCGTTCCTTCAGTGGCAGGTGGTTCAGCTCCCCGTTGGACAGCAGCTCCTGGGAGAACTTCTGGTAACCGTTCCTGGGGGGATGGGAGTGTGTGGGTCAGGAGCCCAGTCCCACAGCCAGCCCTCTTCCCCACAGGGCTCACCCCTCGGCTCCACGCTCACATTGGGGGCTTCTTCGGTTCTCCCTGGAACTTCATCTTCTTGGAAGAGTTGGCTGCGGCCGGGGGTGCCCGCATCTCACTCAGCTCTCTCTGCAGGGAGACCAGAAAGTCACCCCATTGCCCCTACTGTCACCTGCCTTAGCCAGAGAAAGGCACAGCATGACTGTTCTTGCGGGCCAAACACTGCCTCGCCAGAGGCATCCACAACAGAGCCTGGCCTGGCTGTCACCCCAGAGGCTGTTCTGGTGACCCCACTTCACCAAGCCTGGGCACAGGGGCTGGCCCCCCACCTCGTAACGCTTCTGGTCTTCAGCCGCCTTCTTGATCCACATCAGCTTTTCTTTCTTCTCCATGTTGTTCCAGGTCATTTCCATGGCCTTCAGAGCCTTCACCCGGTCGTTCTGCGAGCACACAGAGGGTCACAGAGTGTCCCATGGGGCCAGGGTGTTGCATCTCCACCCTACCACCACTGCCCACCTTGAAGCGCGCCAGGTAGTCGCCAATGACGCTCTGCTGCCAGATCTCTTCGGCTCGCTTGGGCGACTCGGGCAGCTTGCCGCGCTCTTCGCGTTCGGTGCCGGGCTTCCTCTCGGACTGTGCCTTCAGGGCGGCTTCCCGGGCCTTGTACTTGGCCTGCAGGACAGGATGGGCACTGAGCGCAGACCACCTGCAGGGGGCGCACGAGCCAGGGGGCGGGGCCAGGGGAATAGGGCGGGGCCGACTGCACACGTCCTGGTCCGGCCCCGCCCACCGCAGTTCCCGCCTGCGGGCGCCAGGCGGCCCTGACCTTCTTCTTTTCGGACAGGTCATTCCACATGCGCGCCAGCAGACGGGTCAGCTCGCTCTCTGACAGCTCGGGCCGCTCCTCCTGCAGCTGCCGCCGCTTTTCCTCAGAGAAAATGAACATGGCCGACACCGGCCGCTTGGGCTTCTCAGCACCGGCCTGCGGATGGGTGGGGGAAGGAGGGCGTGGGTCGCGAGGGTCTGGTCCCCCGTGGGGTGCGGGCTGCCGCGCCCCACACCCGCCTCTTTGCACCTTGCCGCCCTCCTGCGGAGGCTTCTTGGCGGCCGGGCTGCCCGCCTGCTTCTTGCTGATGTTCAGCATCTTCTCCTCACCCAGCACCCGTTGCTGCTCCTCCTCGGGCAGGCTCTACACGGGGACAGGACAGGGGCACGGGTGGGCGCGGCTGCAGCAGTTCCTCGCCCACCTCTTCCATGGAACCCACTCACCTCCAGGAAGCGCAGCAGCTCCACCTCATAGTCTTTCTTTTTCTGCAAAGTGAGGGGCTTGAGGTCAGTCGCAGATGTGTGGCCAGGCACAGTCACCCTGCCAGCCCGACTCAGCTCAGCCCTGCCCAGTGGTTTAACCCAGTCAGGGTCTGGCGCACCTGGTCGCACTTCTTGTGGTAGGCGTCCTTCTCCTTCTGAGACAGCAGCTTCCACTGCTGGCTGCACAGCACCATGCGCTCCGTGCTGGGCACGTCCTTCATGTTGGCCATCAGCTCTGCGCAGTAGAGTGAGTAGCTATTCCTGTGGGGCCAGAGGAGCACGGTGAGGCCAGGTGGGCCCCTGCTACCCACCCGCCCACCCGGGGCGGTGCTCACGGAGGTGGCTTCGTGGGTCGCCCGTCGAACTTGTCCTTGAGCTGGCGCTCCGCCTTGGTGAGGGTAGACTTGGTGATGCCCTCCTCACTGATGTTCAGCTCAGGGTGCTTCTGGATGTAATCACGCATTATCTCCTGTAGAGCGGGTGGGCGCGGAGCGCAACGGGGTGGGGTTAGCATGGGACCGGGGCACGGGGGAGCCGCTGGGAAGGGGGGCTGGAGCAAAGCTGGGGGTAGCCGTGTGTCTGCCATGCCGCGCCGTGCCACACAGTGCCCTGCCCTGCCCTAGCCTGAGATCTCCTGGGGGGTGGCGGGGTCAGTAGGGGTAGAGGTGAGGGGCCATGAGGCCCCTCCCTCAACAGGGTCCGGGGAGCGATGAGTCCGGGCAGAGGCTCGTGAAGAGCCGGGCGGGGAGGAGTGCAGCGGAAGCCTAACCTCGTACTCCTTCCGCTGCTCCAGGGCCTTATGAATCCATTTCAGCCTCTTTTTGTCCGAGAGCTGAGACCACTGCTTCCCCAGGGAGTCCTTCACCTCCTTCGTAGTGGCCTGCAAACCAAAAGCCGTCAGACACACACAAGCAGCCAGGGCAGGGGGAGGGGGGTAGGGGCACGAGGCCCCGCCCCCTCGGGCCACAGGAGGTCACGTCCATGTCCCCCACAGGCCAGGAGGGCAAGGTGGAGGCGGGCATCCGCCTGGTGCAGGGAGGCTCACACACGCACGCACACACGCTCGCACGCGCTGGCCCAGGCCCTGTCCATGCAGCCCACCCCTGGGGAGGGGGCCTCCTCTCCTGCTCCCCTGACCCAGCCCTGCGACCCGGCGCGGCTCCCCCCCAGCCCCCTCTGTGAGCCACCACCCCACCCACCGGCCAGACACTCACATCTGGCCGCACTTTGAGGTACACCTTCTTCTCATGTGTGTACCACAGCTGCTGGGGGGTTTTGGGCTTCTCGGGGATGTCCGATTTCTTGGCATTCTGAATAAGGTCGGGATGATCCTCCCTGGCCAGTGCACAGGAGTGAGGGTCACTGGGGACACTGTCAGTCTGGCCCCAATGTCCACCCCACCTGTTAAGCCTCCTAGGCCTTGGGCTTAATGGGACAATGGCCACCTGCCTGTCCCTGCCCAAGCATGAGTGGGTCTTTATGTGACCATCTTCCCCACAGCCAGCTCTGAGCTCTGAATGGTGTCCACCTGTCCTGCCACACCCCAGGCCCCATGGCTGCTGTGGGTCTCCAACCCTTACCTGAACCGGGCCAGATTTCGTTCGAACTCTTGTTTTTCCCTCTGGAAGTCCTGAATATATTTCATCTGGGGGAGGAGGGGATGGGGTCATCCAGGACCCAGCTGGGCCTCACTCATCCAGAACCCACACCCTCAGGGCTACCTTGCTCCCCCTGCAGTGGCCTATACTTCTGATGGGCTTTGGCAGCTGAGAACCAGACAACCAGGCAGTCTCCGGACACCAGTCCTAGATAGAGCCTGATGTCTCTTTTAAGAGGGAGCCAAAGGGATTCCAACAAACCATCATCCCACAGCTACTTGAGGGGCAGTGGTTGGGCACCCAGGCTCTCTGAAAGCCAGACACATATTCCTGTGGTGCCTGCTCCCCACCACCCACTGCAGTGGATGTGGGTTATCCACCTGTGGTGCCCACAGGGCCCCAGCCAGCAGCTCCACTCCCAGGGCACCAGGGGAGATCAGGTTAAGAATCCAGAGAAGTCCTCATACTTGACCCACACCCAGCAGCTTCATTCCCCGCACTTTGGTTCCTCCCATCCACTGGCCCTGGTTGCTGGTGGCCCTGCTCATCCCTCCTCCAGCACACCCCACATTCTCCTCCCATTCGCCCAGGGTGATCATCCTGACTCTGGAGGGGCCAGAGGCTTATGGTGGTCAAGTCTGGCCTCTTGCACCCACCTCAGACCCGTGAACACTTGTAGGGCCAGGTGACACCCACCAAGCTGGCTCTCCCTGCCCAGGCCCAGAAGTGACTCACTGAAGGAGTAGGATTGGTGGCAGCGTCAGCCCTGCCCCTTATCCCGAGCATGCTTTTCTGTCCTGCCACGGCTCTCGGCCCCTCACCCTGTGCTAGCCCATCTGTGAGTGCACCTCACAGTATACAAGCCATCACCCATGCGCATGCGCAGCTCCAACGATTCACCCCGTTGCTTGGCCTGGGCAGCAGCTGTGGGCAGCTGGTTTTACCCAGCCAGGCAGAACTTGCGTGGGGCTCAGCACCAAGGGGATACAAGTCTACAGCCACAATGTATCAGGTGACCAGGAAATTGCGCTCAGGGTGGTAGCTGGTGCCACTTTTGAGTTTTGGCCATGTGCACCGTGTCTTTTCCCCACCCATGTGCCTGTCTCTGATGGGCATCACCAAGTGCTCCTCCTGGCTTTCCCTCTCCATGCCCCTCATGTTCCTGTCCCCTTTTGTGAGGCTCCCCAGGTTTGCTGCCAGCTTCTGCAAGGCACCTTCTGACCTCCGCTCAAAGTCAGCAGCCGCTGGTGGTGTGGGGCAAGGTCAGGCATGGGGCTGGGGGTGCACAGGGCAGGAAGCCCCAGAACATAGAGTATGGCAGCAAGTGGAGCCCAGTGCCAAATCCAAGACCTCTAACACTGCTGGCTGTGTGAGTCGAGCCCCAGACCTCTTGCACCCCAGTTCCTTGCCTTTTCCTGGGATCTTACAGGCAGCCAAGAATAGGAGAGTAGGTGGGGAACAGGAAGTGTGTGTGTGGCAGGGAAGTGTGGGGAGACGGGGGAGTGGTGGGCAGCCGCAAGCAGGGCGGCACCGGTGGCAACGCCAGTGTGTGGCCAAGAGTGCAATCAGGGTGCTGGCCCCCACCCACCCTGGGGGCTGAGCCACCTGGCAGTGCTCCAACCTGTCCCCTCCCCCACCTTCTTCTTCTCCGGAAGCTCCTTGTATTTCTTGGACAGGATCTTGGTCAGGTCCAGGTTGCTCATCTCTGGGTGGAGTTTCGCATACTTGGCGCGCTTCTCCATGAAGAAGCGGAAGTAGGGGGTAAGGGGCTTCTTTGGGAAGTCAGGGTGTTTCTGGAAGGGGTACAGGGAGGTCAGGCGACACCCCTTCTGGGGCCCACGCCTCACTGGCTCTGGTACCTCCTCCCCGGGACTCACCTTGAGCTTTTTGCCTTTGTATGGGTTTTTGACATGTTCCTGAGCGTCCAGGATCAGTTCCGTCAATGTCCGGAACTTCCTCACCTAGAAGAAGGAGGGGATGCTGGGCACAGCACCCCATAGCACAGCACCCTCCCCATGCTCTGCTCAGTGGGATGCTTCCAAGGAGAGCCAAAGCCAATGCCAGCAGTCCCCGAATTGGGCCTGGCCCCTTGCCTGCTGCAGATGCCAAGGTCAGCCACACGGTTGTCACAAGACCTATGTGCCACCTGGATACTCCTCAGCTACCCCACCAAGCTCAAGCAACAGAATTCCCAAAACCGTGAGCATCCCAGGCCACCAGACAGAGCGGCAGAATGGACGGCTCTACACCTGGGCTGCAGGCTGTGGCCCAGGTAACAGCGCACAGCCGCCTGCCTTCCTTCCTTCCTTCCTGTTTACAGCCAGCTGCCACCTGCAGCCTTTCCTGCAGTCTGCAGTCTTCCCAGGACAGTAGGAGCGGACCCCTCACCTCATTTGAAATCTCCACCCACTTGAGCTTGCACATATCGCCAGAAAAGTCTTTAAATGCGACTTTTTCCCAGTCCATGTGCGACTCTGTGGTTTTGAACTTGGAGCTGTCGTTGGATGGAAGGTTGTTCTTCATGCACTCCAGCAGGGTCAGCATGTCTTCCTGGGACCAGCGGTCTGGCAAGGTGTCAAAGAGAGTGTCACATGCGCTAATATTGCTCCCTGAGCAACCATCCCTGGGCCCCCCAGTATCACACCCTCCTTTCTGCAACCACTTTGCATCTGATCCCTGGTGTCCCCCTAGGCCTAGGCATGGTCAGCCCCAAGAAAACCACAGCCACCCGGGGCAGGCAAGGACTCTAACCTAGAAAGCCAGGCTACAACCCAGGTCTAGCTCTCTTCAGAACTACGCCTATTCCAAGTTCTAGGGGGATGACCTGAACCCATAGGGACTGGTACTAGGTCTGGGCAGCAAGGCAACCCCACAGACATCCTGTGGCACAGCTGGAAGCCTGTCTCTCTCTTACACACACACCCTAGGCCCCCAGGATAGACCAAAGAGAAGTCCTGGCAGACGAGAAGCAGGACAGAACCAGAGAACCCGCAGGGGCAGCTCTGAGGCTGGGCACATGGGCAGCCTGACCCAGGCAGAACCCAAGTGCTCAGGAAGTGGATGCGTTCAGCTCCTCCAGCCCCTCTGTTGCAGCCCAAAGCACTTTGGCTTCTCAGGCAGGGGCCAAGAGTCACAGAGCTGTAGCTTTGGTGTCATGTGGTAGCCCAGGCAGGGCCACTAAAAGTGTGTCACATGAACAGGTAATTCCCATGGCTTTCCCACAGGCAGGACCAGATGCTCAGAGCACCCCGGGAGACATTGTCCCAAAGCTGGGTACATTGTCCCAAAGCTGGGACCAAATTCCCTGACACCACTTCTGCACCTGCAAGGCCGGGTCCTCATCCTCCAACAACCACAACACCCCAGAAGCCTGCGGACCCTCTCTTCCCAGCGTCGGGTGCACTTGGGAACCCACTTTGGGGATTTAGGGCCCCAGAAGGAAGGCTTGCTCCTCCATGGACACAGACACTAGAAGGGAAGTGGGACCACTGTGGCCCGGCCAAGTCCCGGTGTACGAAACGAAACACCCGTGGCTTGCTGAACCCCAGACCCAGCGCATGTGGAGGGCCCTTACCTTGACCTTTGGGGGCGGCCATTTCCAGGTCTGTGGGGCAGTCGGCTTCTCCGTTCATCCTCCAGCTGTCCAGACACCTCCTCGGTCGCGCGGGCTGGGCAACCCAGGGTCAGAGCCACCTTTAGAGAAACCGCGGGCCCATTTAGGTTTGCACACAGACTGGGAACTTTCTACTCATCCCTTCCCACAGTGAAGGGGGCGCAGAATGCGCCCCTGGTCAGATCCAGTGGGACCCACAGACTCCTCGGATTGGGGTTCGGGTGAGCTATCCCCTCCCACCCCCCCCCCCAGCGTGGGTCCACGGCACGCGCCCAGCGCTGCCCACGAGCGCACGCTCCAGCCCCGCGTGCCGCCAGCGCCGCCCTCCTTCCCCCACCCGGCCGAAAGAAACCCGACTCTGCTCCTCCCGCTCGGAGCGCCCGCCCCGGGGAGGCCCCGGCTGCAGGCGGGAGGGGGAAGGGCGGGTAAAGGGCGCGCGCGGCCACGGCGGCGGGCGGGCGCGCGCCCCAGTCTCCTCCTCCCGCTCCCCCCGCCGGTCCCCCACCTCCGCAGCCCGGCGGGGACCCGGACGCCGCGCAGCCGCCGCCAGCCCCGGAGCGCAGCGGTCGCGCCGCCCCCGGGGACCGGATCCGGACCCGCACCGCTCCCCCCTCCTGTTCCCAGCGGGCGAGCGCCGAGCCGCGGCCGGCGTCCGCGCCACCCACCCGGCGAGGCCCGAGGACCGGCGCGGAAGCGACCGCGGTGGCCCCTCGCTCCCGCCTGAGCCGCAGCCCAGCCCCGCCGAGGGCCCGCGGGCCGGCCCCGGGGAACCACGCCAAGGAGAGGGCGGACGGTGTGGACCCGGGCTTCGCGGCCCCCGAAGCGAGCTGCGTCGGGCCGGGAAGCCCGCGCTCCTCGGCCGGCGGCCTCGCTTCCTGCCGCCACTTCGGCCCAGGGTCCTTCCGGGCGTCCTCCTTAGGGCGCCCGGCGGCCCCAGGCCGCGTCCTCGCTCCCGCAGCCTCGGTACCCGGCTCCCTGCTCCGCTCTCGGCGCTCCGGCTCTGCGCGCCGCCTCCCCCGCGCGCCAGCCCAGCCGCAGCTCCCTCCCGCGGCCGGGCCCCACCTCCGGGCGATGGGGCGGCGGCCGTGTGGCTGCCGTCTGCTGCTCCTCGCGGCGACGAGCACAAAGCACAGCGCCCTCCGCCTGCAGGCAGGCAGCCCGCCCGCCCGCTGCCGCCGGCCCGGCCTCGGCCCGCGCACCCCCCACCGCCGCCGCCGCTCGGCCGCGGAGCGAGGAGGAGGAGCGGAGGAGGAGCGGGGGGGGGGCGGGAGCGGGCCGCTGCGCGTCCTTCCCCGCGGAGCGCACACCGACCCCCGGGGAGTGAGCGCAGCCGCCCGCCCGCCACCGCCTCGCCGGCTCCGCTCCCTCCCACAGCCTGCCCGGGCGGGCTCCGCGGGGGGCGGCTTGGAGGAGGGGCGGGCGCTGGGGGGACCCGGGGCCGAGGCGGAGGGAAGGAAGGAGGGAGGGGGGTGGCGGCGGAGGCTGCTGCGGAGGGGGGGCCGGGTAGGGCGACTTGCAGCCGTCCGGATGGCGGCGGCAGGGACCGGGGCAGCACGGGCGGCGCGAGCGACCTCGCCGGAACCACGGTTCAGCGTGCGGGAGGCGCCCGAGGGCCCTCCGGTAGCCGCGGAAGCTAAGTGCTGGCCGCACCGCTGCGATCTGCTCCGGAGCTCGCTTCGGAGCCCTCCGCGCTGGCTCGTTGTCCCCGTCGGCCCTGCCCGCCTTCCGGAGCGGCAGTCGGCACCCTCTACGTTCCCCGGAACGCAACCGGGCTCAGGCGAACGCATGGTGGCCAGGCTTCGGCTTTGCCTCAGGGTCCCCTTCGCTGCTTCGCGGCACCCACCAAACTTTAAAAAAAACACCCCGGTCTCCCGAAAAAAAAGCTTTCTCGGCTTTTCCACCCCGGAAACGGCGAGAGGCGCCGACTCAGGCCTCGGGTCCGCTCCGGAGCCGGTTCAATCCAGCCCAGCATGGCTCCTGGCCTGCCCGGGCGCGTGGAGCTCTGCGCCGCCGCCGCTGGAAGCGACCCCGCTCCCGAAACCCGCGCCCCGTGGCCACTCACCGAGCGTGAGGTTAGGCGCGCGGGCCGGGAGCTCCGGATGGCGCGGGAGCCGGAGACCCGAGCCGCAGCTCCGCCACCGCCGCCGCCAGGGAAGCGAGTGGCCAGACAAAGCCCGCGATGGCGAAGCGAGCGACGGCTAATGGCGAGCCCCACGCGCCGCGCTCCGCCCGCCCCGCTCCGCCCGCCCGCCCGCCCGGCGCAGCGCGGCGCCGCTCCGAGCGCTCCCCGTCGGCGCCGCCGCCTCCCGGCCCGGCCTCGCCTGCCCTCCGCCTCCTCGGCGCGCCGGCCTCGCCCTGCCTCCCACCGCCCTGGGGGCTGCGCGGAAATAAAAAAAGCAGCGCGCGCTCCTCCTGGCTCTCGCCTTTCTCTCCCGCGCAGGGCGGCGGCCCGGCCCGCTGGCCGGCTACACTCACCTGCGAGGCCGCTGCGCGAGGCTGGGGGTGGGGGCGCGGGTCCGGCCGGCGGGCGCGGGTTGAAAGCGGGCCAAGCGCTGCGGCGCCGGCCGGGCGTGTGCGCCGCGCAGTCCCCGCAGAGCTCGCGCCGCGGCCCCCGCCTCCATCTCCGCGCCCGCTCCAATCAGCCGGGCGCCGCGCTCGGCCTTGGCCCCACCGGCCGCTGCCTGCGTCGTCCTACCGCTCCCTGTCGCCACGGGTGTGTGTGTGCGCGTTTTTTTTTTTTTTTTTTTTTTTTAATTGCTCTTAGCTTTTGCAACCCTGAAGGCAAGCGGGGGGCGCACGGAGGGGGGGGGCGTTGGGGAAAGAAGAAGCCCGGACGCGACACCTAGGGGCCTCCGCCGGGCTTGGCGCGGCCGAGCGCGGGGTCCCGACGCAGGGCGGACCTAGGCGCCTTTCGGGTCGGCGAAGCTCCGGATTCCGGAGCCCTGAGACCGCGCGACGCGCGTCTCCCCGGCCGCGGCCTCCGTCCCCTGCCAGCTCCCCTTTCGTGTTTCCCCCCCCCCCTCTCCTTCCCTTTAATCTAATTTCTTCCAACTCCACCTCTGTTGTTCCCGGCGTCACGCCCGGGCCAGCCAATCCCCGCCACGCAGCGCTTGTCAAAAAGACTCGGCCGGGGCCGCAGGCGCTGCCCTCGGCAGGGAGACCCGGTCCGGGTGGCGCCCTGGACTCGGGGGATGCGAGCGGGCATGAGGCCGAGGCGGGAGTCTCGCCGCCGAGAAGGGCCAGGCCACGGGCATGGAGTCAGCCTAGGCCTCCCGTACACGCCGCCGTCTCCGAGGCCTCGCGGCGGGTGTCGCCGGGCCTCTGGGGAGTCAGACCCGGCCCAGAGCTCCACGGCCCAGCCGGCCACGTTGCACAACAGGCGGGGGACGATGCCTAAGCCAGCGCGTCCGGTTCCTGCAGGCCCAGGCTGTGCGGCGCCGCAAAGGCAGCTGGGGCTTCAGGGCCGAGGAGGCCAGCAGGGCTCGCCTTCGTCGTTGGCGGGTTTTTTGTTGCCGTATGTTCTGATTTTGGTAAAGAAATCCTACCCCCAAACGGTTCGCGTTCTAGGCCCCATAAGCCTAGATCGGCCCTGAGCTTTTGTGTAGGATGAGACTTCTCAACAAGGCTCCAAAGCAGGCCAGTAAGTTTTTGTTTTTTGTTTTGTTGTTTTTTTAGTCCGCGTTTGTGGTGCCTGGTGATCATTGTGGTGGGGAGCTGCTACATGCACGTGGCACAACTGAGTTCTTACGCCCCACTCCCCACATGAATTTGTTTTTTGACTGGGAAAGCACAGGTCTTGGAGTCAAAAGTCCTGGCTTCCTGAGTGGCGTCCCGCTTCTCCCCCACTCCATTCCCAGTGCCCTGGCTCCCTCTGGCTGGTGTCTGTGTGTGTGTGTTACAGGAGCAGCCTGTGGGTCATTGAGCTAGCACGGAGCTAAATCCCCAGGTCCAAACCCTATATAAGAAATGTTTGCAGGTTTCATTTCGTTTTGTTTTTCCATACTGAGGATTGAACCCAAGACCTCTTTTTAATTTTTATCTCGAGACAGGTTCACATTAAGTGGCCAAATTGCCTGGGCTGGCTTTGAACTTGCCACCCTGTGCCCTGTGGCATTTAGTGTGCAGGCTTGGGCCAGGCCTGGTTTAGTGTTTGAGTTCACTGAGCAAACTCTGTCCTCACCTGAGCTCATGTCCTTGTCTGTGTGATGAGGTTAATGACCTTCTGTCCTCCCCTTCTCCCTGGGGCGAGGCATGGGTTTCTGTGCCAGTGTCACTGTCACTTGCCACCATTGCATCCAAGACCTTTAGGCCCCAGAAAGTTCCCAGCGCACCCCATGTGGGTCGTGGATCTGCCGGCCAGGTGTTCTGGAGCTGGGCCCTGGACTTCTTGGCTCATCCCATAACCTTTTTGGTAGTGTTTTGGAGTGAAGCAGTGGCACATGAATCATAAGGGTTACTGTGGCTGGCTTCTCTGGCAGCAGAGTGTGCTGGCACCTGTCCCACTGAGACCCAGGGCCCCTGTGTGTCTGTGTGTCCTGATGGCAGGTGGAGTTAGGCTCAGGGCTGCCAGCCAGGTGGGGCATCTGCCCTTGGCCTTTATCTCTGTGCCTGCCCAGCACAGGTGGGTCAACCCCTGCGCAGGCCAGTGACAAAATGTCCCCCTTGCTGAGCCTCCTGCACCTGGCTGCTGCCTCCCAGCCCCCACTGGCCTAAAAGCCCAGGGTGCTCCAGGGAATGCTAGATGGAGCTGAGGGGAGCTTCCCAGGTAGGATTGCAGTGGCTAGAAATTCAGCTGGGAAACTTTTATCCAGGGCTAGGATACAAAGACTCCTTTTTAGGGAGTGGGAACCCTTATTTAGGTATCTGCTTGTTCGTTTTTGTTGCAGCTTCACTGGGTGGTAAGGTGCTCACAGTTGAAACTGGCAGCCCTGCTGTCTACCTGTGTCCTTGGGAGCCATGTACCAGTAACCATGTAACAGCCTCCTGCCAAAGGGGAAAGGTTAGCTGGGGCAGCAAGGCTCTTGAGCCCCACTCCCAGAGAGGAAGTGCTTGATCCTGTGGTCCCTGGCCCAGCTGTCATGCAGTTCTGATGTCCAGGTTAGAGCCAGTTGGTAGCCATTATGAATAAAGCCTCTGAGCAGGCCAAGCTTCGTGGGGACAGACAGCACCAATTACTCCTGGGTGCATCCGCCAGAGTAGGGCTCCTGTTGGAGTGAACAAACAGGTAACATTTGGGGTTTGTTTGTTTGTTTGTTTTTCTTTTTTCTTTTTAACCTTACTATGTATCCCAGGCTGGCCGGGAACTTTTGGCAAGCCTCCTGCCTCAGCCTCCGAGTGCTGGGATGACAGGTGTGCGCCACTGTGCCTGGTTTAATGGTAAACTCACTGAGACATCATGAGAGTAGCACAAGTTACCTTTGACCACAGTTACAAGCGGGGCTCCGAGTGGTGGTCACCAGCTCCCAGACACTGATTAGTGTGACCAGCTGCCAAGAGGGCAGTCTTGATCCCAGTGGTCACTGCACACCTGTTTCTAGTTTCAGTGTGCTGAGATATACAGCACCCTCTAGAGTCCCCCATACAAGGATGACATCATCTGCTGAAAAGCATGATGCTGAAGTGTGTGGTGGGTGTTTTTAGGCAGAATATATATATATATATATATATATATATATTATATTTATATAAAGTTTTCTTTTTTTGATGGCACCAGGTACTGAGCCCAGGGTCTTCATGCTAAACCCCACACACAGCCAGCAATCTTATTTTTGAGACAGGCTCTTGTTGAGTTGCTGAATTATCTAAGTCAGGCTTGAACTTAAAATTCTTCTGCCTCCGACCTTCAGAGTACTGGGGTGACAGGCGTGTCTCATTCCCTGCTGGCTACAAATAGACAACATTAATAGGTATTGCCAACCTGGGCAAAGTGGTCCAAGCCTATAACCCCAGCTACTGGGGAGGCTGAGGCAGGAAGATGGCAAGTTTGTGGCCAGCCTGGGCTGTTTAGTGAAATTCTGTCTCAAAATAGCAAGACATTGTGGCACACACCTGTCATCCTAGCACTAGGGAGACTGAGGCAGGAGGATCACTATGAGTTCGGGGCCAGCCTGGGCTAGATAGTTCAAGGTCATCCTGAACCCCACAGTGAGATCTTATCTCAAAAAATATGTAGTAATTAAAAATTTAAAAACCAGATACAAAGTAAGTGAAAATAAAAACTATGTGGTTCCTAGATCTGCTGTAGACTTTTAAGGTAATGTGGGATGCAGCTGGGGAGCTGTCCCACAGGGTGGTCACTAGCTGTGTGGCTATTCACGTTTACATAAAGTAAATAAAAGTGGCAGGGACAGTGGTTCATGCCTGTAATCCAAGCTGCTTGGGAGGCGGAGAGGGGTGGATTCCAAATATAAGGCCAGCCTGGACAAGGTAATGAGACCCTTTTCCACATTTTAAAAAATAAATAAAATAAAAAGGACTAGGATATAGCTCAGTGGCCTGCCAGCTAAGCACAAGGTCCTAGTACCAAAAAAAAAAAAAAAAAAAAAAAAAAAAAAGGACTGGGAATATAGCTCAGTGCTCCCTGGGTTCAGTAACAAAAGTAAGTAAAAAATGAACATTTGGTTCCCTGATCACACCAACCACAATTTTAAGTGAATAATAAAGATCTAAAACATTCTCATCATTGTAAGAAGTCCTGTGGACATGTGGTGGCAGAGGCCTATAATCGAAGCGCTTTGGTAGGCCGAGGCAGGAGGATTGCAAGTTCAGACCTAGGGTGGACAAGTTAGCAGCTTATACCTGTCTCCAAACACAGACTAAGAAAGCCCCAGTGTTCAATCCAGTACTGCAAAAATCGAAACAAGCAATCCTGGAGCCCCAGGTTCTGGAATTCACTTGTGTTTAGTTCCCTGTGTGCCCTAATAGAGTCACCGGGTGTCATGGCTCTGCAGCTTGTGTCTCCTCACCCTGCAAAGCCTCCTGCAGGACTGGAGTGTTTGGTAGAGGTGGCTGGGTAGTAGGCAGCTGGCACTAAATCAGTCCGCTGATTGCTTTGGCACTGCCCCAAGACCCATAGTCTGGGCAGAGTAAAAGCCAGCAGCAGAAAGAAGCCTTGGAGGTCACTGGCTCTGCTCCCCTGCCTACTTGCTGTGGACGTTTCCGCAGCTTGCTAGGCCTGAAGCCTCAGGGAACTGTAAGCCAAACAGGCCTTTCCCCCTTGACCTCAGGTGTCAGGGTTTTTGTGTCCGCAACAAGAAAGTAACTAAGACAGCTGCTCTGTGTATTCAGTTATTAGTAAGAAAGCTGACTGCCACAGGTAGATAGACAGAAGGGGCCCCACAGTGAGGGAAAGGGACCGACCTAGGACTTAGCAGCCAGTGGCTGAAGCCCCAGAGAATGGACGATGCAGCTGGACCTGAGGCCTGGCTGCGGGTCGCCTGAAGCTCCCAAACTGGAGCCCCAGGGAGAGCAGGGCCTTCTGGGCAGGTCAGGTGGAAGTGGCTGCATGGCTGGCAGGGAGCTCCCACTTCCATGTCTTCCTGGAGCCATGGGACCTGGCCACAAGGGCGGCAGCTGCTTTCCTTCTGATGTTGATCTCCAGAGAACCTCTGCCAGCCAAAGCAGAGTCACAGTGGAGCAGGTGGACCCTGGGGTGCAGGGAGGCTGAGGCAGGAGGATTGCCAAGTTGGAGCTCAGCCAACTCAGTGACACTTGGTCTCAAAATAAAAAATATG